GAGGCAACCGCTGAACAGGCGGAGGCGCGGCTCAGGAAGTTTGAGAAGCAGTAAGTTCAGAAAACTTTCCAGTGTGTGCATGCAAGCACAACGTCAGCACTGTATTTCATATTGTGCAGCAGTCACTGCCTGTTCTAGTATTAAACAATTTAAAAAATAAAACTCTGGCCATCATGCACACGCTGAGAAGGATTATGTGAAGTGAAGATCCCCGCAATAGTCATTGGCTTCTAATGGATGCTTGCATGTGGTATACACACGTGCAAGCACCCCCATGGACCCACACACTTCCTGCCTTGGGAACCCATTCCTTCAAGTAAAAACCTTTCTCTTCAAGCACCCCCATGGACCCACACACTTCCTGCACCGGCAACTCATTCCTATAACCGTTCTCTTCGATTCTCCCCACTGTGCTCTTCACGCAGATGCCATAGCAATCTGGAAATTCTGCGCTGTGCCCTGGAAGAACTTCTACAGCTGCACAACAACGGTGCTCCGCGAATCACGCCAGAGACCAAGTCACTGCCGCGCAATCTGGCCTGCGTTCTCAAGCGCTACTGGAAAGATCGGCCAGCGCCGCAGCCAAGAGCACGTCGTCATCACTAAACGTCTCAGCGTGCTGTCCTGCCGGTGCACCAGCATTAGCACTAGGGAGTAGCAAAGAAAACGGGTTTGCGTACTCCCTGGCTGGCTAGCGTCGTCAACATACTCAGCTGTTCAGCAGTGCGCACAGCTCCATCAAGCATTATTATACCGGTAGCATATTTGGAATCCACCTCTCAGCCCATAAGAGAAGATTAGTAGATCACCAGCATTGCACCTGCTATTATTGTGACTTGCTTGTGCAATCTAGCTGGCCTAACCAGTCCCTTCTTAACCGGGTTTATCAAGAGTTTTATATGGCAATATATTCAGCATCATTCTGTTCAAGGTCGTTAACGTATAATTTGTTTACAGTAACGTTGAGTTGAAAATGACAGTTACAAATACTTACAATATTGGACTGCTATTTTAAAGTAATATTTGAAAGTGATACATTGCCAAGTTGAAAAGCTAGAAGTTGAAAAGCTAGAAGTTGAAAAGCTAGAAGTGGAAGCTGATATTCAGAGATCACCATGCATCTTGTACTTTGAGATTGCACTGACTAACACTAAGTCTTTTGTTAACGTTAGCAGTAATCTGCCTCCAAGCTTGTATAGTGCTAGCAAACACCATCTTTGAAGGTACTACACGTAACATCAAGAGTAGAAAAACAAGAGTGTGCAACTCGCGGATGGGTTGGCCCGCGGCGGAATTTTTTGTTGACGTAATCTTTTCGACGACGCACGCGCTGCGAGCCTTTTGGAGAGTTTTCCCTCGTGCACTTGGCTGGGCTTTACACTACAAGGTTGGTGCCCAGCACGTGCTCTCACACTGCTCTGCGGCAAAATCCGCGTTTCTCTGAAAAAAGGTGACGTAAACAAAAAATTCCCCCGTGGGCGCGGGGTATCTGCAGATTTTGCAGGAGAGATCCGGAGTTGCACACTCTTGTTTATCTACTCTTGGTAACATGTATATATTTTTTGTTTTGCCCGTACAAGAGGCTGATTTATGGGCACCAAAACTACACGTATAGCCATGATTGGAGTCCTGATCGTGGCACCATCCACACCGGTGCATGTATGGCGTGACAGCACACAAGCACAACACAGCAAGCCACATCACAAGTAGTCTTGTTGGATTCCTCTAGCTCTCAGCACTATTTCGGTGGGTTATAATCTTGAGCAGAATTGACAAGCAGACAGACAAGCAGATAGACAAGCACGCAGGCTGATAAAACAAAACAGGGTATCACAATGACCAGAGAAGTGTTGCCACTGCCACTATCATGACAGATTGACGGACGGCCGTTCTACACAAAGCAAAGCAGCCACTGCTTGGATCCTTAGGCGTACACGATTGTTTATAACTATGCAACGACACAGAGCATTGGCGGCTGATAAGATCAACGGAGCGCAGTCTAGACACTAGCACTAAAGTCTATTGGGGTGGGGTGGTAAGTATAGGGCAACTGCACAGCAGTCCTGGAGTAAAAACTAGGTGATATAAAGTAGATATAGGATGCAGTATGTGAGAGCAAGTTGCTTGACTGATGATGGCATGATTGCTGCTGCTGATGATGATGCGGATGAAAATGTTAGTCGATATTGTAGTAGATATGATGACGATGTGCCTAGAAACTAAAGGGCAAGCAAGCAAGGTACCACCATCAGCTGGCGGGGGAGAGGAGCAAAGAAACTACTGCTAGATTGCAATGGGGAGAGAGAGAGAGACACACACACACACACACGCACACACGCGGGGTGAAACTACCGTTGCTCAAGAACCAAGCACAAAGCACAGTGGCATATGCGCTCGCATACACAACATATAAACCAAACAGATGCAGATACGAACACAGGTCAGAGCATCAAGCCTAGCACTATAACACGACAGATGAACAGAAGTATCCAGCAGAGATGGATGGACACAGGCACAAGACAGAAGTATCCAGCAGAGATGGATGGACACAGGCACAAGACACAGGGCACACATCGGTGGAGATTATTCTGCAGTCCATAGTCCTGGCTCAAAAGCAGCTGCAGACACCTCTGATTAGGCACTAGGCAAGTGAGAGTATAATATCATGCCACACAACTCAAATACAGCAGCAAGGCACCGAAAACAAGACACATACCAGCAACCGGGAGAGAGAAGTTACAGTTGCTGAGCAGACGCACGCGCTATTGTAGACGCCGGTGCAACAAGCACACTGCACACATGCATTGAGAGCACACGGGCGCCGTCATCGCTACAGGCCAATGGAGAGAGAGAGAGAGAGAGAAACTGGTCAGGCATGGCCTTTCCATTCCAGCATCGTCACTTTCAGCGGGGTTGTAACCAGTCGCAGTCAAAGCCTGGCAATGGCGAGCAGTGCGACACATGCACTACTGTGCAAGGCGGTGGCAAGCGCGCCGCTTACGCTTGCCATCCAGGATGACTTTGGTCTCGGCCGCTGGTGAGCTGTCATCATCACTTTGCGACACCGACTGAAATAACAACAACAACACAAGGAAAAGTGCAAACTGGTCTGAAAAAAACCCCCGGTAAACCAAATCCTGGCCTTGGAAAAAATGTTCAATGAACAACAGCACACATCAATGTTCAAATCAATGTTCACAACATTCCACATTGCTAGAGTCCTAGAGGAATGGGATTCGGCTTGGCACAGTGAGAGCGAGCGAGCGTGTGTGTGAGTGAGTGTGTGTGTGTGTGTGTGTGTGTGTGTGTGTGTGTGTGTGTGTGTGTGAGAGAGAGAGAGAGAGAGAGAGAGAGAGAGAGAGAGAGAGAGAGAGAGAGAGAGAGAGAGAGACAGAGAGAGAGACAGAGAGAGAGACAGAGAGAGAGAGAGAGACAGAGAGAGACAGAGAGAGACAGAGATCATTACCAGCTTCTTTTGGACTTTGGCCGGTAGCTCCTCATCAAGCCCAAACACACAGGACTTTTTCAGCAGACGCTTGGAGTGGTCTTCGAAGAGAGTCTGCAAAGGTAAGGGTGAAGGGAGACACTTAACAATATCAGGAGACGATACGAGGACCAAGACAACTTGAGAGAAAGTTTCTCATCAAGTAGCAAGCACTTGCACATGGCTGCTGGAGCGCACTGAACAGAGTAAACATATGTGTGCACCTTGGCTAAGCTAATGAGTACCCAACACCGTTGAGTGCGCTCCTAAACTCTAAGCGCAATCTCAGCTACTATTAATCATGTTTACGACAAGGGTGATGTAATGGCAATGGAGGTCAAGGCACAAGCTACTGTATGTACAAAGCGGTCTGTTCCTCGTTGCTGTCGACCATTTACACCTCTCGTCGTTGCTGTCGACCATCTACACCTCTGAGCGGAGAAAAGAATACAGATACGGTAGCTGACATGCTGTATACAATGCTGTGTGTGTGTGTGTGTGTGTGTGTGTGTGTGTGTGTCCACCTGCATACAATGCTGTGTGTGTGTGTGTCCACCTGCATACAATGCTGTGTGCGTGTATCCCCTAGTCTACTGTAAAAGCAGAAATTTTCGGTGGTGTAATATTTTCGGTATTCTCCAAAATCGGCGGTTCGGCGGAGGGAAAATTTCGGTAAACCCGCGTTCCAGGTAAGTGTACTATAGTGCTATACCGACATTTTCGGTGCGTTTTATTTCCGGTGAAAATTTCGGCACCGAAGTTACCGATAATAAAACACCACCGAAAATTTCTGCTTTTACAGTAGCAGTGAGTACATATCGGGTCAGCAATGGAAACGGACCATTCAACCATTCAATCATTTCACCATTGAACAATGACGACCATAACCGGACTAACCCAGTATTTCAGCTCGTAGTTTGAGCGGATGAACTTTCCACCATAGACCAGGCCATCTGTCCACATGACTTGTACCTCGGCACCTTCTGCTGGCGGACCGTCGGCTTTGCAATCTCGATTCTGCATGCAACAGCACAAGCAACAGAAAGCCAGCTGAATTTTTAAACAAGATAATTCGAGACAATGATGCAAGACATGTTGAGCACCTTTGCGCTAATAGCACAAAATAAGGTCATCTGAACCACATAATAACTCAAGTCTGAAACAGATCATATTCTCGTCGCATAATGTATGTTATGCCATCTGCACACTCCACCTGGAAATACCGGATGTGCATCAACACACCAGTACAGTGTGCAGCAGCAGCAGCAGCAGCAGCAGCCCATCAGCTGGGCATCTACAGTGTAGTCCACATGATGTCAGCGCACCGCCGTGACCAAGCCACCCAGAACATTGCCGCTGAAGGCTAAATGTGCCGTGCATGTACACTGTATACACAGTTCAGAATAGAAAAAAGTTCGTAGCCAGCAACAAAATCACGGCTGGCCGGGAAAACCCCAAACACTGGCAAACAGACAGTCAAATTCAACTTCCCTAAGAGAAGATTTGAGGACGAACTCCTTCAAAGTAGCTAGAAAGCCCTGCTAGAAAGTTCTGCCAGATCATCCTGGGACAGCACCAAACTTCTGCTCAAGGCAACCTGTACCACTTACAACAATATCCTCAGGGAACATGTCGCCGCTATAGCTACCATCGTCGAACAGAATTTCATACAGGACCGTTGGAGTGATCTCCGCAATAGTGGCAAGGTAGAATCTAACAAACAAAGCGGTACACACAGACACAGACACATACACACATACACAGGCACATAGACACAGACAGACCATTTGACATCCATCGCCGGAGGCGATGATAGCGATACGACAGCAGAAGCCATAGCAACTTGTGCTGGAATTGCACCATTCAACAGCTTGCAAGGCTGAAGAATTGGCCGCCACTATTCAGCCTGGTCTACACCTCACAGCTATGCAGTGGCTTTTCTGGCCAGTGAATCCCTACTTTTCAGTCTTTTTCATTTTTTTCCCGCACACACATCATACCACATACTCCGGCATGCACTGGCTGTTGGTAACCACCCAGGAGAATGAAAAGAATGAAAGAAAAAAGAAAAGTCAAGAGGAGTCTGAGAAAGAGAAGAAAGACATGTGTGACCTTAATCGTCGGGAATTGAACCCGCAACCTATCGATTGGAAATCGCTGACAGACACACACACACGCACGCGCGCGCGCATGCACGCGCGGGTGCGCGCACACACACACACATGTTCGACGTGACATTGAACCCTACTATTGGCCATCAACATCAATATAACTCACTGACTCTGTACACAAGAAGAGCAGCCAAAGTTCTAGAACAGCAATGTGGCACGGCACAAGAGTCACACAGCACGGAGCTCAAAGAAACAAGTTTACCTGCAGTTCTTGTGCTTGGCATAGACTTGATCACCGATAGAGAAGTCAACAGCTCTCTGCTGGCCCTAAGGAACAAGAAGCAATCCAACAATCCATATACAGCAGTGGTGGAAAGAGCAGCAACTCTTCTTTACAAATGACACGAAGCCAAGAACACGGCATTCGTGTGTAACATATTCACACGGTTAGCAAAACATAACATATTCACACATCAAAACCAGGCTAAAGCCGTCATCGCAGTCCACAAACACACGCACACACACACACACACACACACACACAGAGACAGACACACGCACACACAGACACACACAGACACACACACACACACAGACACACGCACACATAACACACACACACACGCAGAGAAAGTGCAGTATGATCCAGTCATGCATGCACTGAAAAGCTGACCAATACTGCACACCAAAGTCACTACAGTGTAATCTTATTGAGCATAACTATGCCAGTGCAGTCCAGCATCCCCCTTCACTCCACAGTCCAAAAAAAAAGCACTACGTAGCGTTATCGAGCACCATACCTTGATCATAATATGTTCGTGCCGATGGCAAATAATGCGGAGCACCTGCGGCCAGTCGCCCTGAACGATGCGCACGTTGGGCCGATACACGCAAGTTACGTGCAGCGGACGCGAGCACCAGCCAAACGAACACTGGACACTGCAGCCCTGTATCTTCTGCCGACCGCACTGCTGACAGTAGTGGCATTTCTGAAAAGAACGAGATATCAACCATCACACAACACATCCACAATCCACACAGTGTCAGCTGCAAGCCTGCCAGCGTACCCAATGCTACCATTGGATACGGAGGGGAGGCTGCAGGGAAAAAAACCACTTGTATGGAGACTGAGCACTGGTTACAGCAAGAACAGGCGTGGATGGCACCCTGACAACATGTAGGTGGATGAACAGATAGACACTAGGTTGCTATCAACACTCACCAGCTTCCACCTTCGGTTGGGGATATTGCCAAGACAGATAGGCTGACGGGTCGCCAGGTCGCCGAACATCACTTCCGGAATGCAGACGGCACACAAGACATGTGCCCACCTGCACCAACAAGAACATAAAGTTCAGAAGAAAGTGAGAGAGAGAGAGAGAGAGAGAGAGAGAGAGAGAGAGAGAGAGAGAGAGAGAGAGAGAGAGAGGGAGAGAGAGAGAAAGATGTCATGCGCAATCAAATCACATCAAGATTCCCGCTCAGAATGGTCTTGATATAGGCCAGTACTAAATGTCCTCAGTCATGACTTGCGATACAGTCGAGGTTTACTGCCATGGAGGGATACAGTGTACCATTACATGTTACTAATAATTGCAGAAGCAGTACATACCTATTGTCATCTGTCTTCTTGAGTGCACCACCTCGCATTGCACACAGGCAACAGTCCTGCACATCAAGTGTACACAAACACGGAGACCAGGAGAGAAGTTCACAAGGAGCACAAACATCGGTGACCAGGAGAGAAGTTCACAAGGAGCACAAACATCGGTGACCAGGAGAGAAGTTCACAAGGAGCACAAACATCGGTGACTAGGAGCAATTGCACATCTACATCTACATGTACATGGCAAACTTGCAGCAACGTGCTATCAAGAGCACAAACACGAGAGTGTGCAGTGCCTCCCAGTTTGGCTATGGCCGGATTTCAGGCTGACTGCAGCTTTTCCAGAGATGATAACGTGCATAGGTAGGGTTCACGTCTTGGAAAGTCTACTTCTCTTACTTCAGAAGTACTTCCTGAGCTTTCCAACCCTCCAGGTGACACAGCTGTTGATGGCAACCGGCTGGAACAGTGTTGGAAAATGAAATCCAACCCCATGTAATATGACTGCTGTAAAAGCCATTATTCTAACGAGGCGCATATATAACGATTTCCCAAAATTGACCAGTTTACGTGTACCAAAAGTAACGATTCTCACTCATTCTCAACGCTCAATAGGACAGTATATGTATCGATTTCTGTATAACGATTTCTATTTTAACGACAGATTTCTCCTCGTTAGAGTTAGCACTTCGTTATATATATGGCTTTTACAGTACATGACATGCACTCCGGAACTGTCCTGGCATTACCAGCACTGGGCTGTGCAACGAACATGGCTCTGTCCCCCTCTCCCCCCCCCCCCCCCCACCACAACACCCGCTTCATTCAGCGAAAGTAAAACACATGGGTTTAGTTTGTTGCAATAAGTTGATTGCCAGTATGCCAACCTGCTTACCTCCTCATCGGCACTTTGCTCGCACCGATCACATAACCAAGAGGATACAGATACAGCAGGGGCTGATAGAGGAGTCACACCATAGCAGGCTGCATCAACCATGCACACAATACAAGCGTACACACACACACACACACACACCACACACGCGTGCACACGCACAGAAACCATCAGGATACTGGCTCTAAAGTCTAAGCCCTGCTCATGTACAATAACAAGTCAATGCATTGCCGCGTACATAACCAGCTCCTGAGGTCTGTACTATGATAATCTCATATTGGTAATTTGGTATGGCTTCCACAGCATCCTGTTGCACTGAACTCAACTGGTGACATAATATTCAGGACACATTCAAGTCCAAATTGCTCCCAATCAAGTTGCAATGCAGAACTTCAATTGTATTGTGCTACCCTCGCCGCCTGAAAATTGCCACCTACAGTCCATTCAGATACACTTTGAAAAGCCCTGGTTTTCAAACCTGATTTAGGCGGAACGATCAGATTTGAAGTTGGCCAGAAAGAAGTTTTGGACAAGCACGCGTATACAGTGGAACAGAGAAAACGCGGATACGCCGGGGACTAGTGGCCAAAATGGCCCTCGTTTTGGAGGCTCAAGCGTGCTCAAGCTTGTATTCCCAAAGGATTGCCGAAAGGTCCCTTCAATATCCAGGCATCCTTTAGGACAGGTTCCACTGACGGACTCACAGTGTGCATGGTCAAAGCGTAACCTAAATACACAATACCCGGTCAAACAAATAATCTGGTTGTGGCCCACAATTAGGAAAACCAGACCTCGAAAACACTATTGGAAGAGCATTCCACACTGGCCTGGAAGAATAATTCTGAAAGAGTGTAGCGGCCATACGCAAGGTTTCAATGTGCCAACTGTAAGACCAGCCCATCCTAGCATTGTAGTGAACCGCTTCTGCCACACACCACTGGTATGGGTGTGCAGTTTGAACACACGTGCAGTCAATACCTGGCAAGGTAAAGCAGCAGACGCGAACGCAAGCACATTATACACACGCAGCACAGTTATTGCCGGTGGCCAACAATATATGACCAACATGACTCACCTGGATGAACGCAAACAGAGCATTTCTGACAAGTAAGCAGGGGTGGCAGCTCCGCTTGGTCAGTGGTGGCAGTAGCGGCAGCCGTTGCAGCAGATGTCGGTGCTACAGACGGGTCGAAAGCCGGACGATCTTTAGCCGTGCTAGTACCTAGCTGACAGTTGCCGTCTTGCATGCTCAGTGACTGTGCAGACGAGCAGCTGCGTGACCGTCCCCGTGTTCCACGTCCACCGTGTGTCTGATAATCCGACGCTTTCACATAGTCATGATCGCCGAGCACCGACTCCAGTGACCAATCCGACTGAACGCCAGTGTCCGATAATGCTGTCTCATACTCCTCATCTCCACTGGTATCAACAGCCGGTGCTGTTGCTGCCACTGTTGCTGCTGCTGTCGTCGCTACAGACATGGCCACGGCAGGCTGGGAAGTCGACTCAGTGAATGATGTTATTCTTGTCGTTGCTTGTGTTTTCGCACAGCCCTGGGGTGACATTGAAGGCGCAGCTGCAACGTTTGATGGAGTAGGCTGCGTTCGGACATTGACCAGGGGATCAGCGTCAGTGCCAGCAAAGCCACTGTCACTCGTAGCTCCGCTGGTCTGCACACCACTAACTGGTGGCATTGGTGAGCTGGGTGGCATTGGTGAGCTGGGTAGCTGCGACTGTTTGAGATACTTCAACATATACTCTGGCATGCCATTGCTCTCTCCCTGGACAGGACAAGAGGTCGACCAGAGAAATATTGCACTACATCAAGACATCAGAATGCTCAAAATACACGGAATGTGTGAAAAGAGAAGAAGATGACAAAATTAATAGAAATGCAAGAAGTAGGTACAGTACAGGCCAAGGGCAAAACATACACTACCACCACGTGTGCATACTACTGTCCTGGCAATTAGCTGCATGAACTGCACATTGCATGTTTGCATGTAGAGCCATAGGCAGGTGTGAGCTCTCCACTCTAGTAGTATACACACCTGCGCAAGTGTACACACCTGCGGGAGGCCGATGTGTGAGCAGACGGCGCAGCGCGTGTTGTCCTGCGACAGGTACTTGTTCCAGGCTTGCTCCACGGCTGGTGCGCGCGCCTGGTGCTGCCAGAGTCCAGCCACGTCATCCACGGGCACGTCGGAAATGACGAATTCACCTGAAAGAAGAGAGAGAGAGAGAGAGAGAGAGAGAGAGAGAGAGAGAGAGAGAGAGAGAGAGAGAGAGAGAGAGAGAGAGAGAGAGAGAGAGAGAGAGAGAGAGAGAGAGAGAGAGATTCGACAACCCACCATTATCGTAACAATATATAACTCATGCAGCAGCCAGCACGTAACCTAGTGTCGTCATCAAATTGCAAATGTAAGTGCATTATTTTACTACCCATTAAGCTGAAGTGTCAGAGAAGTATACTGTAAGCCTCTCCTGTGTAACGGAGGCTATAGTATACTGATAGAAAACTAAGAAAAGTGATAGTTTTCAAACCTCTGATATGTAATGGAGACTACACTCAATCTGCGGAGAGAACTGTTTCGTCCTTTGTGGACTCATCAGCGCAGCACAAGAGAAAATGAGGCCGAACCTGGTAGCAATGAAAAACAAAATTTCCAAAGCCAGATTTAAACCAGGCCCGACCGATGGAGACTACACAATAGAAAAGTGATAAACAGCGGAATAGAAGGAGCACTTGATGTGTGGTACTGTACTAGTACTAGTACTAGTTCGTGATACCTACCTTGACTTGTCTCGGTGATGTCATGATGCTGCAGAGGCGGTGTCACTGGTGCACTGGCTGATGGTGTGACCGAGTCACTGGCGACGGCGGCGGCGGCGGAGGGGGTTCGAGGACTCTTCACAGGCACATCCACCTCCATCGGACTCTCTGTAGATTTCTTCCGTCTGCTGGTGGCAACGGCAACAGCAACAGCAACAGGAGCGGCTGAAGTTGCTCGTTTCGCCTTCGGAACTGCACTAGCGGTCTTGACACGCTTTCTTTGTGAGCCCGTGCTCTCGGAGTCATCAGCAGATCGCCGTTTGCCCTTCCGTGGGCTGGATGGTGGACTGGACACGACAATAGATGGCTCAGTCTTAACTACTACTACTGCTGTCGCTGTCGCTTTTTTCCCCGCTTTCTTTGGCGGTGACACACCTGAACCCGCACTGCAGATCATAGCACAGCACAAATGGACATGTAGTAAGATTACGTAATGACATTGCGCATATATCACTGTACAATGCACACCTGCAGACATGGTCAACACAGCCAGCACACACTGCATACACACGTACACACACGCGCACGCACACACACACACACACACCACCACCACCACCACCACCACCACCAATCACACCTGCAGACAGCCAGCATGCCCATACATACTCCACAAACAGAAAGACATTCCTATTACTCCTAATAGTAATAAAACAAAGGACCACACTGATGACTTCCAGAGAAAACAATCCATCACAACAAACACGTGTCTGCTGTTGGAGATGGTTCAGTCCCCCTTCCCCAGTTATTATTGATTCTTTGACTCTGGCTAGAATATACAAACTGACAAAACGCACAGGTAAAAGAAACATCCACTGAGCCCACCTTCCTACCAAACACGAGGGGAAGTCAGCATATCCCACCATTATTATTGCAATCTCATCTCAAATACAACTGCACACACTACATACCCGTCATCGCTGCATCTTGTGTAGGCAGTCAAGGAGTCTCAGTCATAGTCTACACCTGCACAATACACTACATACCCGTCATCGCTGTCGTCGTCGGACTCCGTCCTGCGAGTAGCACCTGAACGCATGCGCCCAGCGTACTTTGGCCAAGACGCTGATCCCGCAGCTCCTTTTCGATTCTGCAGCGGTTGGCAAGAGAGCAGGCAGTTTGACACACAATGAAATATCCACTTCAAAGCGAGTGCAAACGGCACAAAGGAAAATTGCTCGGATAACCAAAAAAAGGAGCAACCGAGGAGAAAAGAAAAAAAGGACCAAGGAATTTATCCTTGGCTCTCTATCCAAGTCCAAACGAGGAGAATTTGCCTTTTTTACCACAATCATGCTTGCGCATACAAAACTATCCTCATTTTGAACACAAGACCATCTCCGACAAGAAGGACATGTTCTTACAAAAGAAGGACCAAGTTTGAGGTCAAAGTGAATGCAGCAGATGGTCCATGGAGCGTGTACTTCATACTCACTATATATGGCACTCGCATATCAGAAGATGCACTTTAATACTGTTACACCACTTTCACAACATTAAAATATGTAAACGCTTGCGTTTTGAAGACAGCAGTGTTAATATAGCACCAAGGAGGATGTAACAAGAAAACAGTTCTGAACAAATCCTCTCTTTCCTTTCCGTTGTGTGCCTTGCAATCATCGTTTCACATTTTAGTATGATTTTACTCACGCATGGTGACATATAGGTAATGTGATTGGTGCAAAGCTACAGGGCAGCACAAACCTTGAGAGCGGCAAAGATATCCATGTCAATCATGACCGTATCGGTTCGACAGTAACACTGCATGATGGCACACATACACATAACAAACACAACAAACAGATCAACAGGTGAGTTCAAACCCGTGTGTCAGGCATTGCACAGCGCATACGCAAAACTACTAGTGCTACTATCCAGACGTCTTGTCTTCATAAAGGAAGATGTTAGCAGCAGCAGCTCTCATTGATCTGCACTGTGCACTTCACAGCTGTTCTCACCAGGAAACTGCATAAACTGTAAATGCTAAAACACTGCACATTGCGTCATTGGCACAGTCGCATTTGCCAGTACTGTTGCATGTCAGTTATCCGGCACCCTCGGGCCGGACGCTGTTGGATTAACGAATATCCTGAATAACTGAAGCTATGTAGCCATGTCTCGAAGAGAATTGGTGAGCACACATGCTCATTCCCTGGGCACTGCAATTCCCAATTGCCCTCATCAGGATGCAATATTGCATCCTGATGATGGCAATTTGCCGAAACGTTGAAAATGATTCTGTAAAATGAAATGAGTTGTGAATTTGCAGTGCCCAGGGAATGAGCATGTGTGCTCACCAATTCTCTTCGAGTTATGAAGCTGCAGGATGCCTCACCGCTACTTCGTATGTAGCCATGTGATGCTCCATTACCATGACTATCCTGAGACAGTCATCATGCTCATCTATAGACTGACTTGTATGCAACGTCACATAAAGGAAACGCTCATGATGCTCACTGTCCACATGTACTTGAAGTACGAGGACTGTAAAACAAAGTGCATGAGCTGTCACTGCACTGTTGGATAACTAACGTGCAAGAAACTGAACCCCAGATAAGAGACATGCAACTCTACTGCATTATGGCATCACAGGATGGAGCAACGGGATCAGTCATGTGACAAGCATGTTGGCTTGTGAGTGTTTCATAAGGATTCCAGGGGTAGAACACAGCCAGGTAGTGATCATAGTGAGTCATTTTCAAGTGGGAATTACTCTCATGTACGTATCCATGTTCAAGCCTAAGAACTAAATGTACACACAGACACACAGACAGACACACAGACAGACACACATGCACACACTCATGCACACACACACACACACACACACACACACACAACACACACACACACACACACACACACACACACACACACACACACACACACACACACACATATATGCATACATGCATGTACACGCGCATGCACACACCCGCATACACACACACACGTACACACACACACACAGACTGTGACACACTGTGACACACACGCACACACACACACGTAGCGAATAAAAACTGACCCGTGAGGCGCGCCGGCCAAACTCTATCCATCGCTCCAAAGCAAAATTGGTGGACTCAGCAACATTGTAACCGCAGTTGAAACCAGAGTGATAACCAAATGGGAAAGTGATCATGAATTCTCCCTCTTTTTGCAGCATCTGCCAGGCATATAAACAGAGTAGGTGAGTGAATACAATGAAGAATGCTTTGAAACTCACTACAAGAAGAAGAAAGTCATGATACAGTAGGCTATGAGCAGTATCAACTGTGCAGTCATGACTTTATAGTTTATACACACACGTAAGCGAGGTCGGTTTCCAAGAACGTCTCCTTGTGATATTCTTCAGTTACATGTGTGTGTGTAAAGTCATGAGTGTGCAGTTGATACTGTTCACACTTCACAGTCCTATTCAGGTTATTGTCTCCACGCCGCCTATTTGCTCATCAATTCACCGTTTCGCAGCATCTGCCAGGCATAAAGAAGAGTACTTCGAAGTAGGTGAGTGAATACAATACAGAGCACTGTGAAGCTGACAACGCGGAGTCTGAGATGAGAGGACAGACCAGTGTGTGTTACAGTGTAGGACGACACCAAGCTACAGCACCAACATTCTGAACACCAGCGCTGCTGCACCTTACCTTGCGAAACGGAATGGAATAGGTTTTAAGCACACTGGGGGACATGATGGTCATCTTGTGCCGGAGAAACGAGGAGCAGGTACGATGGCTGTGCGGGAAATAACCTGACACAAGGCACACACACACACACGTGCACACACACACGTGCACACACACACACAGTTCACCAAAGAACGGACATCAGAAAGTGCACGCTCAACAGCAACAACAACAATCCAATGGGAGGTTCTGATCAAGACAAGACTAACTACACTAAAAGGTAGCGACTGTAGCACATAATGCACAGCAGAAGATTAGCTTCACAGCACTAAACTAAACACGACTGCCCGAAAGATTAGCCACACGACTGCCCGAAAGATTAGCCTCGTACGCCACACAGCACTAAAGGACACACGACTGCCCGAAAGATTTGCCTCGCACGCCACACAGCACTAAAGGACACACGGCTGCCCAACTGTACGCTTTCACAAGAACAAACCATACCTTTCGCAACTTCTTCTAATCGCTTGCCATGTTCTGGTGGTATTGAATACCTGGACACACACACACACACACACAGAAGAAGAAGCATGACAAAACGTGCACCGATGGGTGCACATACGCTCACAGAAGCATCCATACAGCAGCACTAGTGATAACTAATGAAAGCTCAGAGCCCGCGCTATGCTTTCTTTTTACCTAGATAGAAAAATCTTTGCAATACGATTATCGGGTGAATGTTTTTGTACTGCAAAGACGTTTCTATCAGTTCGAATAACACACATGATGACCCAGATAAAAACAAAGCATAGCGAGGGCTCAGAGCTTTCAACTCATAAACAGACGGATATGTACATTTCCCTTGCCTGTTCGCCGCAAGATGGAACGCCCGCAACGGGTCGATTCGGATTATTGGTTAATAACAAGACCCCATTCCCCGTTTCATACTTGAATAAGTTTGCCTGGTGATAGCGTAAGCGTGAAACTCTGAGTGGCAATAAAATTCTGGCTAGTGCCAGAATCTACTAAAGTAACATCTTTTGCATGGCTTCAGGAATACCAATAAAAATGACAAGACACTCTCGATGAATCATGACGACAAGCGGACCGAACTGTAGTAAGTACAGGCCGGGAATATGAGGCAGACCACAGTCAGCAAAGGGGGCTCCCCAACACAGGACTGAAATTATTCTACTAGCATTACATGTACTAAGTCGTTGTATCCAAAATTCACTGTACTTAAACACAAAGCTTCCCGCTTCTGGGCCAGATTACTTCACAATCCAGTATTGAATACACATGCACATAAACACCCACACACACACACACACGCACACACGCACACACACAAAACATAATTATATTGCCATACCAAGCTTTGGGAGCACCATGGTGCAAGTAGTTGATGCTGTAGAGGTCCATGTCTTCGGTGTGCCAGGCAAACGAGGTCTTCCACATACCAAAGTACAAGTAAGCGGTATTGACACCAGGAATTGAAACGCCGCTACGTTCCAACTCATCCAGTATTGATGGTAAACAGTTGATATTCCATATCTGCATCAACAACAGTGCACAGGCAAGAAAAAATCACGGAATGAAAAAATAACCAGGGAATGGAGGTTTTTCATGATGAAGAAAGGGTGTAAGGCTGCAACCACACTAGGTACAAAATCACGTACAAACGGCATTACAGTAGAAATCGTCATGGCGATCCACGCGAAATGCAAAATGCGCTTTGTAGGTTTTCAGCAACCGGTGCACCCCTGTAGAAAGCCACGTTTGTCGTTTTCGTGGTCTTTGCGCTCCATCTCCTGCGTACAACTTGTTTTGTACCTGGTCGTCGTACATAGCATCAGTATCAGCATTGTTTTTGAATTTCCCGTCTTTTCCAGCGCATGGCATACGCTTTGGTACGACAACGTCACGTGCTGGTCTCGTGAAAACGTCATCTATGCAGACCGAAAAGTGTAGTGTGGTTGCGTACCGACTTGTACTGAGATATGCATGAACATTTGTACTGTGATTTTTACGTAGTGTGGTTGCGGCCTAAACTGTGATGCATATATACAAATACTACCAACAACCTAGAGAGTGCATGATCACAAGGAGAAGAGAGACAGACAGCCACATACACACATAAACATGCATGCACGCACACATGCACACACACGTGCGCGCACACACACACACACACACACACACACACGTGCGCGCACGCGCACACACACACACACACACACACCTCAGACCTGCCCATCGCGGAAGCGATGATAGCGAACAGCTATGTTAGACATAGCAACTTGTGCTGGGATTACACCATTCAACAGCTTGCAAGGCTGACACACACACACACACACACGCACACCATTTGACGCCCATCGCCGGAGGCAATGATAGCGATGCTACAGCAGGAGCCATAGCAACTTGTGCTGGGATTGCACCATTCAACAGCTTGCAAGGCTGAAGAATTGACCTCCACTATTCAGCCTGGTCTACACCGCACAGCTATGAAAAGGCTTTTTCCAGCCAGTTAATCCCAACTTTTTGGTCTTTTCTCATTTTTTCCCCTCACACACATCACACCACATACTCCGGCATGCACTGGCTGTTGGTAACCACCCAGGAGAATGAAAGAAAAGTCAGGTGGAGACTGAGAAAGAGAAGAAAGGCATGTGTGACCATAATCATTGGGAATCGAACGTGCAACATCTCGATTGGAAATCGCTGCACATTCCACAGCACCATATGGGACACACACACACACACACACACACACACACACAACACACACGGAAGGAATGACGCAAATGAGCAGGCAAACTCAGAATACATGAAAAACATGACCAGCGAGAGAAAGGCAAAAAAACTGGTTTAGCCAGAAGCTAAAATGACCAGTGAACTCTGCACATGTAGCAAAGCATAGAGCAAGCTGCAGCATACCTTCACAGATGGATCTGTAAGTGAGCCGGGTACATCTGCGCCATATATGGGTTTGTTGAACATCAGGTTTTTCCAATATTTTCTTTCCAGTTCTTCAAAGTTGGCTGCTTTGGGAGGAGAATATCTACGAACAGCCGTAAAGCAGCAAACAATAGAGAAAACAGCACCGTGTTGTACCAGAGTTGCGGTGAGTGTCAAGCTCTAAGTAACAACATAGTTCTGCCCCTTCCGCCTGTGTAAGCCATGTCCTGCATTGCGCATTCTATGAGCAGCGGAGTTTTTCCACCATGCCTCAAAACTTTGTTACAATTAACAACTCGCCATTGACTGGGATCAAAAGGAAATGCAGTGCACTATACACTTTTCTACGAATTCTGAAGCTCCAACACAGCTATCCTCACATTCCATTCTCAAGCTCCACCACATTCTCCCTTTCTGCAAACTGGTCTTACTTCCCTAGGAATTTTTGGGCCTGGACCATCCTCAAAGTGAAGAGAAACACAAATACATACATGCACACATACAGAATACAGAAAAGAGAGAAAGAAAGACATAGATAGATATGCTGTCCGCAGATTGAGTATATATATATATATATATATATATATATAGAGAGAGAGAGAGAGAGAGAGAGAGAGAGAGAGAGAGAGAGAGAGAGAGAGAGAGAGAGAGAGAGAGAGAGAGAGAGAGAGAGAGAGAGAGAGAGAGAGAGAGAGAGAGAGAGAGAGAGAGAGAGAGAGAGAGAGAGAGAGAGAGAGAGAGAGAGAGAGAGAGAGAGAGAGAGAGAGAGAGAGAGAGAGAGAGAGAGAGAGAGAGAGAGAGAGAGAGAGAGAGAGAGAGAGAGAGAGAGAGAGAGAGAGAGAGAGAGAGAGAGAGAGAGAGAGAGACAGCTCGCTACAGACACACAGGCAGACAGTTCATCACATACTGGTCACTGAGGGCAAGTTCTCTGTGCTTCTTGACGGTCATGGCCTTGTGTGGGATGTTGTACTGTTCACACAGTCCTATAGATAACCAGACATGAAGTGTAACTCGGGTCATGAAAGCAGATTAAAAGACAATACCAATACTGTAAAGACTTTTAAGTACAGTTGATCAGCCCCCTCTGTAAAATCCGCCCCCTGTCGAATTTCATGTGGAAATCATATTGGTAGAAATCAGTCCTGGAAGAAACTTCTAAAGTATGTGGCATGTTCTAGGTAAGCCATATTCGAATTATCAGGATTCCACCTGTCGTCGCACTGGCACTAGTACTTTGTAATGACACCATCAATGTTGAATGCAACTTACTTGTCAAGTAACGGATGACATGTAATACACTGTGCTGTATTACAGTGGGAAACTTTCACTAGATATTACATTTCGCTATTTTGGGACACGTTTAGAAAACTTCACTTCTCAACTCCAAACTACCCTGAGGATGGGCCAGACCCGAAAATGTGGTTTAACGTAAATTTTAATTCGAATCGCAGTGAAGTTTCTGGAGTTTGAGTTGAGAAGTGAAGTTTCCTAAATGTGTAAGTGGCCACGTTGGAGTTTGCGGACAATTATTTTGGGACAGTCACATACTGTATGAGATAATTTAAATTGCCACAAGCTACTCTGTGTATTGCTCTTGGACAATACATGTATATGATCCAATTACTGAATTAGAGAGATATAATTGCAAAAGTTTCTCGTCATGGGCCAGGGTAAATCTTGAAAACGCAAAATTTGAATGCAGGAAAAGTTTCCCGCTTTTTAATAGCAGTTCCCAGCATGTACGTAGATCTACGTATGTATAATGTACAGTGCATGCTGTAATGTTGTCCTGTCGATCCAGATTTACAATTTTAAAATCAACTCAATCGTCAATCGATCCTCATGCCAACTAACCTCCTCTGCCAGTCACCATCTGAGCGATAGGAGTGGGAATAACCATATCATCCACAGCTGAAAGATTTGACTTGGGACTCCATTCTTTCGGTGGAATGACCTGCCATCAAGCAGTGCGATACATATTGACATGAGTAAACTTCACTGCCATTTCTTCTCAACTCAATTAAATAATTCGACTTTCCATACCTTGGCAACTCCATACTTGTGAGCGCCACAAGACTCCATGTACGTAACATAAGCCTCAAAGTCTTTGAATTCTTTCATTGATGGCCTGAAAACCATAACACCGTCTTCCGACAACTCATACCTACTGCCCATTTTTACGATAATTATTGACGGCTGATGTTCAGCACTCTCAATTTCTACTCAGGGTCAACTAAGCCAGAGAAATCAGAACACGCTACAGCACGAACAGAAAACTCCTCTGCGAAAGAGAAAGCACTGCCAACACAGCAGAAAGCTTCGGCGAATGGTCGACGTTGTCGTTCATGCCCATGCTCCAACATTCTTCCACTGCACAACGACTTGTCACCAGGTTTGCCACTGGACGATGTCCATATCGATGTATGTGTACACAGCAGTGCATGCAGGAGAGTCCACAATGAATCAGGCAGGGTGTTGCAAGTCACAACTGAACTCGACCATGTACTACTTGTACTTGTACTTTTTGTAGAGTCTGTGAGTACGCCAAGGTCCCTACCGTACCTAGCTAGAAATAGAATGCTACACATACACTGATACACGTACACACTCAAGTGTCTGTCGGCTACACACATCCTGCATGCAGCCTACTGAGTACTGCACTAGCGCACTGGGCATGCATGCCGGCAGTACTGCATGATGAATCACGTACCGTGGACCAAGCAAGGAGTCGTCATTTGACGACTCCTTGCTCTGTTTTCAACAAAATAAAATAAAAATCGTATCCTTGGCGACCAAAATATGGCGTCTGACTCATGTTGTCCTCGTCGTACATCATGTACATGTAACATGCGGTGTTCTTTGTGTGTTGTCGTGTCCTCTGCATCTGCATGATAGACATGAAACAGCACGTAGAAAAAATCCTTGTCAGCTTCGTCTTGTGCTAGCTCTGTAGCTACTTGTTTTGTAGTGTTTTTGGAGGACAAGGGTACCTACTACCGGCTTCCGGTCCGGCAGCGCACATTTGCCGGTATACGAGTCTTTAGACTTGCTGAGCGTATAACATAACGACAGATTTGAAAGTCCTTTCCTCTTTGTCCTCTGGTGTTGGTCGTCAAGACTTCACTCTTGGGATTTGTGTTTTTGACTGAAATCTTCGAAATGGGTGCTGTCCGTTTCTTTATCTTGGTCGGACTGATGTGTGGTTTATTTGGCGAGTCGCATGGCCAGTTGGATAATATTTACTGTGGGCGAGACAATTGCTACGATGGTGAGTGGTGAATATCGTCTCAGTGAACAGTTTGGAAAATGAGCTGGTAACATGTTTGTTTCGTCTTTCAAACGGTCTGTGCCTTTCTATGCATCTATTTATCTTCATCTCTGCTTGCAGTACTGGAGATTACACGAGATGCAACCCCAGTGAGTAGAACATCGTAGCTTGACTTCAGCTGAATTCAGTGTTGTATTCGTAAATAAAATGTGTGCAGCACCAGTAGATCCACGAGCTCCTCCCGTACATGTAGACCTACAAAAGTATAAGGTGTGCATCAGCCATCATGGAGTCGTCAAATACCGTAGTTCATGACTCCCTGGTGTGCATAAGTCTGAAAAGACACGCATGGCTGCCTGTGTATGTGCTGGCCATGCATGCCATGGATCCTGTTTGCAGGAGCACGTGTGTTTAGCACGTGGCTATCAGTGTGTAATTCTCATCTAGAGTTGAATCCATGTCTGAGTTTGGGATGGCCAATGAAATGATTTGATTCACCCCAATCTACTAGCATGTCATCTTTGCACCAGTGGCTTTTGTACATGTGCTTTTCTTGTCGTGCACACGCTGTGACAGTGTGGTGGCGTCACTCTGTGCCTGTGTGCCATGTGTCCTTTGTCTGTGCCGACCTGGCATAGGAACTTTAACCGCACGACTGCTATTGGTCAGGATTTCCACGTGTACGTGTGTGAAGTCCGTTCTCGTTCCTGGTTTGCTGTGACTTGTTTCTCGTTGTGTGCAGTCTGAAGTCCGCAAATCGTACCGATCACTAGCCCGCAAGTATCATCCGGATAAGAACAAGGTAGTATTTGTCGCTTTGCCAGTCGGCCAAAGCTTTGTTATTCAGCTTCCCCTCATCTTGTTATTGCTGAGTGCTGAAATTGTTTGACATGAAGTGTTGAAGCTGCCTGCTTACATGTGCATGCAGTCTAAGCTTAATTATCTGGATTCCATTGTGCATAACCGTTCAGAAGACATGCCTGGTAAAGCACATGTGTGTTGGATAATGCTTTGGATAATGCTTTTCAATAGACCAGCACTTGAGGCATGTTCTGTGCCTTGCATACCATTCCCATGTACATTCGGTAACCGTGTGGACTTGTTTGTTGACGATAGAATTGTGCTGGTTGTTTGTGTTGCCATATCAGGACAGCAATGCCGAAGAAGTCTTTCAGCGCTTAGCCAATGCCTATGAGGTTAGTATTTGTACCTTGTCAGTTCACTCCAGTAGCTCGATCCCATTACTGTACTTGAAGTCTACAAATGTTCGGCCCATTCAAATTTCGGCCTCCTAGGGCTAAACCCATTTCGGCCGCATCAAATTTTCGGCCGGTACTGCTGCCGCCTGTATACACTGTCACACTGAACCTTGCAAAACAAAATTTCAGCCGCAACAACTTTTCAGCCAAACATGACCAGGCCGAAAATAGTCGAAAATAAATATGCGCCGAATGTTTGTTGACTTACAGTAGGATGCTACTAGCGTTTTGCAGTGTAATGGTACGCTCTGAGTTTAATGTGTAGTGCTTGGCTCTTTTCACCGTGCTTGCTCGATATTGCAACTGGGATTGAATAGTGTTGTGTATGCTGCACGCATTCCGAATAGTTTTTTTTTAAGCCAACATCATAATACCCTAGCATCTGCGTGTTTGAAGATTGTATAGCCCAGTCGGAAAAAAAGATGATAATCTTGCTTTTGACCAATGGGTGCTACTTTGACCTTTTCAAACCCGGGTTTTGTCAACCTAGTGCAGAATGCTCTTCCCATTGTATTTATTTATTTGGCCAGGTTTTATATATTCGACCTAGTTGGCACCGATAAATGCACAGATATGCTGGTCCAAGCCTGTTTTCCGGCTGAATTAGAATCGAGTTTTGAGCCTGATGCGACTCTATGGATGTACATGTATGGTTGTCACCGTGTGTGTGTGTGTGTGTATTTTTGTATGTTTGTGTGCGCGTATGTAAAACTGTGCTTTGTATCTGCGCCATCTTCTATACTTCTAGATCTTGCGAGATGAGGAATCGCGTACCGACTATGACTACATGTTGGATCATCCTGGTACGGAGAGAGCTGCGGCCGCCATGCTTTTTCGTGTGCATACTATGTAACTGTTATGACTGTTGCAGTCATGCTGATGTCGGATTGAGGGGAGCAGCTGGGATTGCAGGATTGTTGGTGGTTACATGTAGCTGCTGAATGTGTAGAGTTGACACTGGGCAAAGTGACCACCACCTGGTTTAAGCAGTTACCTGATCTGTAAGACCACTATTCTGTGCTGCCCGGTGAGGGGAAGAGGCAAAGAGATCGTACTGTAAACCCGGAAAATTTCGGTGGTGATTTATTTTCGGTAACTTCGGTACAGGTAATTTTTGCCTAAAATAAAATGCTACCTAAAATTCAATCATGCCATGCCACTCAGTGTGCAAAATGCATTTTTGGATCTGGAAAACTGGTTTACCCAAATTTTGCGCTACTGAACGGTTGATTTTGGGAAATACCAACAATATTACACCACCGAAAATTCCCGGTTTTACGGTATATGATGCAGCTCACAGCAACTCTGACTCGGTAGTAGTATGTTGTTTCTTCTACTGACCTATGCGCTTCTTTTTGCTATTTGATCGTCAGATGAAATGTACGGCAATGTGTATCGGTACTACCGCCATCGTGTTGCACCGAAGGTCGACTTGCGTGTTGTTGTGGCCGTATCCATCACCATCATTTCAATTCTTCAGGTAATTAATCTCATCGTCAAGTTTAGGATGGAATCTTCGTCCTTATCTCCGTTTCTGGACAAAGGTGTGCTCTTATCCTGCGGAACTTCCCAATTCCTCACTAACCTAAAACTTGGTGTTTGTGTATAGTAAAAGCAAGAGTCCATAGCCCCAAGAGTATGCGACTCTGTATATGGGATCTGGCGCACACATGCTACCCACATGACACATACACTGGTCGGTAGCTAGAAGGGCAGTTACGGGGGGGGCTTTGAGTTGACTTCAAAATCGGTGCGATATTCGCAATTTTGAACAACGATAGAAAGTAACCAGACGAGGGGGGGGGGGGGGTGAGTAAGATATTACATGATAGAACAATTACCTACGCCTTGTGATACTTGTTTAGTCAGCCAAGTTTAGCTTATGGAGGAAGTGTAGTGATATTATCGCTTTCCTACAGTATCTGTTCACTTAATTTTATTATTTTATCATTTTCAGGCTTCCTGTTGTAAGAAATTAAGAATGCCTGTTTCGTCTTGTGCTTTCTGCCCTGCAGTACTTGAATGGTTGGCAGAGATACAATGAAGCAATCAAGTACGCCCTTGTCACACCACAGTATCGCAACAAGGTATTTACTTAGGGTCTGGTGTTGGTTGGTCATGGGCTTCCCTCCTCTTATATTAACGTTTTTGTTCTTTTTGTTTTTGACTCTTCTCCATCGGCATCTCTTGTAGGCAAAGCAGCGTGCGACAGAACAGGGGCTTTTGGACAATATTCGCAAGGGGAAAAAGTCAAAGGTATGACTCGTGCTCATGTTGACATGCATGTTGACCAATTTCAGCTTGTTTTGTTTTCGTAATGCTCACTTGTCTTGGATTTTGTATTGTCAATTGTGGTATGCACGAGTAGCGTTGTTAATAATAAGCACTCAGGCGGCTGTATTCTTTTACTATGCGTGTTTCTCCATCCGTCCCTGTTTGTTCAACTGGGAATCTGTCCTAGGATATGTGAGTTTCTCCTCCAGCTTCTCAGTCGAATTCATTCGTGGCATGACTTGGACGTCTGGCGCATATTTTGTGATGGTGTTTGATACCTGCCGTGTGATTTCTTACTTGAAGTAGGATATTGCAGCTTGTGTATCGGCATGTTCTTCCTGCTTGTTCCCGGTACGTATAGGACGAGATCAGACAAGACGAAGAGGCTGTTCTAAGGAAAGTTGTTGAGGAGAGCTTAGACATTCGGTAAGTGATCTAGTCACTGTGTTTGCCTGGCTAGGGAAAGAGCAGTTCAGCCTGTTGGCAGGTGTACTTTGCTGGGGCTATATCTCCTGCGTCAGACATGCTGACTGTGAAGGCCAATCACTTGCTAGGTCGTTAGTACAGTATCCATATTCTCTACAATAAGTGCCCAGAGTTCTTATTATTTCAATGACAGCCGTCCTGTGCTACTAGAAAGACTGTGCTGCTATTAGATATTGTGCTTTTATACTCAGATATTGTGCTTTTATATATATTTTTTCAATGGCCGAGCCAATTTAAGGGGTTTTAGTTATTTCCGAAACTGATGTTTGACAATAACATGGGCGGCGGAGAGATTGTGGTAGATCGATGTGCCTTCTTACAAACATGTGCTTGGAAGTTGGCATGTTCCATCGCTATGATATTATGCAGTCAATGCACTGTTTCCTGCTCCAATTGTGGCCCACGCTACTATTGGAGACTGTGCTCTTATTATTTCGAGCAACTCGTGCCCAGGTCGCTATTGGTGACTGGGCTATTACTGGAGACCTGGGCTTTTATTAGAGAAAATACGGTGTTCATGAACTGTGGTGAAAAAGGAGGACAAAATGTTACGAGTTATGACTAACTGTCCACCTGTCCACTGTTGCACTCGCTGACTGTATAAGATCTGGTTACATTGGTGGACAGTTAGTCATAACTCGTAACATTTTGGAACTAAATATTGCGACAGAGCTTTCGGCCATATTTTCAATTTATTCCATGTGATAAGTTGGGAATGCAATAAATCGTAACATTTTGTCCTCCTTCTTCACCATAATTTAATTGGCTCAACATCCGAGTTATAAATTATGAACTGTTGTTACAGTAACTGTAAGGTGTGCATGTGCAGTGTAGACAGTTGCTCGTGCCCTGGCATGGGTGACACTGTGAATGCTTGCTTTTGACGACAAGTTCTGATTGCTCGTTCTGTCGTCTATGCGCGTGTATGTGTGTATGTGGATGAATGTATTTGTATTGTGCTTTTCAGTGGTGGCTATAGCAAGCCTAGTCCGTGGAATATCCTATGGATACATCTTGTCCTGTCGTAAGTTGGCCGAGAAAGAGCCTCGTCTTCATGATGTCTTCAGTCTACATCGCTTGTTGCTTTGTTTCTGGTTGTGGGGAAGCTGCCGTTCTGGCTCCAACCATCATCAGGACAGTGCAGACAAGTGATGTCCAACCCCTGGTTTCCCGAACATGAAAATGCATGATGTGTGTACACGAACTCACACGAACTGTTTGGTTTTACTACTGCCGTCTTGTTTTTCTTTCTTTTTTTCAACATGGAAGTGGATGCACTTGCATTTCATGCATGGCGCAAGCAAGCCCATGCTCACACTGAACCTTGGAAAACTAGAGGTCAGATTTTGCTTGCTACCACTGTCCATTGCTCACTGCAGTATGCACACGGCTAGTAGTGATGTTGTGTCTTAGTTTTCTGGACGAATGATCAGAACTGACCCTGTGTTGTCGAGGAGATTCTTTGCATGCTGGCACACTGCGCAATCATTCCTGCAATCTGTACACCTTGCCTTGTAGCTCTCCTCTTGCTCATGCGTATTCATGCTCCTTACCTCGCTCTCTATCTGTCTGTCTGTCTATGTTCTGTGTGTTGCTCTCTGTGCAGACCATACTACTTGACATGTTACCTGCTTTGGCTGGCGTCGTGGCATTGGCGGTATTCTATTAAACGTCAGTCACTAACAGATGAGGATAAAGAGTACCTTTCCTGGAAGTTGCTGAAGCTCTCTCAAAGCAGATGGGAGGTAAGCAAGCACTATCCTTCTCTCGTTCTGCCGGGGAAAAAATGGTCGAAGGGCAATGCTCTTTACTAACCTTCGGTGTAGGCATCATGCATAATATTTGTGCATGTATGCGATGCAGAAATGTAGAATTCTGTTGTAGGCTAACGACCACATCGTGACTTGCACTGCAGCTTACTCAAAATTCTTTCTTAGTGACCTGATATTCTAGTACCGGTGCATGCATCACTATCACCGATTTACAGAAAAAGCTCGCTATTGGGCTACCAATCAACTTGGGGACGTATGTTCACAGTCTCTTACTGCACTCCACTATCCACAGTGATCAGCCTGCTGTTGCTAGGGATATCAGCGAACGCACTGCGCAGGGTGTTCGCGCATATCTTACGTCATACAAAAATCTATGAGGCGCGTGGCCGACAAGAAAAAAATGGTGATCGCAGAAATCAGGTTGTTGGTCAGGTTCAGCGCATGCCGGCCAGGAGTAAAGATTCCAATCGACACTCGACAAGAAGGCTGTTTGTTGGTTTGTTTGAGCTCGATTCATTCCGGAAAGGAGACATCAGGAGCTAATATTCTTCGGAACCTATGACTGGTAAACGTTCTCACGCAAAAACATGGTAAAGGCGGAAGACGTTCGTAGCTGGACGGAGCTATTTTGCAACAAAGAACAGTACTCGTACTTCCTTGCGAACAGGCCGCCTGGTGACCTTTGGTTGTGTCTGGAACTTGTTGATTTTGCTCTAGCCATGCCAAGCAGGTTTCCAAGACTTGGGCCCCTACTCCCTAGTCTAGACAGCCATGATCAGATAAAGAATAGGCAAAGGTCCTCGACACGAGAACAAGTAGTATTGTCACTGCACTGTAGTACAAAACTTCAAAAGCACCACGCATGGTACAGGGTGCCCAAGTTTTTCTTTCAATTGTTTTCGCGTGAACGCCGCAGTGGATTTCCTCCAGTCTTGGCACGTGTAGTCCACATGATCTGGCCAATTCAATGACGTCTTCAAAAGGGGATTTCCCTGGTTAGATCTTGCCAGGTACCAGCCGATGCACTACGAAATCCAGCTGACGATCGTCCATTTTTGAGCTGGAAGAAAGTGCCTCGCAAACCTGTGGATGACATCGAGAACAGTGTAATAAACGATGAATGTTTTCGTAAAAACTCGGATGTTGAGCCATAAAGAGAAAAGGACCTATGAGTACTAGTTATGATTAACAGTCCACCAAGGTAGCGAGATAATAATATATAGTCAGATAGTGCGACAATGAGGCACAAAACTGACAAGGATATTGAGACGTTGGACGATCTGACACCTAGATTATGACTGTATAGTCATACTCACAATGAGACCGGTGTGCTCTGAGACCGGTGTGCTCTGAGACCGGTGTGCTCTGAGACCGGTGTGCTCTGAGACCGGTGTGCTCTGAGACCGGTGTGCTCTGAGACCGGTGTGCTCTGAGACCGGTGTGCTCTGAGACCGGTGTGCTCTGAGACTATACAGGAAACTCCCCTGATAAGTATCTATTTACTTTTGGAGAATCCTTCAAATAAAAGATGAATGAATGAATAAGATGTCACTGCCGTGACCGTTCCTTTCTTGAAAATCATGCGTCGCAGCTCTGGTTTTCTTGCGAAAAATGGATTCAAGCACAATCAATCTACCTGCCACTGAAGAGACAAACTTTCGCTTTAGAACTACTAGTATTCACAACATCTCGCATACTCGTTTTGTGATAACTCGATCATTTAAAAGAATAAACGGTACTTGATAAGAATAAATGGATGATCGTTTCATCCCTATCGGAATCATAACTCTGTTGGATAAATCACTGTGTATTCACTGGGTATAATCTAGAGATGATGAAATCTCAGTATTGCAAACAAAATACCATCGCTCCCTTGGCGTTCGTCGTGTGGAGTTTGGCTGTAGGCGGCACATACTTGACCTCAGTGCATACACGGCCAAAGAGTCTTTTGATTATTATCCCATAACAGGTTTGATATTATCTCCCCATCATTTTTGGTTTCTTCTTCTTTTCTCTTTGAAGGCACTTCAAGACCACGAGCAAGAAGACATTCTGGAACGGGAAGTTTGGATACCAGAAAATCTTAAGGTACATGTAGTTGAATGCATTTTCTTGCTTGTCTAACTTGTATTTTGAAAGAATTTCTTTGTTGAAGGCAGCATAATATTAAAGTTTCAAGATATATTTCGAATGAAAACCACAAAAAAATTGAAACCTAGGAGGTAGGTGAAGCATATCCACAACTGGTCAAGTGAGATGGGGAGCATCTTCAAGCCAACGGCAATCTGTCAGGGCAGCAAGGTGGTACACACACACACAAGTCACGCTGAATGCCTCCGGCTGTTTCTCCAGTACCTGACTCGGGACAGAAGTACTTTTCCTGTCATAACGTACTGTCCGAAGCACAGCTAATCACATTCACCCACAGTATTGCACAGTTTACGAGGAATTCAGCCATGGCCTGAAACAAGGTCTGGCCAGTAGCATTGTTATACCCTGGCATGTCCAGGAAGCGGGTTGCTGCTCTACCCGTCTCCTCCCAGTACCGTACCCTGATTCCGAAGTACTTCTTCTCGAAGCCATCATTGCCTCCGTCACCCGTTTCACTGAATGGCTGAGAGCGGCAGTCTTTGGTAACTGCATCATTGGCTGCCGGTACCAGGGCAGTGGTCTTTGTCCTGGCACAAGAATACCGTTGAGCAATTTGCTATCCGGGAATATTTTCTTGGACAGCTTGCTAAAATGATCTGCGGAGGACGGTGGCATGTTATGCTCCACCAAGAACTGTGTACATATTGGCTCCGCTGTCAGGACCCGATCACTAATCGCTGGCTTGGCTGCAGCAAAGAGAACACTCACTGGTCACTGCTTGAACACTGGCTGATAACGAGGGCATTGACGGGGCCGTGCGTGCGCCGGGACGCCGTTGTCTCCTCCACTGACACTTCGAAGGCTCTGGCCGCTTTGAGCGCTTTGTTGAGGTCAAGAGACGCAGTCTGCAGCAGTTTCCTGCGGAGCGGATCAGACGTGCATCCGGCCACAATTTGATCGCAGAGGGCGACTTTCTGCTGGGCATCGTCAGCGAAGCTGCAGGTCTGTGCCGATGCCAGCAAACGAGCATAAAACGTATCGAATGTTTCGCCAGGCTGCTGGGTGACCTGACGAAAATGGAAGCGGGCCATGCTGGGGCTGTGCTTGGACTGAAAATAGTCGGCGACGGCGGATATGAGGCCGTCGAGATCGTTGCCAGTGTTAGCTAACGTAGGGACGAGCTGCTGAATATCCTTGCCAGCCACATACTGGAAAGTGTCTCTCTGGCGAGTGGTGTCCGAGATGCCGACTGCGGCGACAAAGAGTCGGAAACTCCGTTCCCATGCAGAAAAACGGGCGGCAGCGTCGTAGAGGCTGCTGCGGACCGGGAATGGCCCCGGAGGTGGTAGTGGCAGTAGGGACATGGCGAGGATCAGGTGTTTGCTTGCAGCGCCAATGTAATGTTGTTCTTTTGCTTTATTCCGAACAACAACTAACCCCGGAGCTCTGGAAAGCTCTGTAATAGGATGCCAACAGAATGTGATGGTGTGCGTGCATGAGTACAGAGTCGGTGCGTGTTAACTATCAGTACAGGCGTGGGAAGCAGCATATGTAAATGGATAGGAGTACAAACGGTGCCGCATGCATACATGTGAGTAACAGTCCATCGAAACTTCAAGCGGCGATTTCAGCGGGCGATCTTCATCATTTTTCAATTTTTTCGATAAACCCACAGCTGAGATGCATGCGGATCAAATGAGCATAAAATCTACATACGTCACAAGTAAAAAAGTTCGCGAAAAATCCCACCGAACTTTGCGCACTCAACAGTGCATTCGCTTTCAATGGAACTCAAAAGTTTGTCAACACTTCACTTTGGCAACTTTTATTGATCCGAATTTGGTCTGGTCTTTTTTATACGAAAGCTTTGTCCATCTAAACTAATCTGCATACAACTTTCATATAACAAATCATAACCGTTCTTGAGTTACAGCAGTCAATCAAATGCCGCATTTTCCACACTAATTTATTTGGTCTCCCCTAAAGGGTTCATATGAGTAGAGTAAAACCCTATAGCCAAGAGTACATAACCAAGAGTACATAACCAAGAGTACATAACCAAGAGTACATAACCAAGAGTACATAACCAAGAGTACATAACCAAGAGTACATAACCAAGAGTACATAACCAAGAGTACATAACCAAGAGTACATAACCAAGAGTACATAACCAAGAGTACATAACCAAGAGTACATAACCAAGAGTACATAACCAAGAGTACATAACCAAGAGTACATAACCAAGAGTACATAACCAAGAGTACATAACCAAGAGTACATAACCAAGAGTACATAACCAAGAGTACATAACCAAGAGTACATAACCAAGAGTACATAACCAAGAGTACATAACCAAGAGTACATAACCAAGAGTACATAACCAAGAGTACATAACCAAGAGTACATAACCAAGAGTACATAACCAAAGAGTACATAACCAAGAGTACATAACCAAGAGTACATAACCAAGAGTACATAACCAAGAGTACATAACCAAGAGTACATAACCAAGAGTACATAACCAAGAGTACATAACCAAGAGTACATAACCAAGAGTACATAACCAAAGAGTACATAACCAAGAGTACATAACCAAGAGTACATAACCAAGAGTACATAACCAAGAGTACATAACCAAGAGTACATAACCAAGAGTACATAACCAAGAGTACATAACCAAGAGTACATAACCAAGAGTACATAACCAAGAGTACATAACCAAGAGTACATAACCAAGAGTACATAACCAAGAGTACATAACCAAGAGTACATAACCAAGAGTACATAACCAAGAGTACATAACCAAGAGTACATAACCAAGAGTACATAACCAAGAGTACATAACCAAGAGTACATAACCAAGAGTACATAACCAAGAGTACATAACCAAGAGTACATAACCAAGAGTACATAACCAAGAGTACATAACCAAGAGTACATAACCAAGAGTACATAACCAAGAGTACATAACCAAGAGTACATAACCAAGAGTACATAACCAAGAGTACATAACCAAGAGTACATAACCAAGAGTACATAACCAAGAGTACATAACCAAGAGTACATAACCAAGAGTACATAACCAAGAGTACATAACCAAGAGTACATAACCAAGAGTACATAACCAAGAGTACATAACCAAGAGTACATAACCAAGAGTACATAACCAAGAGTACATAACCAAGAGTACATAACCAAGAGTACATAACCAAGAGTACATAACCAAGAGTACATAACCAAGAGTACATAACCAAGAGTACATAACCAAGAGTACATAACCAAGAGTACATAACCAAGAGTACATAACCAAGAGTACATAACCAAGAGTACATAACCAAGAGTACATAACCAAGAGTACATAACCAAGAGTACATAACCAAGAGTACATAACCAAGAGTACATAACCAAGAGTACATAACCAAGAGTACATAACCAAGAGTACATAACCAAGAGTACATAACCAAGAGTACATAACCAAGAGTACATAACCAAGAGTACATAACCAAGAGTACATAACCAAGAGTACATAACCAAGAGTACATAACCAAGAGTACATAACCAAGAGTACATAACCAAGAGTACATAACCAAGAGTACATAACCAAGAGTACATAACCAAGAGTACATAACCAAGAGTACATAACCAAGAGTACATAACCAAGAGTACATAACCAAGAGTACATAACCAAGAGTACATAACCAAGAGTACATAACCAACATAACCAAGAGTACATAACCAAGAGTACATAACCAAGAGTACATAACCAAGAGTACATAACCAAGAGTACATAACAAGATAAATCAAGAGTACATAACCAAAAGTCCTAAACAGAGTACATAACCAAGAGTACATAACCAAGAGTACATAACCAAAAGTACATAACCAAGAGTACATAACCAAGAGTACATAACCAAGAGTACATAACCAAGAGTACATAACCAAGAGTACATAACCAAGAGTACATAACCAAGAGTACATAACCAAGAGTACATAACCAAGAGTACATAACCAAGAGTACATAACCAAGAGTACATAACCAAGAGTACATAACCAAGAGTACATAACCAAGAGTACATAACCAAGAGTACATAACCAAGAGTACATAACCAAGAGTACATAACCAAGAGTACATAACCAAGAGTACATAACCAAGAGTACATAACCAAGAGTACATAACCAAGAGTACATAACCAAGAGTACATAACCAAGAGTACATAACCAAGAGTACATAACCAAGAGTACATAACCAAGAGTACATAACCAAGAGTACATAACCAAGAGTACATAACCAAGAGTACATAACCAAAGAGTACATAACCAAGAGTACATAACCAAAGAGTACATAACCAAGAGTACATAACCAAGAGTACATAACCAAGAGTACATAACCAAGAGTACATAACCAAAGAGTACATAACCAAGAGTACATAACCAAGAGTACATAACCAAGAGTACATAACCAAGAGTACATAACCAAGAGTACATAACCAAGAGTACATAACCAAGAGTACATAACCAAGAGTACATAACCAAGAGTACATAACCAAGAGTACATAACCAAGAGTACATAACCAAGAGTACATAACCAAGAGTACATAACCAAGAGTACATAACCAAGAGTACATAACCAAGAGTACATAACCAAGAGTACATAACCAAGAGTACATAACCAAAGAGTACATAACCAAGAGTACATAACCAAGAGTACATAACCAAGAGTACATAACCAAGAGTACATAACCAAGAGTACATAACCAAGAGTACATAACCAAGAGTACATAACCAAGAGTACATAACCAAGAGTACATAACCAAGAGTACATAACCAAGAGTACATAACCAAGAGTACATAACCAAAGAGTACATAACCAAAGAGTACATAACCAAAGAGTACATAACCAAAGAGTACATAACCAAGAGTACATAACCAAGAGTACATAACCAAGAGTACATAACCAAGAGTACATAACCAAGAGTACATAACCAAGAGTACATAACCAAGAGTACATAACCAAGAGTACATAACCAAGAGTACATAACCAAGAGTACATAACCAAGAGTACATAACCAAGAGTACATAACCAAGAGTACATAACCAAGAGTACATAACCAAGAGTACATAACCAAGAGTACATAACCAAGAGTACATAACCAAGAGTACATAACCAAAGAGTACATAACCAAGAGTACATAACCAAGAGTACATAACCAAAGAGTGTGCAACTCGACGATCCCCCAGCCAACTAGACATCAGTCTTTGGCGGCGGTTTGGCTCACTGATGCGATTATGCGTAGCCAGAGATCAAAGTACATGTACAAATAATTTGTACATTACAGCTACGGTAGTCGAAGCAGAACAACGGACGATAGATCGATGTGTCTTGAACCGGATGAACTCTCACCGTATCTGCAAAACAAGCGCGGGAAAGCATACGCACTTCATTCGACTGCCAAAGAGTGACGCAATAAAACAATTCCGCCGTAGGTGAACCCATCGCAGCTCAAGATGGGAGTTGCACACTCTTGGCTACGTACTCTTGCTGTAACTAAAGACCACCGTGACTAACGACCAGCCTGGTACTACACACCACTTCACCAGGCATGGACCGTCTCACATTATGGTTGTGCGGTGCAAACCTCTAACTAATGACTACCTGCCACTGAAGACCGCTTTCTCTGGCCTCAAGGGGTGGTCGTTAGTCACAGGTTTTATAGTACATGGAAGTACAATCATGCACATGTATGTACACAATCCGATATGCCACAATTGTATGGGACCTGGTTCTAAAGACCACCTGGCTTTAACAGTCGATTTTGCTTGCTCCGTGGGGTGGCCGCTTAAATTAAACCAAGTTTTACTGTACTTGTGACATTCTCTCCTTTTTGGCTACTGCCACCTTCTCCAGGCGTATACACAGGAAAAGGAAGACGAAGCCAAGGCGAAATTGGCTGAAAACAGTCGTTACAAACAGTACAGGTAGGTGCAGATGTGTGCTGATGGGTTGTTAACTTGTGTCTCTCAACTGTCGGTATTGTACTACGTTTGCCTGTATGTACATGCGCTTTTGCTTGCTTGATGCTGGTTGTGAGTCGGGCGTGCTCATTCATTGTGCTCTCTCATTGTTTTGTCCGTCGCTCTTCCTTTTCTGTGATTCTCTCACCGTACTTTAGGCGCTACATGAAAAAGAACGGACCAGGTCGAATGACATTCGAAGACTAAATACAGAGATCGGAAGAGACTTTTTACTGCATGAAACTGATTATGGGACATGGCGAGTCACCTGTATTTCAACATGAAAATTGCATGTACAACACAGACACAGCTCATCATTTCATATTATTTATTCCTGACCCCATGCTTCCTCTTCTATAACTCTTGTTTGCTGCACTTTCCCATCTGCTTACGTACCTGGCAGGGAGACATGTACATACTAGTCATAGAAACTACATGTAACCTGATCTTCCTCCTGGTGTCCTGAATTACTGCTAGTCCGTGTTGTGCACACTGCCTCACTTGACTACAAGAGATCGTTATTATTTTTAGTTCTGTGTTGCTGCTGCTGCTGCAGGCACATAAGGTGCGTCAGCGCCTTTGTGCTGCTCTGCTGAATTCATCTTTCCAGTGGCTCCTGAATCTATGCCGGTGTTTTCACTACATCTGCCCGAAGTGTGATTGTATTTAGTTCTATTTTCTATACTCAACTGCAGCTCAGCTGTACAGCGTTATAGCTGATACAGGTTGATAGTGCGCGTGAGAGGAGATCCTCGAATAATATCATTCTGTCTCTTTGTGTGACTGTTTGGAATGTCTGTGGAATCAATGCGTGTAGAATGTGCATTGTACATCAGAAGGACGCTAGAGGTACACAAAAGGAAATAAACACAAAATTGTTTTTTTTTACCATGAAGCTCTGAGTAACAACGAAACAGTCCTCTTTTCAATCGGTTAGTTGGTCCTTTTGTGTACCTCTTGGCTCGGCTGGCTGGTGTCGCCCAGTTATACTACACGTGCATTGTAGCCTTGGCGTTGCTCAGTGGGCTTACGCGTAATATCAAGAGTACATAACGGAAACCCCACGTACTCTTGGGGCATGATCGATTGGGCGAATCCCGAGCAAGTGCGCTCCGAGTGAGCGTGATCGTTTGGGCCAGGGAGTCGTAATATGTATTTTACGACTCCCTGGTTTGGGCGAATCCGGAGTAGGTGTACTTGGAGTGGAATCCGACCACACAGTGACACCGGGAGTGGCTGGAGTGGAAATGGACTGCCGTTTTTGGACAGCTTTCACAGAATCGTTATACGATATGCGTACTACACCCTTGTTTTGTTCAATTGGGCCAGCGTTGCTCGGACCACACCGCCTGCTCGCACTCAATCCAGGTTCGCCAATCGATGACACCCTTGGTATGTGAGTGTTATTCGCCAAGTAACAGTAGTTTGGGGCAGGGAGTAACCATGGTAACGTTAGTACTACTACTGTACTAGTACTCCTCCCTGATTCGAGGAAGCCACATACTCAATAGTAAGTTACTATCACACTGCCCATGTCCCTAAAAGTGAGAGGGAATACACTTTGCTGACACAGCTGCTAAGCACATGTTCATAATGCAGCAAGTAGCAGGTGCTTCAACTCAAAAGTAATTACATTGTAGTTGACAAAAGTCACAAGCATGCACGAAGCAAGGCGTAGACCTACAATACATATCAAAAAGTACACTTTGTACAGTCATAAGTCGTAGGCTGTTTTGTACAAAACAGCCTACATACTAGTAACCAACCGTACTTCGTTGGCTACGCCTTCTGTAGGCCCTAGGCGCTAACGGCGCGGTCTAGACTAGGGAGTCGTCGGTCACGTCGCTAGCGCCCCGGCCCCTGGCCCTGCATGATCCCTGGCCTGGCGCCTGATCTGCACGCGCTCAGCTGATCGACTACCTTTTCTGGTACGACTCGGAGTCTACTGCCTACTGGCCTTTCTGTTCTGAGCAGGGAGTAGTACTACATGTACTCCCTGGTTCTGAGCAAGATCCGTATTTTCAATTTATTTTGGTTTGTCAGTGTGTGCAGTGCAGTGTAGAACGACGATTGGTGGATTTGTCCAGAACCATCAACTAATCTGATCTTCATTCCCCAGTCGTGGATTGTTGTGGAACTTGAATGCCATGTTGATGGTAAAGACCGTCTGTGTCCAGGTCTTGCTGGTCTGGACAATCCTAAATGGTAAGGTTGTCAAGCAGGTTGTCGAACAATTCACCATGATTTGGCAAGTGCTTCGCAATTCTTCTCAATCCTCATTTGCTGTCATTGCCGCTCGTGTGTATGTGTGTGTGTGTGTGCGTTTTCCGGTACATGCGGGTGACATTAATTTTTCCCTTGCACGCCCCGCAGTTGTCACTGCTCAGGATAGTGCCGTCTGCTCCATTTTGTCAGACGGGACTGATCTCAGTGCCGCGTTCAGCATCAGCACGGTGGCTGGCCAGCCAACAGCCAACAATGACAGTGATGTGATACAGAGGCCTGGCCAGCAGTTCACTTTCATTTGCCTAGTGACTGTCCCTGGCAGTGGTAGTACGGCACCTACCTTCCAGTGGTCGTGGAATAGCTCCGCGGTCGTACCAGCAACAGCCACAGTACGTCGTTGATAGTCGTTGACATTGCCTGCATAAGTAGTACCTGTGCTCAGCAGTAGGACCTGTGAGTAGCCGGCTCAGCAGCACGACGTATTAGTCTTGCTGTCCTACGCTCACTTCTAGGGACACAGCCAGTTAGGCAGAGCTGTTCAGAAGCATGTCTGGATAAGCCAGTTTGCATAGCTACATACATCCTAGCATTATGTTTTCACTTCAACAAGTCCAGCACTGCACCAGGCATTGTAACTTTACATTAGACTGCCATGTTGTAGTGAACAGTGCACTGCGTGTACAGTAGAGACTAGCGTCAGTGCCACTGGATAATGAAGGGAATTGGCAGACATGTGCTGTATAACTTAGTTGAAGGGGGGGGGGGGGGCAGGTGCTTACAGTCAATTTCGCTTATAACGACACTCGGTGGGGCGTCAAAAAGGTGTCCTTATTCGCGAAGTGTCGTTATACCCGAAGTCTCATTATAATTATGTATTACAGTGGGATGGGACTTTGCTCTGGGCATGGAAATTCTGTCGTTATTCGCGAATTGTCGTTATATCCGCAGTCGTTATTAGCGAAGTTGACTGTAGCTGGTCCCCCTGTTAAGGGGTGCACGGGCGCGTATGTGGAGGATCGCTGGTGCATGTTATTCATGGTCATTATGTGCATGCTGAACCTACAGGTCGAAATTTGTAAGGGGGGGGGTGCACGCAGGCGCGTGCGCTGGTGCCCTTCAAGGAGGGGTTCGGGGGGGGGGGGGCTCCCGCGTGAAAAGTTTCAAAAAAATGAAGCAAAATCCTTCATTTTGAGCGAAAAAAGGGGGGTTCCGGGCACCCAGGAACCTATACGGGGCACGCGCCTGTGCACGTGCCCCCTGCCCACGGGGCACGCGCCTGTGCACGTGCCCCCTGCCCCATGCGAGTGACTCGCCCGGGAGGATATGTGAAGTAGTAGTACTGGACATGTGGAAGACCTATGGACCAAAAATTAAAGCGGTGGTTTCCTGAAGCCGCATGTTCAAATCCCAACCTAGGTACCTGCTTTTTTGTTCTGGCAATTCACTCACTCACTTACTCACTTACTTACTCCTTGCCCAACTGACACACCCAGAGGAACATCTAGAGAAATCGCCAATACTAGTACTTTAACCACTGGCTATCATCAGTGAAATGTAGGAACGTTCGAGATTTCGTCAGCTGATTCTGTGGCGCTGTTCGTTGGACAAGGAGTGAGCAATACTGTAAATCAAAGTTGTTGTTGCTGTTGCTGCTGCTGTTGCTGCTGTTGTTGTTGTTGTTGTTGTTGTTGTTGTTGTTGTTGTTGTTGTTGTTCGCAATAGGCTTGCAGCAGCTCTATCACTAATTACTCATTGACCGTTGCAACAGGTAGTACGGACCAATGGAATGTGTCGTTGGTGCTGTGCGCCGCAATGCGTACAAATGCTGGTGCATACTCTCTTCGGCGTACTGGTGCAAGTGCCACAGTCCAGACGCTCACTCTTTATGGTAAGCCACAACCAATGTCTCTGAGTGTGCACATGAGTATGTACAGTACTCTTGCAAACGAGCGGTCTGTTCATGTACATGTAGTTGGTACATGCATTCCCATATCGTTACACCGTTCCTTCTTCACTTTGCCACATGTCCATGGTTGGCTCCTGCTTGATGTCTTATGGATAAAAAGTAGGAATAACACTGTAGTGAAAAGAAGAAGGACAAAATGTTACGAGTTATGACTAACTGTCCACCAACGCAACCAGATCTTATACGGTCAGCGAGTGCGACAAAATGGCACAAAACTGACAAGGAGTACTGAGACATTCGGCGACCTGACACCTAGCTCCAACACTTCCCCAAGGCGCAAACCAACGACCTTCCAACTTGGAATGCTCAGGTTTGGAAAGGTCCAAGAGGGGAAGGAAAGTGCAACGAAGAAGAGCACGAGCTATGCATCACAGCAACAAAGAATGCCGAAAGTTACTGGATGATGACGAAACTAGTAAGACTATTGGACATACCGGCCTTACTACAACTCGACGACGCAAAGCAACAGACCACCCAACTTGGGAGGCTCAAGTTTATGTAATAAACGTAGAAAGGGGAAGCCAAGCGAAGACGAATTGTGACAAACCGAAACGTCAACATCCTACTGAACTCCACTATCATGTATGATGGACTAGTCATGTACAATAACAAGTAGTTCCACACGACGTACGTTTCACCGTATAGGTCATGACGGCTCATCAGGTGTGCAAAATGTAACTCGGATGGTGAGCCAATTAAATTATTGTGAAAGGAAGAAAGACAACATGTTACGAGTTATGACTAGCTGTCCACCAACGCAACCAGATCTTATGCAGTCAGCGAGTGCGACAAAATGGCACAAAACTGACAAGGAGTACTGAGACATTCGGCGACCTGACACCTAGCTCCAACACTTCTCCAAGGTGCAAACCAACAACCTTCTAACTTGGAAGGCTCAGGTTTGGAAAGGTCCAAGAGGGAAAGGAAAGCGCAACGAAGAAGAGCACGGGCTACGCATCACGGCAACAAAGAATGCCGAAAGTTGCTGGATGATGACGAAACTAGTAAGACTATTGGACATACCAGCCTTACTACAACTCGACAACGCAAAGCAACAGACCACCCACCCAACTTGGTTTTGTCCTTCTTCTTTTCACAATAATTTAATTGGCTCACCATCCGAGTTACAATAACATTGTAGAGCATCGTTCTTTGCAACAGCACCCAAGAACATTATTTCGTTATTCTAGGACGCGCACGGAAACACATCGCAACGCCTGTTCTGGCGAAGAAGCTGACTTGAGCGCACATTGTCGGGCCCATTGCAAGACCGTCGCCGTACGACTGTGAAGCGTTTCCCCAAACGCAAAATGAAGTATGAATGTGGCGCGGCTTTCGCTGTGGTGAAAGTTGACTGTGATTTCATGCACAGATTGTGAGACGAGCTTCATGTTTCCTTGTCTTTTATTGTGATTATGTTCTTGTTCTAGTTGGCTGTGGTAGATTGACCAGCGGGGAGGGTTGACCGAGGTGTAAGAACTGACCGTCTTATCTTTTGATGTGCCTGTTGCTTATGTGTAATTCTGTCTGCAGCACCTATTGAGTTTAGCACAGCTCCAGGGAACACCGATATCGACAAGGGCAAGTCGGTGACACTGCGCTGTGTAGCCAGTGGCTACCCACGGCCAAGCATCGACTGGCGCCGAGGCGGTCAATCAGTGGCCAATTTGGACAGCCGCTTTTCCGTCTCCAGCAGGTTTGTGCAAAGTCCAGGACGTGTTCCGTGTGTAGCCAAGACCAGTTGTATAAAGCTGTGCGTAGAGTCTCCCACCCGTTCACAGGTACAGCATTGAATGATTGTGCAGGTACGGCACGTGCACACAAGAAATGCAACATACTCGCTTCCTTTACCATGAAGTGTACACAGTGGACTGACAGCACATATGCAGCGGGCAAGTCCGTGCTTGCACTGAAGCCCGGGACGACCAGGGCTCGGACTTCACCTACCTTCATTGTACTGCAAATAGTCCCTACCTTCACTGTTCTAAAAGTTGACCTGCTCCGGATGAGGAACAGTATCCATTCCCAATATTGCCACTCTAGTTGGACACTGTGAAAATATTTCAAAGCAGGGATGTGTGGAACACCATGGTCATCCACATATGCAAGGATAGAGATGTATTCGCTAGAGGCTGACTGGCTGGCAGACAGACAGACAGACACATGCACACACATATGCACAGAGAGAGAGACAGAGAGAGAGAGAGAGAGAGAGACAGAGAGAGACAGAGAGAGAGAGAGCACACACACACACACACACACACACACACACACACACACACACACACACACACACACACACACACACAAAGAGAAAGAGAGAGCCAAAGCACTTGAAGAACTGTGGGGCGAATCATTGCTAATGACTGGCTCACTCATGCACATCTTGCTGTAATGCTTCTTGCTTTGGTTCTAATTTTTGGCTTTAAACCCTCAGCTGTCATGAACATACAGTATGGAATGTTTACAGTGTGCAACACAGTATGCATTGGGTTCATATTGTCTTGTTGTTTGCTTATCCCCATCCACTGTCCCGTATGTACGTGTTCCCTATGCATTCCCTACGTGCATGCCATCTTGCCACAGCGAGCTCGCCGGCTCGCCGCTGAGAACGGTAGAGGCCACGTTCACGTTGACGGATGCACAGTACAAGGACCGCAGTGATGGCACATTTAGCTGTGAGGCGAGCAACAGGCGTAGTGCCGGAGACCTCTCCTCGGAATCACGCTCTGGCATCATTGTTCGTGTGCGAGGTAGGGGTTTTCTGCATCTACTGTAGAACTACTGCATGCCACTTACAAGTGGTTTTAGTCTCAAAATGAAAGACACTACCGTCAAAGCCCCTATTAACGCCCACCCAGTATAACGCCCGCTGCCCGTGTACACACCCAGGTGCCGATGTCCACACTTCTGTCCCATTTTCTAGCCCACCTCCGTGTAAACGCCCAAGGGCGAAAGCACAGGCCCACAATAGCGCCCGGGCCCAAAGTGACGCCCATGTTTTGGACCTTCACAAATGTTTCCGCCCAGGGCCGTATCACGAGCTTTACGGTACTTCAGTATTATGTCTATGCTACTAGATGATCACTGTGCCATGCAATGAACGTTTTTTTTTTGCACCACTGTCAATAGACTGGCATACTGCCCATAAGCAATTTTGTTGACTAGTATTGAGCGCGAATTTATTGTCTCATTTTCGGCATGTCTTGAACTACCTGTAGTACATGCAATTGCTGCAGTAGGCCATGCAAGTGCTGCAGCAGGCCATGTTATCAGCTTGATATGGCACCGGGCCTTGGACACAGTACAGCAAATTACTGATCTCCTGCCAATCCCAATGGATGTAGGGTTGAGGACTTCGCGAAAAGGCAAACGAGAAATGCAAACAATCCCATGAACAACACAACACAACACAGTGGAGCAAGGCAAACTCAATGCAACTCTGTGTTTCAAGTTCAATGCAATCCTCAGGCAACATGATGGCGTATTCCTCTGTGCTCCAAGTCCTGTAGTTATAGGATTTAGCAGTTTATGAAATAGATAGTTATCTCACTGCAAGTCACATAGAATCATGTACGTACATGTATATTCTATGTTGGACTGTTATAGGAGTACATGTAGTAGGGCATAGAGTTCACTTCTAAACAAGATGGAGGACATGTAACTGCAAGTTAACTGTCGCGATGGGTTGGTTCAAACTTTGTTCGGATTCAATTTCGAACAGGAGTATTTGCTCAGACCATGCAGTGCTTTTCAGTTAAAGCAAAGAATCCTATTTAAAAAACAAGACTCCCGTTTTCCATTGTGTGTAGATCCTCTTGGAGCCCTTTGGCCTACTCTGGGCATAGTCGTGCAAGCTGTCATTCTGACCGTTGTACTCTTCTGTGACCAGAAGGTGAAGCAAGCAGCCAAGCTGGCCGGAGGGGTGGCCATGTCTGGCTCTGAAGTGGGTAAGTCATACTGGCAGCTGCTGATGGTAACTACATGTAGTAATCCGATCAGAGCCCGTCAGCCACCTTGCACCCTAACTCACCTTTAGAGGAACGCAAGATACAGGGATTGAAATGCTCGTACCTGGTGCTCCTCCGTAACGTTTGGTCCGTAACATCCTTCACTGTAACCCGTGTTGCCACTTCGTGTGCGTTGCTCTACAAGTCGTGTGCTTCTTTCTGTGTGCATAGCGCAAAGATCAGGTTTTTGCTGCGTGTTGTTAGAAATTTGATTTTCAGATTGCCATTATGGCATTGCCGAACGACTCAGTGTATAGTATATAATTAGTGTTCCCCAGACCCTCGATAAGTCTGCATATTACTCTCCAGCGTGACAGAACTTTAGTGATAGCTTGCATAGACCTCGGTCCTACCGGTAGGACCATCATACACAGACATGCTGCATGGCCATTGTTGTAACATTGGCCTAAACTTGACCCTAAACTGTTGCTCAGGGGCTAATGAAGGAGTCCACAAATTTTAGACGTGATCGCACAAAGCATAGTACGAAATTCCATGGTAACAGCAAATAGTAACCATGGAAACGGTGTATGGAATTATGCACTCCACTGCCTTGGTACATGGTAGACTAATAAAAACATTAGTACCTCACCACGATTGATGTGCCATGGTCAAAATTCACTTTGGACAGAGTTGCTAGCTCTCCGACAGGAGTATGTGCGGCCATTTTGACAATTGATAAAATTGCGCGTATGCAATGCACTGGACATAGTCTTGCATTTTGCGCCATTACTTTGCCTGACAAAGACCTCATCTCAACAATTGTTTCAAGAAATTTCTCAACCAAAAGCACTTTTGCAGCGCGATTTCTTGGGTCCTACCGGTAGGACGGCATGCAAGCTATCATTAGACGCATGCTTTAAGGATGGCGCATGTACCATCCTGGAATCATTTAGCAGGGATAGTTATTCCACAAGCCATAGTATGACCCATAGCACGTAATTGCCAATTTCCAATCCAAGGCGAGGGCATGTGAAAGCCAACCGTGGCTGAAAATCATGACTCAGAGTTAGGGGTGAAAGTTTGCAGTGAAATCCCGAGTTTGACTACTCTGGTCTTCTCCAATATCTTGAGTAACTTATTCTTCGCTTGCTACAAATCGCATAAAAAAAGCCTGAATATCATATCATGACCCGATACAAGCCCCGATTGAACAGACTGGTTAGAGTTTGTTGATTCGTGGGCCGCCTGGGTTCTCTGTGTATCGTCTGAGATGTACGGTGACCTGCTGGAGCTCGTATCATGCCTTTCTGTGTGCCCGCTTTATCTCGCAGACCTGGACGTCATTCTAGGCCGCAAAGACAACATCATGTCTGACGAAAGGTATGCAAAGAAATGACACTTCCTCAAACGATTGTGCCCACCTGTGACCCACACCTGGTGCTGTGCAACGCTTTGTGCTGCATTTATTGACGTTGACCAACCAGCGTGTACGACAATTGTACTTGTAGTCGGTGATCCGTTATTCATGAAACACGCGCGCGCAAACACACACACATACTCACACACACACACACACACACACATACTCACACACACACACACACACACACACACACACACACATGCCCATGGTGCTAAGTTATAGGCTATTCATACTACGTTACAATACGCGTCACGTTTTGGAATACGACGTACTGGCAGACGTCGTTTTCATGCAGGTGCATTCACACAGACACGTACACGGTGCTCGTACAGCTGTGTGCACAGCTTCTTTTGGACACAAACTGCTGGGAACGACAGAACGAAACTCGGTACAGGGGTTTGGATACGTCGTCTATATTTTCGTATCAGTGGTACGATTTTCCCGCCACGTTCCATGTTGTCATGGCTATCCGGACGAGAACGTCACGTACACCACGTTTTGGGCGTAGTGTGAATGGCCCATTACATACTGAAGTTTCGCTGTGCCTGTGTTCATAATGAAAGCCACTTGGAAATTAGTTGACTTGTGATTGGCCATGTTATGTGCATGTAAGCTTCTCGATTTCATAGATCCTATACTCCTAGATTTAATGTAGTGCGCATCTGTGTTACACACACACACACACACGCGCACACACACACACATACACACACGCATGCATGCACACACACACACACACACACACACACTCGCCATCTGCTGGAGTGGAGTATTGTTCGGATGCACTGCTTTGTGTGCTGTATTCTCCAACAAACATGATATTACGGAGGCGGTTGCTGTTGATTGATGGGTAAACTAAGTCGGTGGTTCTGATCTTGTACAATGCGCTGCAGGCAACAAGCGGAAAGCACTGCAATGACCATCGACTCTGCTCCCTAAGTTTCTCATTCGCTGCAGAGTGCGGACGAGCAGTGGTGAGTAGTTTTAGCAGCTTGTGTATTACATCATGCACTTCAAGGTACACGTCCAGACCAGATAATGGGTCCTGGGTGTGAACGTGCATACATGCACATGCACACAGGCTGTACAGTGGTGCAAAAAATCACGCTTCGCTTCTTTAGATTCAGTTAGGGTGCGTTCCTATTTTCTCTAGCTTCTCGGAGAAATTTCTCCTGGAAGTCAAAGAAACTGGAATAGTTTAGGAACGGGTCTCGAAGAATTCGGAGATCTTTTCCACACGTGAAGCGCCAAAGGGGCCGCGATCTTGAGTGACACGAATGTAGCACGCACTGACCACTGTGCGTATGCAAAAGGGAATATCGTACACTCAAAGATCAACACGTGGCGTTTAGCAAAAATTCACATGCGCTGACGCCAACATGCGGGAATCAAAAAGTTTCAATCACCTCTGAAGTTTGGAGAGCTTTCGAGAGTCTCCTAAAATTCAGAGAGGATTTAAGAACGCACCCTAAGACCGAGTGTTCAGCAGGGGGATCATGATGTGATGCAACTCGACGTGGGCGCGGGCCGATCTGTGCAGCTCGTCCCCAAATCTTCCCACCGGCAACCCGCCAAACGACACATCTATGATCTTGCCACATGGGTGGAAGCGTTCACCACATACTCGAGGGTGCTGGCCGACGCCTCACCACAGCTGGCAGGTGATCTCTGGGCGTATCAGGCCATCATTGTCGATGCCAGCGTCCGGTTCCACAATGATGCCTGGCTGTCCTACGACCGCAAATTCCGTATGGCCAAGGCGTCCCTCCCTCACCGCTATTCCTGGTCCGTCATTGACCCGAACCTGTGGCAGTCCTGTCTCACGGGCCGCGGGCGGCCTCCGTGCCAGCGTTGCTCCATGGTCCATCCAAGTCAGCCCAGCAGCTGCCCCTTTCGTGGGGGGCTCCCAGCCCCAACAGCGCCTACGGGGAGCCAGTTCTCGCACCAGCCTGGCTTTGACGGCAAAGCCATCTGTCGTAATTTCAACTTCGGCAGCTGCTTGCTCTCCCCCTGCTCCAGAGCACACGTCTGCATCCAGTGCCGCGGCCGTCACCCCGCACGCCAATGCTCCAAGTCTGGTGACTCGACCAAGAAATAACTCTCACCCCAGTGGTGACGCTGCTTTACAGGTGCCCACTAGCACGCCTGTTCATGTTCAGCGCTTTATCAATCTTCCCTCTCCTCATCCAAATGCAGTATTTCGCTCTTATGGTTCACAAGGCATGCAGTATGGCTTTCGTATTGGCAGCTTTCGCCCCATTGCATCTTCTGTTATGTCTCCTAATCACTCTTCGGCTTGTGCTTGCCCTGCTGAGGTTACTACTCATCTGCTTACCTGTTGTGACCGCGGAGAAACTGCGGGCCCATTTGCATCTCCGCCATTCCCTCACATGCATATTTCTGGTTTGGGTGCTATCCCGAAGTCTAATGGCAAACTGCGTATCATCCACGACCTCTCGCCCCCTGTCGGCTCGAGTGTGAATGACGGTATATCTCGGGATGAATTCAGCCTGCAGTACGAAACTGTCGATACAGCTATCTCTCTGATCATGCAGGCAGGGTGTGGCGCTCTTTTGACAAAGGTCGACATCAGGAATGCATTCCGTCTCTGTCCTGTTGCCCCCTGTGACTGGCCCTTTCTGGGCATCTTCTGGCAGGGACAATTCTATCATGACAAAGTGCTACCATTTGGATTGCGTTCTGCACCATACATATTCAATAAATTCGCCACAGCAGTCCAGTTTATTCTCGAGGATGCATGCCACCTAAGCCAATTACTCCACTACCTGGACGACTTTCTGAACGTTAGTCCGCCCCACCTGCCCGTTGCGGACCATCATCGCTCACTTATCTTAGACATGCTCCGCTATTTGCAGATACCGGTGGCCTCTGAGAAAGTCGAAGGCCCATCCACATGTCTCACCTTCCTCGGCCTGGAGCTGGATTCGCTGACGTTTGAGATCCGGTTACCGTCCGCCAAACATGGGGCGTATCTCGGCAAAGTCAACGGCCTCCTTCAATCAGGCATGGCGTCCCGGCGCGAACTCGCCTCCGTGTTGGGCAATCTCTCGTTCGCGGCCCGCGCTATTCCTGTCGGTCGTACCTTCCTGAGGCGCCTGTACGACCTTGACCGTGCAACAAGCATCCTTCCAAAGCACAAGGTTCTCTCTGGCAATAGCACCGTCACTGCCAGCTCCTTCGCCCAGTTACCCTGTGGTGCCAACCAACTACTGCTGTGTCTGTGTGTGGGTCGTGTATGCCTCCGCGTACGGAGCATGCGTTAACTCAAGCATAATTCTATATGCCTCTACATACATGATTTTCCTGGTTCCTGCCACATGTGATTCATGGATATAATGCGTTGTGGACAATGCCTAATGCCGCATAATAGTACATGTAGCATATCCCTGGTTCTGGAGCCGCTTTGGACTGTACTCTGATTACTAAAGTCTTGACCTGTATGGCAGCATACCGTAAAAGTCCGTAAATAAGTACCTGCATGCCCAAAATCCCGTTAAACATACTGCCCGAAATATGTACCAATACGGTTCGCACATGCAGCACAAAGCATGTATCTGTACATGTACTTCGAAAGAAATGTATCTGCATGAAAAATGATGTCTCCGTTATGCACAAGTCAGATCAGAAAGTGAGTTCGTGCCCAAAAGTCAGTACCCGCCTGAAAGTTGGTACGGGTGTGACCACTAAATTCAAAAATATGTACGTACTGATTTACGAACTTTTACAGGAATGCTTTCTTCCTATCTTTTTTTTCATTACCACTAACCAGCTAAGGAACTAATTACATGTTACCACTTTGCCCACATCTGAAAGAAAAAGGGGTCCGATCGGAATGCGTTCCAAGTCAAGGTTCATGCCTAAGCACTCATCAGGTCATCAGGCTCTGATGATTGCTTAGGCATGGAGTATGTACAGCGGCTGAGCCTATTCCAATCACCCCCCCCCCCCCCTCTCTCTCTCTCTCTCTTTCATAATATGAAAAAGCTCTGTCCTTTGCGCATGGAGCACTTTTCAGGCAGTCTGCCAAACCGTTCTTTGTAATCACGTGGTCCGTGTTCGCAGCTTGTACAGTTGACCTTTGCTAGTGTCCAACCCTTTCAATTTGTCTAGATCATTTTTTTTGTTATCCAACATTTCCAACTTGCTTGCATCAAAGAAGAAAAAGGGCAAAGGCCGTATGTACATACCAGCCATTACTTTACCAGTGCACGTTTACCATATTTGCCCGATTATTAGTTGCGCACCCCCATTTCAAGGTTCCTGTCATATCGTTTCACTTGCACAGGAAGTCATGCGCGGTTGTAAATCACATCCCCTTTTAAAGTTAAAAGTGTGAAAAGGTGCAGCGGGGAGATACGCTATATGTGTGTTGCTTTTGTGTTTTCTCGCCACAGTTCTAATGGTGCACTGGGGTCTATATAACCTCCGATGAAGGATAGGTGGACAGCATCGGCACAAATCCCCGCAAACTGCGCAGTACAGTGATCATGATGCCGAGAATCTATTCATCTACTGGTCAGCACGCTTCCGTGCCGATCGGTTCCATGCTGTCTCGGCAGGACCGTCTCTGTACAGTGTGTGTGTGTGTGTGCGCGCTATCGTGCGAAACCTGCCAATATGCTGTAAAGCTTGTTTTGCCTGCTGGTCGACATTCCTCCCTGATGTTGTTCAGCATAGGCTGCAGTATATACCGGTACAGAATCCTAATCTTGGAAACGTTTAGATATTGTGTTCCTTCTTTCCAACACGCATGGGCGAGGGTTCTTTTCACAGTTATAGTACATGTTAGTGCCCACGTTGCCAGCCATGGCAGCTCTTTTTTTGGCACCAACTGTGTATAATTATTGGACTCCACTGAGTAGTGAACCTTGAGGCTCGGACCAAATACCTAGGTCCAGTAGTTTGCTAGGCCGTCGCTGCCATCATGCTGCACACCCACATCATACACTGGGTGGGCCGTACGGCATGTTGACTTGCGTTACCTGTACATAAGTTTAACGTTACTGCTGCTGCGGTGGTCACATTCTATCAGTGTGATCAAAGTGACTAGTACTCTCGCTGTGGTACTGTGTCCTTTCTGCATGGCTTGATGGCACCACCGCATGCTCTTATCTCGTTGTTGGCATTTCTTCGCCGCTCTTCTTCAGTAGAACTTGGCATGTATCATTGTAAATACGTTGAACACAGCGTGCTGTGCTACTGCAGTTTTTCAACTTCTTTTTGAAAATTTAAACTAACGGCTGTACTGTGTTTGGGGAACACTTATTGTAATGTAGAGGTTGTCTTCCTGCTGGCTGCATTCACTTCTCTTGCTTGTTCTTCTTTTCCTTCTCTCTGCTGTAACTGCAATCTGCCTTTATCACAATGTGTGACATTTTCGCAGGGTTAGGGTGTGATGTTGTCGCAGTGTGGAGGCCACCATCACGGTGTGTGCGCTTGTCATAGGGCTTGGGTGTGACATGACACGGTGTTGCAGTATGTCGGGGGGGGGGGGGGGGAGGGAGCGTAGTGTGTGTTGTGAGGCTGTCACAGGGCTGTAGTGTAGTGTGTGAGAGACCTGTGCTGGTTGTTGCAGCGCGAGGGAGGCGAGAGCATGATTATCTCCCCATAGGGATGATGATCAGTTACATGCAGCCAAGAGTCCATAATTATGGACTCTTGATGCAGCTGGTTACACACAAGTAATAGTTGTGCCCGGGCAGTCGTAAAGTATACAATGTCATGAAGTACTAAGTTCTAAGACGTAGAACTTACGCGTGTTCTACATCTCCCTAGAGGCTAGTCGTGCCACTCGTGCCCAGTCCAAGTAACAGGTACAGTCACACGCCGTCCCTCCCGACGTGATGCAGGAGCTTGGCAATCCCCATGGTAGCAAACAGGGAGTAGTATAAGTATTGTACTACTCTCTGGTGGCAAAGTCTACCGAGGCAGAGCATCAGGCATCAGTTGTGATCACGACGCCAATAGTGAGTACTACTTGTAGTATGCTCGACGATCACACAAACGAGAGCGATCAGGGATCAGCCACAACCTAAACTCGCAAGGCGTCTTGAATATCTGTACCGGAGCAGTGGCAGCCTCCACGGAGGGCGTGGCTACCGGTAATCATGTTGTTGAAGCCGTTGATGAGGCACGAGCTTTCGGCCGAAGGAAGCGCCAGGTCTCAAAGTCAGTGGGTAGCGTTACCGAGCACAGCAGACACAGCATGCTGTGGAGATCTTACCTCTCCAGCGGCAGCTGCTTGCAGTATCAGACGAAAAAAAGGTGTGTCAACTTCAAGCAAGTTGTCAACGATGTGGTTCACACCACAACCGTCCTGGCAAAACCGCACCCTGCTGAAGAAGTCGGACAGTCTACAGAGATGGGCTATGTGTTGTTTGTTTGTTTATTTAGAGTCGAAGAACAAACAGGCAAATTTGCCTACATGATATCGACTAAAAATGAAAATAAAGTATAAAAGGTCAGTGAAGGTAATGATACTGAGTAGAGTGGGTAATGAAGGTAATGATACTGAGTAGAGTGGGTAATGAAGTATTAAAAGCCAGTTAGGCCAGTAACGGAAATGATAATACAGCTATGTCACGTATGTGTGTGCTATGGAGTATGGTCTGCCGTTGCAGAGTGTAAGCGGTCTGACCATTGTGTAGGTGGGAAATCCCTGAATACCCACCAAGACCTCACGACGAGTCACGTGCCCAACCAGCGGTTATCAGCCGGCTCGCCATTAGATGCATGTTGTTGTTGTTGATTTTTATTTTACTTCGCAAAGCCAAACGGGCAATGGTGCCTATGGAAGCGAATTTCAAAAGGGAGAGAGCTACGGGGAGAGAGAGAGAGAGAGAGAGAGAGAGAGAGAGGGGGGGGGGGGAGGGAGGGAGATGATAAGCAATTTTGCAGCGTCAACAGAGCATAACGAGCGTTGGGATCTTCTGGCCGGTGTACTCAGGTACTGCAGGAGGTTCTGCATATGCCCACTACCTACTGTCGAGGTCGAGCCACGTTTGCTCCCACCACACGGACATCTCTGCCGCCTCGGCCAGAGGCACGCCTGTACATACGGGCTAGGGGCTTCTGGTAGCGGCTACAGGACGCCTTTTTTTCTTCTTTTTTTTGATGTAAGGGTTACTGACCTTGGTCCGTCCTTGCTGTATCGTCCGGAAATCCGTAGCCACCTCAGAACACACGAGCGAATAAGAAAGCGACTTATGATACCGGAGCCAACCAGCTGGAACCAGCATCATTCAAGCCACTGGCGTTTTCCTCTTCGCCCCGTGGCGGGCAAGAAAACCACCATCAGGCAGTGAACACATAACTAATCACTTATCAGTACTAGTAATGATCATTGGTCACCCGGTCCGTTCCTGAGTTGTATACACACCTGACTGCTGGTCAGTTTCCCATCCAACCACTTTCTGCAGATGAATCTGCAAGATGCCTCGAAATGCTTCTAACCCTACTGTAGTGTAAGCCGCAGTAAGCGTGCCCGTGGCTTTACATCAACAGGCGAGCACGCTTGGCGCCAGTCCGGCAGGTTGTTGGTGGAAGTAAGTGACTCCAACCGTACCATCTGCACCATGGATGTGTACTGTGTAGTAAGAACCATGGCATCATGAGAACGGGAGGGGGATAAAGCTGCCAGGCCTGCCAGGCCGGGTTAGTTTGTACTTGTTGTACCAAGAGTACATAGGTTTATGTACTCTTGGTTGTACTTGTAGTGCCGGTATGTCTGTGAGACCTCGCACTCCGCAAGCAGTGCTAGTGTGGTGACCTGGTGGCTAGTAGTAGTACTAGTGCTGTACCACTCCCCGGTGACCACCATACATCAGCGCGGTGGGCATGCTAGGCTAGGTGTGTAGTACAGTTCTGGTGCACCGGCGGCAAAGGGAGTGATGGATGAGTCTGTCATGATGCACATGCACATGACGAGTGATGTAGCAGAATGATAATGATGGTTTGACTGCTAGCTGTCTGTAGTGTTGGCGTCTTGCGCTGTCGACATGTCATGCAGCATGACTTTTTTGGCCGAGTCACCTTGGTCACGGAATAGCGGACACACAATCAACAAATCGGCGATCATCTTTGTCTCTGCTTGGAACTAAGTCACTACCGCCCCCGGTAGTAGCTGTGGTGCCAGTTACCAGCTTCACTCTGTACGGCAGTTTGGACTTTAGTTAGCCACGGTGTTTGGGTGAGAAAGCCTCATCAAACTTTCAAAGGTCGGAGTTGCCTGCCCAAACGAGCCTAGCCAGTACTGCGGAAGGGCCAGACGAAACTCGAGCGCCCAGCTTGCCGACGACGATTGCCTAGGTGCTCTCCCGACGGTCGACGAGTACTCCGTCCCGACTCTGCCTGTTTATTCCGACTAGTCCACTCTAGGTAAGCGAACACATCATTTACATTTTGAACCCGTTTGATTCCTAGGTTATCGCGGAAAATCCGAGTGTTTCATCTACTCATCATTCTCCGAAAAGGAGCTCTGCGACCCTGCATGCATGGTAAGCCGAGCATTGCCGAGGCGAGGGTGCTCTCTCACTCACGCTCAGTTGCGTTCTGGGCAAACGCGTTGGCAAGGACCGTAAACCACGGTAACCGTCCATGTAATGTCCATGGCGGCATGGGTAGACTGTGTAGACCTACACACCTACTGTGACCTATGGCTATGGCCTAGCTGTGCGTGTCTGGTGTGCACATGTGACTTGTGAGGTAACAACGCTGCCGATCCACACCATGCCTCACACGACGAACACTGAGTTTACCGGTATACCGGTCCTTTATACCCCGGCACCATACGCGGAGCTCGCATACTCATGATAATGGCATTGATCCCTTCAAGTTCCACAAGTGTTAGTTTGTATTGTAAGAGATAGATGGGCCAGGCACGTGCATCATGTGTACTGGCTGCAATCAGAAGCACTGTTCCTACCTACTAGTAACTTACTACTAACAGTTGGCTTGCAGTGTGACTGTCCTCCTACTTGTGATACATACAGCTGCTGTCACCATCATACCTAGTGTATTTAAACAGCTCTGGTGCAGTACAAATTTAGTCGAGTAGCCAGAAGTGCCCGTATAGCTGGTGAACTGGGTAAAATGATCAAATCAAACTAGCTGTTGTCAACATTCATCATGTGGTAGTGAGGGCTGGTGGGGGTAGGGAGTAGTGTAAAGTGATGGCGAGAGCGCAATGTCTTGCGAGAACACCCCACCAGTGACCTTGATTTACAGCCAGGGAACGTGGGAACAACGCGTGATCGCGCGAGTGCAACGCAAGGCCACACGATGTAAGAACCGGAGTGCACCAGGGTCACGCACAGCCCTGTACCTGCTCACTCACTGTTTGTGTGCAGACCTCACTGCCACTTTTAACGGGTGAATTGAGTACAGATTGAGTCCACAGCGTGCAGTGTATGTGCACATGTACCCTTGTTTGTACAACTTCGGTTACAAGACAAACCTCATTAGTAGACAACCATCCGAAATCCCCTGACGCCCAAAACGCGTACATGCAAGTCCGCATAGTAGATAATACCCGTTATAAGACGCGTGACCTACAGGTAGGACTCGCTCATCCACCCCACCTCCTAAACACGACCACGGTTGGGTCCAGGTGGCGAGGCACACTCGTGGCAATTTGCCGGGTAGTGGGAACACTACACTCTACAGCTGAGGATCTTCAACTACAGTGTATACGGTTCACGAGGATAACACACAGTTTACTGTCCATGCTACTGTAGCTTACATTCTGACTGGTTCACAGTTGACATGACATGGATCGACGGTGCAACGGTAGGCCGGTACGGGACGTAAGAGCATGTCGGCAAGGCTGGGAGGGAAGCGTGTGTGTGTGTGTGGGGGGGGGGGGGGCTATTGGTTGGGAATCCGGCAACCAATCAAAACACTCCGACCCTTATCCTGAACACTACGGACCAGGGGTCATACGCACAACCGCGGTTAATTTGTGGCTGCACCCGTGTAGCCAGTCATGATACATGTACTCCTCCACATGCATGACTTCCCGTACCGTGGGGATTTGCAAACGGGACTGGCACGTGGCAGAGCACACATCCATCACTGGCCCAAGATTAAACAATTAACAGTCCCACGCTCCTTACCAGACCCAGCTAGTGTAATCATGGTGTGAATGCTGTTGCTGTTGCCCGGTGCTCAGCTGGTCCAAGATGGCGATGACCGGTGCAGTCCGCCCGGCTATTCTGCTAGGCTTGGCGATGGTCATCGGAGTTGCATACTGGCATGGAGCAGAGGCATACAGTGCGGGTGCTCCGTCAAGTGCATGCGGCAGCATGATGCCAGGTCATGGCTTTGCTTCGCAGCCGGTCTCTTCTGGAGGTACAAATGGTGGCTTCACAGTTACCACCAGCTCATCGACGTATCAAGTAGGCGCTACATACACAAGTAAGTTATCAAGTAGGCACTAGTACTACATGCATGCTAGTATAATATCAGCAAGTTACACTCAGTTTAACTTCTACCCAGCTAATTGTTATAGCATCTTACCTTTTTCCCTCTTTAGCATCCTGCTTGAACTCCACGTTGACTGCGTGCTATTTCCGTTAGCGGCGAGACACAACATGTATGAGGTATGTGGAATTGCAGTGCAGTACGAGAACAAACAGGACATGGCGGTTCTGTTTCCCCGTAGGCGATCCAGTATCAATGTTGATGATCTGCAATACTCTCTTCATGTACATTCAGTGACCATCGCTGGATCTACAAACGCATTTGCTGGCTTCATGTGCCAGGCCAGGACAACGTCAAATGGGCAACTGTCGGTGTTCACTGGAACGGTTCCCGCGGGAACACAGAAGATCTCTGGCTGCACGGTATGTCCTATGCAACATTTTGACATTGTGTATAGCACAGCGCAACTGCTGCGTGAGCAGTGCTTGAGCCTCACAGCGAGTGTGAATGTGTTGTTGTTGTTGTTGTTGTTGTTGTTGTTGTTGTTGTTGTTGTTGTTGTTGTTGTTGTTGTTGTTGTCGTCCATGATCTACTGGAACTGTGGAAAGAAGTGCTATTGCGGTGCATCACTGCATGAGTTAGCCATTGGCTGCTCGCTGTACTGGTGCTACATGCACTACATACACTACATGCAGCACTGGTAATTATTACTCTCTGCAGTGTAAGTGTAGCCTTCCTATACTGGTTGAGGGCCTCGCTCAGTTCCGCCCATACTCTACATGCATTTTACCAAGAGTTGATAAACAAGAGTGTGCAACTCCGGATCTCTCCTGCACAATCTGCAGATACCACCGCCCACGGCGGAATGTTTTGTTGACGTCACCTTTTTTCAGAAGAACGCGCATTTCGCGGCAGAGCAGTGTGAGAGAACGTGCTGGGCACCGACCTTGTAGTGTAAAGCCGGCCAAGAGCACGAGGGAAAACTTTCCGAAAGACTCGCAGCTCGTGCGTCGTCGAAAAGATTACGTCAACAAAAAATTCCGCCGTGGGCCTACCCATCCGCAAGTTGCACACTCTTGTTTATCTACTCTTGATTTTACTTATCCCAGACACAACTGTATGGTTCAGTTCACGAGTGCCCTTTATGATCTGGTTGCTTTCTCTTCGGCAGGATGCGTATACGCATACAAGTAAGACGGCCAAGACATCCGTGACGTTCAGCTGGAAGGTCAACAGTGCCAGCGTAACCAGTTTCAAATTTGTGTAGGTTCTACAAGGCAACATGATGCACAGCATCATGACCTCCACATCTGTATGCACCACACCCACACAACTTTGAATAGTACAATCATGATCTCTGGGGTGGGGTGGGGGTGGGGGTATGGTGGTGGGGGTTGGGCAAATGAAATCAGACCAGGTGAATATAACAGCCTTAGGGACTGTGCAGACACTGGACAGCACAGTGAGCACTGAGAGCTCGTCTTTATCCGTAAGGCCGGATTTCCCTTGCCAAGTCCATTCTGCGTACCTACTTTGAAGTACCAGTGAGCAGGGTTCTAGCCAAAGGAGGGTAGGAGAGGGGGGGGGGGGGGGCGCAGCTGTGATTGAGCCCCCCCCCCCCCCCCGTGGAAAAGTGGCACCCCTACTCATTTGTCGATTTTGTGTATGTTCGTGCCATTCAACGAAAATGCAATTGGCGCGAGGGGTTTTTCCCGGCTGGATCGGTCCAGGAAAATTAATCTGACGGTCCCAAGTGGTTCTGCATCATGGCCTATTTCTGCTATCCACTGGCACGCCCATTCTATCTGAGACACTCTGTTCTCAGTCCTTGCTTCCATGCCTCACTCGTTATCCGGTTCACATCTGGCTGCAGCCAACTACCCATCACTTGGTGTGTTGTCGCTATTACTGTCTATGTCTCTGTGTGTGTGCCAGTATATGTGGAGCGAGAATGTTATTTTCTATTATTAAAATGTTGAATAGGGCAGTCCGAGCAGGCCTTTTTACAGGGTATCCGAAAGCCCCGTGGAATGGTGGCATGATTATTGTGGACGAAATGGCGGAGTCTGTCGTTATTTCCTCCTTTCAAGAAGTAGTTGCAACATGTTCTCGTACCTAAAGATGTCCGTCTCAATCTCTGTATTTCTTTAGCTGCACCTTCGTTCAATCCTACAATACCTACTTCGTGCAAGTACCAGGTTCTGATCTGACACTGATGGCCGTAAGTAGACAGTCTTGGCACAACTATGATGTACTGAGAGCCAATCATGCGGCGGCTCTGAGAACTCAGAACTGGGAAATTGCATTCCATCATGACGATACTAGTGTTGTAGATCGAAACTTCGAACATGCTTCACGCTGCATGCAGGAAGAGTGCAAGGACCGGAAGTGCATGTATCACTGATTTTGCTTCTGCAGTCGGTTTTGAAAAAAAGTTCATACATAACGTGTGTATGCACGGTGCCACATGAGTGTTCATAGGAGCGAGTTTGGCCTTTACTGCCCATTTCAGACACCGACGACAGTAGCTCCTACGACAGCAGCTCCTACAACAGCTGTGCCCATGACAGGTACGACGCAACCCGGGGCGACAGCTGGACCGACAACTGCTGCACCATCAACAGCACCGCCGACAACACTTGCGCCCACTACCATGGTAGGGCTGCAAAGTAACACACTATTTGAAGTCCATGTACTAAGATCTAATGTATATCAATTGCAGTGTAGCCTAGAGACCGTTAGAGAGAGTGTGCACAAGGTGTGTGTACAGGATGTATGGATTCAAGTATTGGCTACAGTGGAGTCTCCAAACCCTGAGAAACATGTACTAAGATAGCTGCTATACATATCCGTGACATTGGTAATCGAAATGCCGGAGCAGTGTGTTGGAAACTGTGGTGCGTCATGTTCCCACTGTGGCTGTGCTGCACAAGTGTCTATGTCATGTTCCCACTGTGGCTGTGCTGCACAAGTGTCTATGTCATGTTCCCACTGTGGCTGTGCTGCACAAGTATCTATGTCATGTTCCCACTGTGGCTGTGCTGCACAAGTGTCTATGTCATGTTCCCACTGTGGCTGTGCTGCACAAGTGTCTATGGTTATACTGGTAGCACTGACTTGTGACGGCTCTCCAGCAATTCATCAATAATTCCTATTCCGCATACCCACGTATACTGACCTCCCGCCATAGAATGTCATATCTGTTGCCGTTCTCCTTCTCTTCCCTCACCCGTCCTCACTTTCTCTTTGTCATGTCCACAGGCACCTACCACAATGGCACCTACCACAATGGCACCCACCACTCAGAGAGGACCTGCTAGTACCTCAATGGTATGGAGAACGATAATATTTTGAGTGTCATTGCATTCGGAGGTCTTATGGTCTCATGGGAAATGCCTAAAGCATTGAAATGAAACAGTACATACACGTATGTGAACTGGTGACACTCAGAGTCCCCGTGGCTTGTCCTTGTTTTATGAGAGGTCACTCTCCATGTGCATGTCTCACGCATCTAAGCCGGCATTGACTGGTGCTAATTTGACTGTGTGTGTGTGTGTGTGTGTGTGTGTGTGTATGTGTGTGTGTGTCTGTGTGTGTGCAAAGAGAGACAGTCTGTGTGCAAAGAGAGACAGTCTGTGATTGTCTGCATGCTTCACTCATATGCCATACGGTCATGGAGCGAGATTCTCTTTAAAATTACAAGTGGCTTGGATTGCTGCTCTTATTCTCTAACTGCTACGCTGGTGATGTTTGCTTGTTGCACCAGGTGTCGGCTTCAGATTGCGGCACTGGGAAGTCCTGCTATCGGGATCCACCATCTTGCACAACAGACTGCACCTACTTCTACTCCCAGAAGCCCATTGGCAGCACACAAGTCGAGATCGAGCTCAGTGCCAAGACCCAGGGCTGGGTGGCTGTCGGCTTTAGCACGGATCGAATTATGGTAGGTGGCGAAATGAGACATCAGTAGAAATGTGGCATCCTTGGAGATCTTACACAATGCAATTTCGGTCATGCTTACATACACGCTTGCTGGTAATTTGGTCAGATCACATCCCGTCTTTGAATTGCCGTTGGCTACAGTACAGTGATTGGCAGGGAACGTGAGGATACAAGTCCTTGGATCAATGCTCTATTGAGGAAATCGACCGAAGGAAACGGGGCGATTATGTGTGCTGAAAGATTGCTGGCCGGCGATCTTTGTGTCTGGGAGAACTGTGATTACATATGCGGTGTTGCTGGCCGAGTATCATAAGTACATCATGAAGCGGCTTGCTCTTGTCTGTACGTGCACATGTAATTGACTTGCAGGGAGATGACGATGTAATGGGATGCAACGTGGCGTCTGATGGGACCACCGTGATCGTCAAGAATGCCTTCAATCAAGGCAAATCAAACGTTATCGACTTATCCACCAACCCAGTAAGTCACGTTGATTCACGGCCTCCCATGCTCGGACATAACTGCGTCTGTTTTTGTATCGTCCTCAGGGTTCTAGCCAGGTAAAATAGTAGGGGCGGGCAGAGGAAACAGTTACTTCGTAATCCCTTTTCCATTTTCCAAATTGTATTGCCATCCGAAATGCAACGTACCCCGCCTTCACCCCAGATAAGTGTGGCTTTATGAACCCTCTGTTACTGACTATCGACTGCATTTTTGTTGAATGGCCTGGAAAATGAGGATTAACACACCCATCTGCATGCACACTACACAGCATTGAGAGCATTGAGGTGTGAAGCACTGCAAAGGACCGAACCAATTCTTTACGTACAGCATTTCAGCAATATTGCCATCGTCAGGTGTGAATGAAACAATGAACGAATGAGTGTGTCCACCCAACTACTTTCTATGGCCTTAAAGAAACCCAAAAATCGACAAATGTGTAGGGGACGGCACTCTTTCACAGGGGGAGCTCCATCAGAGTAGGGGGGGGGGGGGGGCTGCGTCCCCTACCCCCCCCCCCCCCTTGGCTAGAACCTTGTCCCTGTACAAGTGATTTTGATGGAATTGCCCTGGGTTCCTCTCACATTCCTTGCGCAAGTACTTGCATGTCAGCTCTGTATTACCGTACCCTTATCCCAGAGATTGTTTTGCATCGTATCCCGTGTTTCAATGCAGGCACCGTTCATCACCAACACATTCTCAAGCTTCGTCAATGGTCAAATCTACTGCCGATTTACGAGAACCCTGACCACCAACTCCAACAGGGACAAGAACCTCGCAGCACCCAACAAATACCATCTGTTATTTGGAACAAACACCGCCGCCAGCGGAAGAGGTATGCCAGTGCAACAAATACATGCACGGTACCGTATTTTCCAGAGTACAAGGGGCGTTCGTTTTTGATCCGCAGGTTTGGGTAGAAACTACTTCTTTCGGTAAATGCGTTCCATTTTTTCCTACTCAAAAGAGTAGATTCTGATACGTTACTATTTATTCGTGAAGACTTGGGAACAGAAACAAAACATGTCATGAGAAAGAACCACAGGAAAAAGAAGCACACTCAACTAATCCGTGTGTGTGCGTGCATGCAGTACAACTATGACGTAATGAATATAGATACACATCACGCCCCTTCGAGATGTTGCGAAACCTGTGACAGCAACATCTATCATAAATAAAACAAAATGAAGAATGAAAACAACAAAGCAGAGACAGCAGAAATTGACATTAGTGATCAAGAGTGTCAATCATAGGACTGTCCATGATGCGAACCAATGTTTAAACGCTGGGGTGGCTTGCGCTGACGTGCGCTGCGGCGGGACGGCGGCGGCGGGGAAGAGGCGTCAGCAGCAGCCGGTTGGACAACAAGCGGTGCAGGCACAAGTGGGCGATACGGACGCAGGAATCTGCGGTTCCGCCAATAAATGCGACCACTCGGCAACTTCACTAGGTAGTCCCGATGATTACCGACAGCAACAATGACCCCACGAATAGACCACTGCTTGGTGCGCGGATGCTGAACATCCACGTGGGTGCCGAGGCGGAGCTGCGGCAACGAGCGACGAGTTGACGACTTGTCTGTGACGGAATCGTCGGATGGCATGGCAGTCTCATCACGTGTCGTCGCTTTGGAGAGCCAGGATGAATCAAACTCCTTCCAATGTGCAATGACGAATGACTGGAGAGAGCGGCCATATAGGAGCTCAGCGGGGCTCTGACCAGAGGAGCCAGGTGTGTTTCGCCATTCCAGTAGCCCTCGGCGGAAGTCATCTGTGTCAAGATTGCCATTCACGGTTGTCTTGGTGATAAGACGCTTCATGGCTTTGACAGCAGCTTCGGCGTGCCCATTACTCTGCGGGTAGTGGGGAGAGGACATGACATGGTTTACCTGCCAGCGCTTACAAAACTCAGCAAACTTATGCGAGGAGAACTGGGGACCACCATCTGTACACAGCACAGCAGGAACACCAACATCAGAGAACCAGCGACGGAATGCGAGTATCACGTCATGCGATGAGGTGGTGCGGCCAGTACGCGCGACACAGGGCCAACCGGTCAAACGATCTGCATACACAAGAAAGTCGTGACCTTGACAAGTGAACAAATCGGCAGATGCACATTCAAACGGGAGTGTTGGGGTTCGGTCGTTCAGCAGGGGCTCAGCTGGCTGGGACGACTGGTGTTCGCGGCAAGCAGGACAAGAACGAACGAGTGTATCAATGTCCTTGGTGATACCGGACCAGTATACAAGCTGACGCGCACGAGACTTAGTACGCACTAGGCCTTGGTGTGAAGCGTGGAGGTTGTGCAATACCTGAGCACGCAATGATTCAGGAACAACAATGCGGTTGCCCTTCAACACAATGCCATGGTCGACGGAGAGATGCTCACGTCCATTCCAGTACGCACGTAACGGAGCAGGCAACTTCTGCTGGCAATCAGGGAATCCAGTCAAGATACACTCAATCAATGACTGGTACGTGGCATCTGCAGCTGCAGCTTCCCGCAGCTCTGCAACCTTGAGATTCGCATTCGGCTCAGTGTCCGAGTGCACCATGCAGATCTGAATGCTGCGGCAATGAAGCGACGGGGCTTCACCAAGCTCATCAGTGGTGGAAGGAATGCCAACAGGATTCCGGGACAGCGCATCGGCGAAGGCATTTTCAGAACCTTTTCGCCAAGATGCCTGCAGCTGATAGGCTTGGAGCTTGAGGCGTAATCGTAGAAGACGCGGGTTCTCGATCTGATCCAACGAATATGAGTTGATGATCGGAATCAGGGGCTTGTGGTCGGTGACGACTTCAAATGGCGCACCAGACAGGTAGATGCGGCATTTGCGCACGGCCCATACTACAGCGAGCATTTCCAACTCGATGACAGCATAACGTGTTTCAGCATCAGACAGGTAGCGGGATCCACACTGAATAATACGCCACTGATCATTCTGCTTTTGCCAAAGCACGAATCCGAGACCTCTTAGAGCAGATGCATCGGTTTCAAGCCGGAGGTCTTGACCAACTTGATAGAAAGCGAGAACCGGAGGGGACAAGAGAGCTTCCTGCGTCCGTTCAAACGCTGCAGTGTGGCTAGCGTCCCACATGAACTCACGGGAGGTCTTGAGTAGGCCACGCAGAGGATTGGTCAACTCGGCTAGATGTGGAGTGAACTCACCACATTGGTTCACTAGACCGAGGAACGAACGGAGATCGGTTCTGTTGGCGGGTACTGGAAACTGGCGAATACCGGACGTCTTATCATCGTCGACGACCCAGCCATCAGGCGTGACGTTGTAGCCGCAGAAATGGATACGTTGCGTACCGAACACAAACTTGGCGGGGCTGAACGTGATACCATGCTCCCTGGCGCAGAGCAGAATCTCGCGCACGTGGCTGACATGCGACAGAAAGTCGTCGTCGTACGCTAGGCAATCATCGACTACCTTGCCGAGACGCGGGATGGCAGAGAACGCAGCATCAGTGCGCCGGTTGAACTCATCCCCAGCAGATATTAGACCCTGCGGGTTCCGTAGATAACGATATCTGCCGTACGGGGTGATAAACGTGGTGAATTCCTGAGCAGTGTCACTGAGAGGAATCTGCCAGTAGCCGTGCCTTGCATCGAGCTTCGTAAAGAACTTAGCAGAGCCAACTCCAGAGACAACGTCACGTGCCGTATGTACGGGATGCGCGGGACGACGGACTTGGTCGTTCAGCCGCTTGAAGTCAACTGTGAGGCGCTTCTCAGTGCTGCCCTTCTTGTCTACTATGACAATCGGATGGCACCATTCACTGGGCTCCGTCACTGCTGACCATGCCGTCGAGCTGAGTCTTGATCTGGTCACGGAATGCATACGGTATTGGTCGAGCAGTGTGCACACAGGAAGGCTTAGAATCATGCTGTAGCTCAATTTCCATTGGCGGACCTTCCATTGGCTTCAGACCGGAATCCGAGAAAACGTCAGCGAACTCTTGCAGGAGCTGCTCACGTGTCCGCGCTAACTCAGCATCACTAGGATGAGCGCATGACGAAACAGCTGCACAGCTCTTGGGTGAAGATGCACCCTCGTGTTCAGCGGTGAATTGGACTGGCCAATCAGGTGGGAGAAACTTCAGCGCACGCAATGAGGTATGAGAGAGCAGGGCATCGTGTAGACCCTTGTACACATGGATGACGGTTTCATGCTGCGTCTCACCGACTCGTAGAGTCGCACGTATCTTGCCCAGGTTGCGTAGCGGCTCACCGGTCACAGCCTGCACACAGTCGTGGTCGTCATCTAAGTTCTCGACGAACCCACCGATCTGCGTGAGGTGCTCCTCGCCAATGGCATCAACGTCACTGCCTGTGTCTGGTTCACAGGACAGTTGGGATGGCTGATCCTCTGTTTGCAGCATGGTCGAAACAGGTACTGTGCGACGGTCCACGCGAGACGCACGCTGTAGCTTCAGCTGTCCAAGCTTGGCAGCAGAGCTAGTCTTCGGCTGTTTCTGGCTCTTGCACATTCGCTGAAAATGCCCAATGCCATGACAGGAGTTGCACTTCTTGCCCTTGGCAGGACATACAGATTTCGTGTGGTCAGAACGACCACAATTTGGACAAGTGGACTTGGCCGCACTTGATGTCTCGCTTGGCTTAGAGTCAGCTGGCTTGTGACGTTTCTGCTGCTTGTACGCCGACTGCTTGGCAGCACTTGCCTGGAGGCCAGGACTGGGCATGTGTGCCTTGGTGTGGTATGCTGCTTCCTCCGTCCGACAGAGGGTGACAGCCTGGTCGAGCGTGAGACCATGAGTTGCGAGCAACTTGTGTCGCGTCTCATCGTTCCGCACACCAATGACGACGCGGTCGCGCAGAGATTCCTCCTTGAGGGTACGGCCGAGGCCTTTGCACTGCGCACAGCAGCGAGCATCACACGTTCCACATAGGCTGTGTGACAAGAAGTCGCATGCACTTTGTAGTTCACACAGGGCTGTGTAAAACGCATCAAATGATTCTCCAGCTTGCTGGACACGCTGGTAAAACTCTATGCGGTCCAACAGTGGATTACGTTGCCGTCTGATATACGCCTGAATGCGCTCCAGCATCAGGTCGACGTCAGCTGAAGCTGGTATGCAAATAATATCCTCTCGGATAAAACGTCGCAGCTCCTCATCGAAACACTGACGGAGTGTTGCCACTCTGGCCTCACGAGCCTGGCTGGCCAAATGCTGGCAAACACTAAAATCTCTCCAGCTTTCAACGAAGGAGTGAAAATCAGCCAGCGTCGCAGACGACAATAAGTGTGGGCAGGAAACACTGTTCACTGGCCGTGGTGCTGAGGTCTGCGAGGTGGACTGAGCTGGTGCTGAGGGCTGCGGAGTGAACTGAGGCTGCGATGGTGATAGCGACCTGCTCTGAACATTCTTGAACAGATCTTGCATCGCCTTATCACGAGCCTCAGCTGCACGCATCTGCTGCTCCATAAATTTCATCAGGACACCCATTTGAGATTCCTGCTGTCGCTCGGTCGCGGAGGACAGGTCAAATCCGGTATCGTCCTGTGATTGTTCCATTACGATTAGTCACTCGTCCACGAGTACGAACAAATACACTACTAAAATAATTCAACTGAGACAGAGTTTCGATCGCGGAAACTACTACTTCATACGGAAAAAACAACTGGGCCCGTGCAAACACTACAAGGTGCGGACACAAGGCACGGACACAGGAAAGAACAAGTTCACTGCGCCATGATACGTTACTATTTATTCGTGAAGACTTGGGAACAGAAACAAAACATGTCATGAGAAAGAACCACAGGAAAAAGAAGCACACTCAACTAATCCGTGTGTGTGCGTGCATGCAGTACAACTATGACGTAATGAATATAGATACACATCAGATTCTACCTTTCTCTACCGGCTCTACCAGGTTTGAAGCTGGTAGAGGTCGGTGGAAGTAGGTAGATGTACGGGATTTCCAGCAAGATCGAATAGTTGTACACATCTCCATACAGAAAAGAAACATTTCACGTACATGTCGTGAAAATCTACTATACCCGGTAGGGCAGCGTTCGTGCACTTTAAATACCTCTACATGTACCTTCTGCCTCTATCGGTACAATGACTCTGCTCTAGTCTACCAGGTAGCTAAAACGAACGCAGCCTAAATCACACAGTTTAAACACTCGTACTGATTCGGCCCAAAAAGTCAGTGAGGCAGATACTACGATGGTCAAATGAATGGTGATATTATAAGGTAGATGTGGGGGTAATATAGGGTAGATGTGGGGGTATTATAGGGTAGATGTCCGTATTTCGGGACCAAACAATCTTGGTGCGGCTCCAGTGCGGCTTCTATACTCCGGAAAATACGGTACCTGCTTGATAGGAGTTGTGGAAGGCTGCCGTACATGTGCCTGTTGTATACTCGATGTTATGCATTAGGAGAGAGCCGTGCATTGGCTTGCACAATGGAGGGTGTGTGTGCCATGGAGGGGGGGGGGGGGGTAATGAACTGTTGCATGGGGTAGTAATTTGTCTCCTTACTTCATGGGAAGACACCTTGGCCGGAGAGCAAATGTAGTGGTGGGAGTTTGAAGACTCACTTTTCATGGAAATCCGATGGGAAATGATGGCAGACCCTTAGCTGCTGCTTGTAGTTTATTTAACTGGCCACCTCTCCTCAGGACCGGTTCTTTAGAGGTGTGTTAAGATTAATGAGTCCTGTGGACTGGTGACTGTACAATCAAAAGATTCTTGTTTGTAATGAACTCAATAGATATCTGGCTGTGTTTCAATATGTTTCTGGCAGGTGGCAGTAATATCGGAATGCCAGGAAAGCACAACTCAATTCCACCGATCACGACTGCGGCCTACACTGCCACTGATACCAGCGTGGCCAATTTCAACGCAAACATCAAGGTCGGCCTGATCAAAGTTCACGGTAGGTTTCAGCGCAGGGGTCACAGCAAGAATAGGGCAGTGACAGTCCGGAGGGGGCTATAGGACATTCTCATCCAAGCGACCGTCCGTAAATATTAATATTTTCTCGAAATGGATATTTGTAACGTCTTCTCATACCCTCTTCCTGTGACGACAACACAGGTATCCTGACCAATAGTGTCGGCCTTTTTTTCTAAACTACATGTACGTGAAATTCAAAACTTCATTTAAAATATATATTTCTATTTGAGGAGGACCCTCACCCCCAGTTATCATTTCAGGTGCACCGCAGTCCCATCATACTGTGTTGGTGTTTGCCCTGGCAGGATTCTTCATGATCATTGCCTGGATTGGCCTAGCTGGAATCGGCCTGTTCATGCCAAGATTTATGAAGAAAGCCTGGGACGTGCCGAAGGACGAGGTTGCATGGTGGTTCAAGGTAAGACAAATCTCTAGTCAGGCGATCAACAATTTGGGCTCCCAGGACCCATGGTCTTTAATCAAGTAGTACTACAGTAGGTATCGGTTGTAGCGTGGGTGTTTAAAAACGACTTTTTATTCCTATTTTCCGATATTATATGTGAGAGTTCACTCTTGTAGGCAGTATATTCTTTTACACTACCACACTATAACCGATACGCACTGTTTCTCCATGGCCGTCGTTCAGACACCTCAAATACATGACAAGTATACACACTCCGAAACAATGGCCATTTCCTTTCGCTGGTGTATCTCCATAGCGATACGCCAGTGAGTTGAGTTGAATGTCCCATCATCTTCTCCCCAATACACTTACTTCGAGTACAAAGCTCTCTGGTGCGTGCTGCTGGTGTTGAGGCCAAGACCATAGGTTGGCGGAGCCTGTAGCATCCCATCATCACCGCTGCTCTGTGCAGCCCCACTCAATTGCTGTCCTGTTCGTTCCTTCTGTACTGTTCGCTCTTTTCTTTTCTAAAACTTGGATGTCGAGCCAATAGTATTATATAAAGAGAAAGGACATATGTTACGAGTATGACTAACAGTCCACCAAGGAAACGAGATAATATACAGTCATAACCCGTAAATTATTGGTCCTTTCTCATTATTTATCTCTTCTTTTCATTTTATGATGTACTAGTACCCGATCCCATCACCAAATCCAGGCACAGGATCCCAACGTCCTGCCATCAACCATTGTTTTCTTCCTGCTGTGCTTTATCCTTCCTGCGTGTCAGCTTCACCGTCCTTTGATGGTTACTGTTTGGTTGATGAGTCTACTTGGCTTTATCTTCATTCTGGCATACAAGAAGGGAAAGTGGTCTACCGGCAGTGTAAGTCGAATATTGGTTCTTTTCAAACATATTTTAAAAAGAGTATATGCATATTTCGCACTATTTGAAGGATACCCATGTGATGGCAAATTGGCAATGCTAAGTTTTGGTGGAGATTGTAGCAATACAATTAACAGCTGCATCCATGTCTGTAGGATAGCCTGGATCAGGGCAGAACTGTTTAAACTGGTGATCTCTCTCTCTCTCTCTCTCTCTCTCTCCATCTCTCTCTCTCTTTCTCTCTCTTTCTCTCTCTTTCTCTCTCTCTTTCTCTCTCCTCTCTCTCTCTTCTCTCTCTCTCTCTCTCTCTCTCTCTCTCTCTCTCTCTCTCTCTCTCTCTCTCTCTCTCTCTCTCTCTCTCTCTCTCTCTCTCTCTCTCTCTCTCTCTCTCTCTCTCTCTCTCTCTCTCTCTCTCTCTCTCTCTCTCTCTCTCTCTCTCTCTCTCTCTCTCTCTCACACACACACACACACACACACATACACACACACACACACACACACACACACACACACACACACACACTCTCCCGCTGTCTTTAATTTACTGGCCTTTCTACGTGATGTGTTCGCATGTGATGCGGTTTCCCCATGCAGAGTGCTCACCCAGGAATTGGCCTTGCCACTTTCATCCTCTGCATGATCCAGGTAAGCCATGGACTGTACACTATTGAAACCCACCTGCCAGTGACAGGCTGTATTGGATGTTATGGGGTATGTGTGCTTGTAAGATGGAGGGGACTTGCTTCAGTGACAACTGGCCATTTCCACAACGAAGATCGATATGAAACTGGTTCATGGTGGTCAAGGTTTCGGAACTGGGTTTCTCAGGCTCCACTGTGACCGGTGCCTCTACAGGGTAAATATTGGGTTTGACTAGTCACTCATGCACAGAATGACCTTTTTAGCAAATCTGGGCTCAGATTATGACAGATTTTTATCATCATTTTATGCCCAAGTAGGGTCATCTGCTAGTTGGTAGCTAGGATTATGCACACTCTAAATATAGCGAACCATCCTCTGTAAACCAGTCTGGGTAACCAAACCACTGTGGATATTCTCTTCTGTCTCTGCAGCCATTCATGGCAATGATCAGAAAGAAGCTAAACAAATCTCAGTAAGTGTTTCCAGGGAAAGTTTTTTTTTGGGAAGAAATGCGGCATGGCATGCTGTATCGCTGCTGCTGCTGCCGCTGTCGTCACCGCTACTGCTGCTGCCACTGCTCGACGAATACACGGAACTTCGGGCATGCTCTTATTCATTCCAGTCCATGCAATGCTTGCTTTCTTCATCGTGACCTTGCTAGACGAAGGAATCAGTGATATGGTGTTAATATTAAGCCACACCAGGTTAATTCTATGTTTCGCGTCGGAAAGTTTCTGGAAAAGGCACGCGGGCGGGCGAAAAAAATGGAGGAAAAGCAAAACTCCATTCTACGTGTACTGAGCCATGTAATTGTTGCACACAGAATAGCACTACTAAATATATCCGAAACAACAACAAGTCGCCACAATACAGCTGGCAGAGTGGGCTGGAGCAATACCGTAACAGATTTCATGGATGGCTCCTTCTGCACGTTGACACGAGTCGAGTGGTATTCCTCTCCATCACGATACTGGAAAAATCTCGGAGTCCTTGACACCTAGAATTTCCACTCACTTGGTAAGCAGGCCCTCCCGGACGGCTTGGAAAGAAACCTTCATTGCTCGCACTTTCTACATACCATCGCCTAGATTATCGAGAGAAGCTGATAGCCTCTGATCTGCCATACTGGCCAGAGAATGTTCGCCTGAACTAGCCATCCATTGACTCGTCTGGTTGTTCATCATTTTTCTTGTCAACAATTCGAAAAGGTAGTCTACGCGCGCGCGCGTGCGCGGTGATGCAAAACATAGAAATAACTTGGTGTGGCCTTATTGTTCTTCAATCAAGCATTCTGGGTTGACAGAAGGTTTCATGCCGATGTTATGTGTCACATCAAATTCTGCCCGATAAAGGAATTCATAGCACTGTTCAAGGTAATCAACGTAACCAATGTGATTCGTACATGCCATGTGGTTTGTGTCAGCACCAAAAGAGCTGTCGTTAGTCTCAGTATATCCCAGTCCCAGTATGTGACAGAGGGCTGAAAGCGTGTTTAATTGGATAGCAAGTACGACAGGATGACCCGGAATGGCATCTGACAACACTATGTGTGCTGGCTGCTTGTGTTTCTGCTCAGGCGCAAGATTTTCAACTGGACGCATCGCACGGTCGGTTTGGCAGCTCATGCTCTGGGAGGTAGGTTGATGTTGAGGAAAGGACTGTGAGGAATATCATCAGTGAACTAGTGCTCAAAGGAGCAATTTAGAATGGAGCATAAAGCTGTAGTGCTTGCCGTATACAGAAGCATCGGGATTGGCCTCTCCCGCCCACCCATAGCCCATGCGGCTAGCTTATCATATCCCGGGGCACAGCCTGCACCATCATCGTATATCACTGCACCAAGGATGGTGGACTGTGCCGAATCAAAGTCTTGGCAAGGGGGCTGATAGGAAGAAAAGAACACTACCAAACTGCAATAGAGATGATGTGTACTACCCACAGTTATGGGGGTTGTGCCTGCTATGCATCAAGAGGGCCAGATTTAGCATGCTGGATCGTGCCCAACATGTACTGTTGATGTTATTCGCTGCTGAAGAGGATAGACATGAATCGATATCGGGCGCAGGAATGATTTGCTTGGCTAGCATCATGATGATAGATGTGGTAACTCTCGAGGGTGCTGGAGATAGGTCGCATCAGGCTCTCTCTCTCTCTCTCTCTCTCTCTCTCTCTCTCTCTCTCTCTCTCTCTCTCTCTCTCTCTCTCTCTCTCTCTCTCTCTCTCTCTCTCTCTCTCTCTCTCTCTCTCTCTCTCTCTCTCTCTCTCTCTCTCTCTCTCTCTCTCTCTCTCTCTCTCTCTCTCTCTCTCTCTCTCTCTCTCTCTCTCTCTCTCTCTCTCTCTCTCTCTCTCTCTCTCTCTCTCTCTCTCTCTCTCTCTCTCTCTGTGTCTGTCTGACTGTCTGTCTCTGTCTGTCTGTCTGTCTGTCTCTCTGTCTCTCTCTGTCTGTCTCTCTCTCTCTCTCTGTATCTGTCTCTGTCTCTGTTGTCTGTCTGTCTGTCTGTCTGTCTCTCTGTCTGCCTGTCTCTCTCTCTCTCTTTTTCTCTCTCTCTCTCTCTCTCTCTCTCTCTCTCTCTCTCTCTCTCTCTCTCTCTCTCTCTCTCTCTCTCTCTCTCTCTCTCTCTCTCTCTCTCTCTCTCTCTCTCTCTCTACCTCTCTACCTCACTTCATGTAAATGCGGCAAAGTGTGTAAATTATTATTAATTGTCATACCCGATTGTATGTACTTATGCTTATAGCCATCGCTGTCTACCTCGGGATGGACCTATTCCGTCAGAACTACGGATTGACGACAGCCGTGCTCTATCTATGGGCAGCCTGGGCAGCCATTGAAGCCGCAATCTGGATCGGATATGAGATCAAACTTCTTGTATCTCCAGTTGGTAAGATGAAAGAAGTCCTCTCTGACGAGGGAATGTTTAGCTTCAATGCACTGTTCTATATAAGTTCCTCTCTAGTCGGGTTCGCGGTAGTTGCGGCGCCCGTGTGCTAATCGGACCATTGTGAAGTGGGCTGCTAGGTTGGGCCGCTACCATGTACAGTTGTGAGATTGACCAATGTGATTCCAGTGCTCCTTCTGTTATTACTAACAGACGACTTCTGTGAAACATAGTGCTGCACAGTAGAACCGTTTGGACTTTTCTTTTGTTGTGAAGCATCTGAATGCCAGAGTGCTGTGCCAGTAGGCGATTCAAAGTCGATAGGTCAGGTCTGATTCAATAACGTGTGGCCGTGCTGTTTTAGCAGAATTGCTGAATTCCTGTTTTACCAGCTTGTCAAGGATTTCCTAATTTCGGTTTGTTCCTTTTTTGTTTGCTATCGGTTTCCCTCTGTTCTGCAGATCCCACAGAGAAGATAGCTGCGGTGAGTTTTTTCCTAATTCAGTATTATTCTACTGTGTAATTGCTGTTGCAACCACATCACCGCGGCTGGCTATGAAAGCACCCGTTCCGAGACCTGTGTTGTTTCCGGGAGTAAAACAAATCACCTCTCTGGCAGTTCACCCATCATGAGTTGGCCGGATGCTCCACTTTTGTCTTTGACACAGGAGATCTTCCATTGCAATACTTCACCGCGCGAGTACTGCACGGGCTGTGTATGAACACCAACATGAGGCAATGCTGCAGGCTTACTCGTACTGAAACACATCCTGTCTGCATAGGTTGCAAATCTAAGTTAGCACTTATCAGTATGCAATGTAGCGAAGTAAGCCTGGTAACACCTAATGCGTTCATCACAAAGTTCTTGCGCACGTGTTGTTGGTCTCACTCTCGTGTTCCCTTTCCATTCCGATGCACTCTTTCGCTCGCTGCATTGTCTGTACAGGACGCCAGCATCAGGAAGGCACTGCTGATGGTCTACGCAGCCACTTGCATTGTTCTTGGCATTGTCATGGCTATCATGGTGGTGGCCCACCGCACTGGTTCCAGTGAAGACTGATAGTGTAATTGAGTCACTATGGCACCGGTGCCAGGGCGGGGCGGTTATGTGACCAAGCTGCAAGGCATGCCACTTACTGCAGCTACCCGGGGAGCCAGGTTTGTGCCACCGTCTGCTAGAGCTATTACCCAATGTATTTTATTTTGTTTCGGCGCCGCTCTCGTCAGCGCCTGTCCGTGTCTTGGTTTTAGGAAGTACATGCAGCATCCAAGCTTTGTTAGTTAGAATCGTTGCTATTCATCTTTGCTCGCACGCACATGCTGGATGCTTAGTAGACACCTTTTTGCAATTCACATTTTCAGAAATTTGGAAATTTCCTGAGCGAATTTTACCTTTTTCAATCTATTTTTAAAAAGACGTACCCAAGGCCATACATGCTAAAGTGAATGATACCTAGTAGTGGCGTACATAGCACGTGGACATTTGAATTTAGGTTTTGAAACTTACAACAATTTAGGAAATGTGTGTCATGTACCAGCATTGTCAGTTTCAATGATGCATCATCGCGGTTTGTCGTGTATTTGTATTTGTGACATAGGGACAGACGCCATTCTGGCCTCGTCCCAGCATTCTATTCTTGTCTCATCAGAACTTTCTCTCTCCTCTGCTGGTGTAGCCTCCATAGATGCTTCTACTATATGAACTGTTGACTGATGAGAAGAACGGTGTGAACACACCGCACCAAACACTGACTGTCGGCATGGCACTCGTGTCCAGTCATAGCAAACTTCGAAAGTCCCTTATACTGTTATAGATGGAAGGGACAACATTACATTGGGTGTATGACCAGGATTCGGGGATTACCCCGGCTCCCTACCCACCCTCTTCAGTGCATTCTCATCAGTGACGTTAGTCAGACTGAAGAGGTTTGTTTGCATGAGCAGAGCTTCCAACCCCGGAACGTAGGAGTTCAGGAAATCCGAGGCTACTGCAGTAACGTTTTGGAATATTTAGCTTGAAAGAGTTCATAATTCAATGCTACACGGGGGGATATCCAATTTTTCTGATGCCACCATGACATTCCGAATGCTGCATGCCGGTTCCAACACACCTGTGTCTCTGTAAAACGGCTCAGTAATTCTAGCGCCGGTGATGTTTTAGGGGGCGTTCGTTTTTGATCTACAGGTTTGGGTAGAAACTACTTCTTTCGGTAGAGGTGTTGGTTTTTTGAAAAAAAAATTCTACTCAAGGGTAGATTCTACTTTCCTCTACCGGCTCTGCCAGGAAAAAGTTGGTAGAACTGATCCGGTACTAGGAAGTTGGTAGAGCATTATATAACCAAACACTGGTTCAAAACCAGTATTAGATGAACCTTGTTATACTTATAGGTTGTTAGGCTACACTGTGCTGTACTGAGAGTGAGACTGAAGTCAGTGAAGAAAAGACTGCTTTTCACCCGGTGTGTACCAGGGAGTAGTAAAATACGTGTATTTTACTACTCCCTGGTGTGTACACTTCTCAGTGATCACACAAATGCATGCAATGCACAAATGTGACAATGACTACTAGTACTACTACACACATGTAGATCTCAGACTGTCCAACCGTCCTGCTTTGAGCAGGACAGTCCTGCTTTGGACCAAAACATTCATACATTTGCCTTTATACATTGTATGGGTCCGGGTGTCCTGCTTTGGAATGGTGGCAAGGTTGGACAGACTGAGATATACTAGTACAGTCTGTATCGGCTATAGCGTACCCTTTTGATTTCCGTGATTTTATCACTATAACCGATGCATCACTATATGCGATACGATCGATTTTTTTCGAGCGACACATGAAAGGCAAGGAAATAATCTTCCAGCATGGCGTTTTGACAAATGAGCATGCATGCATAGTTGACAGTGCCCGCATTTCCATAAAAAAAGTTCTGTTATGTACATGTACATGTGTCACTATCAAAATAAGCAACGTGAAGAAAGTAAAAAAATAGGGCCTTTGATATTATTGCAACATGTATTTTAAAGTTGTCACTATAGCCGATTATAATGATTGTAGTTTATCACTCCCTTAGTATTGACTCCCATTGATTTTCGCTATACCTAAGCAGTCAAATATTCCTGCATATTTCACTCCTTAGGGCTATATTGCCTGCTTATATTTGACTGCTTAGGGGTTGCGCAGTTGAACGGTGCCTAGTGCAGCATTGTCACTGCATGAGTAGGTGGTGGTGCAACGGTTGTGCAATCATAAAACCGGGATTCATGAGGACTGGACTGTTTGTCGTGATAAATCTAATATTGACTTCGTACTCAGTCCGTGCGCAAGCCCTTGAGTAGCCCGTTTTTTATTTGCAACCGCGGGAAAAATCGAGGTGCAAAAAGATGACGACGACACAATTGTTTTGTTGGTATTTTGCAACCTTATTTGGACCTGAACTGGCGTGTGCTGGAGGAATCCTTGTTCATAACTGGTTTGCAGCTGAGGTATGTCCCTTTGTAACCTATGGCACTTTAGCTGAGGTTCGTTGCGCCCAACTGTAGACCATGAAGACCTGTGTTTGCACTACATATTTTTTCGTCGTAATCGTACCATCAACTTGCTTGTCGTGCTGGAGTGGATAGGATAATCGGACACTCTCGGCTTATGCTCTAAGCGAAAGGTAGATATATTTGGGTTTGGATTCCCAAAGCACATCCCAATGAGGCTATGCAAAATGGAAGGGCCCACAATTTCGTGGAGGTATGTCGAATTGTGTGGAATTTTGCACTAAAGTAATTGTGCTTGAACAAGGACGTTTTGGCTGCTTATTTTCCTTGGGCATCTCGACATTGCAAACTAGTCCCCTTGCTGTTGTGTCTTCGACATCTAAACGGAATTTCTATGTAAGTCGTGTGGTTGGGGTCCAGATTTTAATCAAAATCCAGCAGTATTCCTGGCTGCTAATCTAGTTTGCTAAAGTTCTGGCTGAAGGTAGTCGGTTGAACAGTTTCTTTTGTATGTACCATGGTCAGATGGTAGGACGTTCATTACATAATTATAGATGGAGTACATAGTCAAAGAAACTTTTTATGTAGTTTAGCACAGCTGCACAGAAGTGCAGGGCCTGAAACAAAACAAGAGCTGGAGACTCAGCGTCCGCAGCATATGCGAATGCATTGTGAGAGCATGTGTCTTCGAATTCAGCATCACACACATATGCACACTCACACACACACACACACACACACACACACACACACACACGCGCGCACACACACACACACACACACACACATACACACACACACACACACACACATACACACCACACACACACACATACACACCACACACACGCACGCACATCTGGCGCTGGTTGGGTGTTGCATACTGAACATTCTGTACTTGCAGCCTTATCTTGATCATGTGTGATAGTTGTGTCACAGGTTTTTGCCCTATTTTCTGGATTCTCTGTGCTTTCTGTAGATGGTCTTGTGCGCTCGTCATCAACAGCACTACACTACTGTAGGTCCAGTGGGCCAATCAGGCTGAACGTCATCATCCAGCTGTGACTGGGGTGGGTGTAGGTAAGTGTCTCTGTGTGCTCTGATGGTCGACTTGTGGCTTCTGGCCTTCAATCATTGTTCTTGCACGGGACCTGCCTCTCATACCCTGTGGTTCACTCGTGTTGGCAGGCTGTGATGCACAGTGGAATCCTTGATGTGGCACTCGGTGTACATGTATGTTGTTGCACGCGACAATATTGCTACTGATGGGCTTTGGTGTGATGCTCTGAATAGATGTACCATGAAAGCCTCTTGATTGGTCTCCGCAGTACATTCGCTTGCCTGGCTCGTTTTTGTCGATATTATCCACTGTTGCAATGGAGAACTTTGCGCGAGGTATCTCACTGTTCATTCCGAGCTCTGATTTCTTATCAATGATGGTCTTTTGATATCGCTTGTAGGAGTCGACACCTGCTGTTGCGCCGGCTCGAGCTAGTACTCGCATGAGCTCGCTGGAATTGCTATGTGCATCCACAAAGTCCGAAAGAACAAGCTGGAAAGGGTAAGTGCATGCTGGTGTGCTTGCATGCATCATACATGATAGCACAAACAAGCACCTGATCCTCTTTGCACGGTGGTTGGATGCTTGACTTCCTTCTGACTTTGATTGGCCGTACATCATCAGCCAAATGTGTCCCCACAACTCACTGTCCACACTATCCACCACTGCGTCCAGCTTCATTTCCGACAGTGAAGTTAGAACGTTATGCTCTTTGTGTTTGAATTCTTGTGCTTGACTTTTGATTAATTTTGTGAGTGCATTGCAGCCGACAGCTCTGACACGAAGGATGATGGGCCACTGGGTTGGCTTGTGTGCTGTGTGCGCTGGGTTTCATTTTGTGCTCTGTGTTTCAGGGTCTCGGATCGTGCAACGGCGAGGGAATTGTATAAGCACAGAACTGTGTCACACCCTGTACGGTACAGGAGCGTACCTCGTTTCTTACTGGTACCATATGACCCATGGCTGAGATGAGCGCCAAGCTTCGAAATAAGGCTGGACAGTAGCCACCGGTTGTTGCAGTTGATGGATGGTAAAGAAGAGGTGAAGAAATCAGCAGCCGTTGCCAGAAGAAGAGAACGGTTCTCGAGGAATGCAAGACAGACGAATCTTGCTGTTGCCAACAATGCGGACTCCTCGGATGAGGTGCACTGGTGCATTTCGTCTGTTATACTCTGCATCAGGCTCTCCAGCTTGAAGTCAGTAGTCTGACTGTCCACCATATCCAGTTGGCCTTTATAACAGGCTAGGCAAAAAGCACTATCCGCGGTGACCGTAAGACCACGCTCAGCGTGCAGCTGACGTTGAACGGCTCCGACGTTCGGACATTTACGCTTAATTAACACTCCTTATTTGTGCGCTGCACATGGTGCATGTGGGCCTGTTCCTGTCATGTAGCTGCATGTTATGCCGGTTGCAGAGACCCGCTGGCTGATCGTTTAATGCTTGTAATGAAAGTCTACTGCTCTACTGCTTGTAATGAAACTGTGACATGCCGTGGCAAGTCACAACCATCTACTGAGCAGTCTGGTGTTGTTGCGAGTACGGGTACAGGTGTTGGTGGTGGTGCTGGTGCTGCTGCTGCTGCTGCAACATGCTGTGCAGGCATTGCTTCTGTAGGCTGCACGTTGTCAGTGACAGGCATTGGCTCTGCTGAATGATTTATGAGCCTTTTCATGCATTTCTTGCAGATACATGTATTTCGTGGTATTGTAGGATGATGTGCATATTCCCAGCATTGCGTGGTCTCGGGGTGGACATATCTGCCATCAAGGGGAACATCTTGGCAGGCTACACATGGTCCGCATTGCCTGTCAGGATGCAATTTCGAGCCCTGGCTTTGGCGGCCTATTTGGACTTGGTCACAATGCGGACACTCGTGGTTTCTTCCTGGCCTATAGCAACACCATCTGTCCGCCCATTCGCGTAGTTTTATCAGAGATAGAGCCTTGCAAAATAAGACGGCCCACAATCTCCTGCGACGTATCTACGAAATGGGAAATTGAGAAGAGAAACAAAAAGGCACCGCAACGACGTGAGATGTCGAATATCGTGGTGCACTTTCGAAAATGTGCTCATCACTCACCCTTCTAACACGATAACGGCGCAAAAGCAATCGATATAGGAGGATAAGCCTGTATTCTCAAGGTAACCAATTGTCGAAAATTGAGAAGAATTCGGTATGTCACTAAATTCGTCTTCAAATTTCCCGCGGTTGCAAATAAAAGTGCAACTTTTAGACGCCTTTTTTGAACTTGGCGCACGGACTGTACTTGGTCAGTATAGGAAATAAAAGACCTCGTAAAAGACCTCGGCTTCGCCTCGGTCTTTTACTCGGCTTTTATTTCCTATATTGACCTCGTACTCAGTCAATATTAGATACGCATTATGCATGTTTTGATTCTATGTTGCCATCATAATATCCGATATATCATTACATCCGATAATATTGGTTATAGTGATATTTGTACTGGATAAAATACGTTTTGCTTTTGATATTTCGTACCAATATCACTGTAGCCGATATATTTTTATATCCGGTCACTCTATAGCCGATACAGACTGTAGTAGTAGACTAGTACGAGGTGATTCGTAATTTTTTAACATTGAGTCATTTCTTAACAAATCGGTAAAATATCTCATTGCAAGCACCTGCAAAAAGTCACTTCAAATTATTTCTTTTTGCCATTGCCATTGCCAATGTTCTGTCAAGTTCGCCTCCAAAATTGAGACTGATATTCCTTCAGGAAGTGACATTGCAAGAGCTTTCAGTCTGCATGTGCGCGATGTTTACGGTAAAATAGAGTATAAGAGAGTCATAGCCGCTGGTTTCAACCTCGAGTGACAACATATTTAGCTGAATAGGAAGCATATGATAGTTACATACTGGAAACGACGCCTGGGAAGGAGGAATGTCGGTGTGTTGGCCCTAGTAATGGCCAAACATTGGCAATCACTGCATTTGCTAACAGATGTTGATCACAATTACACATGAAATCAGGGTGATACACCTGTTGCTATGTAAGCTTGAATGGCTTGTATTTGGATGAACATGATCTTGATCCAGTCTTGCTGGACCATCTTGGAGACGTAGGGTCTCCTATTGAAAACTGACTTGAAATTGTGCTGCTAAGGCCTATTTTACCATGATGTTAAGAAATGACCACAACAAATAATATGCGGAAAAATTGCCATTTTTCAACTGCCACCTACTTCCCAACACCAAGGATTATGTGAATGAGAATCCCAACATTGCAATCCAAGGACATCAGTATTACATTTTTAGAGGACGAAATGGAAAGATTCACACCTCGAACCCTACGGAAGGCTATTTTACTTTCGTGTTAAAGGGGAAGTGCATCGATTTTTCAAGTAGGGCTCAGATGAAAGACAATTGGATATCGGTTCCGATGGTATATCTCTCGCTTGCGTACGGCAAGGGAAACTTGCCATATCGCCAATTTCCTGATCCCGTTTCCATGGCGACTACAGGTGATGACGCACATTCTGCTTAGCTCCGTGAGAGAGAAGGTCGATCACTGCAGAATTGTGTCATTTTCAGTTGTCTTCTTGTATTCACGAAGTGAAAGAAGTACTGTGTTCAATGCTGTTAGTGCCGTGAACTGTTTGTTAGTAGTCCTCTCCGTTGTGTACTGGGACGTGACACCGACAGGGAAAGCTGGAGTGCGGAGACGTTAGCTGGAAAGCGAAAATCGTGACGAACCAAGTGCTGAAATCTTGGTTGGGACAAATCAAACGTTCAGCATTTACCTCAACCAAGGACCATGCCGTTTGCTCTTTCCACTTCCTGAAGATGGATGCGCTGCCTGCTGGAGACTCTCCTATCTCTCGTAACGTCTTCTGAAGCCAGGTGAGACGACGAGTAGCGGAGATTAGCGAACGAAATAATGTCGTATGTTTTGAAATTTTTGCTGAACATTTCTCAGGAGAGATGGCGAATACCAAGCATCTTCTCCTAGTCTAGAGAAACCATTTCGTAGGCTACATTCCGCCTAGGGAAATGCAGGACGGACGGCCTGGCTGGGGAGGACACACTTGGAGGAGAACGAAGTAAGTGATCTTGTTTATGTTGTTCTTTGGTATTGCAATCTTATGTTTGACGAACATACGGCGTGGTGCATAGTTGGTCGTTGAGTGCCTGCATGTGCATGTATAAGTGTGTGCTGATAAACACTTCCTATGCAAGAATCTGACACTCGTGCTCTCTTTCTTTCTTGCAGTATGTGCGCACGTGTGTGTGTGTGTGTGTGTGTGTGTGAGCGAGAGAGAGAGTGTGCAGGAGCAGCGTGGAGCATGCCGGTGTGATCGCTGTGGCCGTTGCTTTCTTAGCTGTGGCACTCTTGCCCGTCACAAGTGCGTGGCTCAGCCCCCAACGACAGTGGAGCCGTGTTGGGGTGAATACTGTGTGTCCTGCGACCGCTGCTTCCGTTCAGTCCAGGGTAGGAATAGACACCGCTGCTGAAGCTCTCCGCGGCTGTACGTCAGTCTCGTGGCAGATGATCCGAACTCTCATTTTGTGTGTGTGTGTGTGTGTGTGTGTGTGTGTGTGTGTGTGTGTGTGTGTGTGTGTGTGTGTGTGGTGTATGTATGTATGTATGTTGCTCCCTACTTAGACAAACTCTTGTTTTTGTGTCCTGGGTGCCATGGGGCGGCGTTCTCCCATTCTCTCTCCACTGCCCCTCCGGGCCCACGTGGCAGTGACTCGACAGGGCAGGGCAAGTGTGTGTATGGTGCATGGTGTGTGCTGGCATGTCTGTATAAATATGTTGGACAGGAACGTTCACGGAAAACCATGCTAGGTGTTGCTGGAACGTATAGAGTCTGCGAGCACTTACAATAACTTACGTCATGTCACAACAAAGAACGGTGCAGTGTTTGACCCTCATGTAAACATGATGGTGATGGTACCTCACCTAAGTTACCCATGAAACTAGAAAGAACAACAGAATTGTACCAGAGGAAAGCATCTTTGCCCGAACTTCTTCATAATGAAATGAACAATACCCTTCTCCATAAAGACAACATGCAGATTAAGTGTATGGACAAATAATATATAAATAGGCCATTCACTGAGGGCATGGAATGATCTCTACGCGTAGATTGGATAGACACATGCACGTCTGCAAGGAAAGCATTTGTTCATGGGCTGATTGAGTTCACATGGACTAAGTTCATACATGCCATCTCTCCTGAGATATGTTCAGCAAAAATTTCAAAACATACGACATTATTTCGTTCGCTAATCTCCGCTACTCGTCGTCTCACCTGGCTTCAGAAGATGTTACGAGAGATAGGAGAGTCTCCAGCAGGCAGCGCATCCATCTTCAGGAAGTGGAAAGAGCAAACGGCATGGTCCTTGGTTGAGGTAAATGCTGAACGTTTGATTTGTCCCAACCAAGATTTCAGCACTTGGTTCGTCACGGTTTTCGCTTTCCAGCTAACGTCTCCGCACTCCAGCTTTCCCCTGTCGGTGTCACGTCCCAGTACACAACGGAGAGGACTACTAACAAACAGTTCACGGCACTAACAGCATTGAACACAGTACTTCTTTCACTTCGTGAATACAAGAAGACAACTGAAAATGACACAATCCTGCAGTGATCGACCTTCTCTCTCACGGAGCTAAGCAGAATGTGCGTCATCACCTGTAGTCGCCATGGAAACGGGATCAGGAAATTGGCGATATGGCAAGTTTCCCTTGCCGTACGCAAGCGAGAGATATACCATCGGAACCGATATCCAATTGTCTTTCATCTGAGCCCTACTTGAAAAATCGATGCATGACGAATCACCTCGTACATGCCAATGACTATGTCAATGCCTGGGGCGATGGCAGCACTCGATCGGTCGACCGGTCACGTAGTTGCAAGTGTGTTACTACTGTTAGTGCTAGTGGTGGTCGGTCGCAGCCTCGCAGGTTCGGATCCGCGTTCAGACCGCGGCGTCACCGCGCGCGCTCGTCTGGACGCGTCTGCCTGGCGCGGTGCTAGTCTACTGCAGTACTGGTAGATCTACTGCCGGCATGCCGAGTAGGATACTGCCATTGACTGATATATACTGTACTGGTAGCTTACGTTTTTTCCATCAAACGTGATCACACTGACTCTGCATACGAGCATGCATGCGCATATATATGCACTGACTTACAAAGTGTAGTAGTAGATCTACCATGGCATGGACGTGGCCAGCGTCTTTCATTTCAAAACATGTAATGAGATTGAGCGATAGCGCTGTCGCATGTCGAAATCACTAAAATACTGTAGTCACGCAAAGGAGAACCCCGTTCCATCTCTAGTTTGTGCTGCAGATTGTACTTAGTGCGGGAAAGGCAGAGCAGAAATGGCCCTTTCCAAACACGTACCGGACATTGAGGTGAGAGATCCAGAGGCAGAGAGGGATTTCAGCTGCTAGTAGTAACATTTTAGGCTTTGCTTGAGTGTTATTGCCAATATTGGTACTGTATGTACACGATTGTACTAGTTTATCGTTGGTAATAATCTCTAAGGCTGCCAGACCTCGCCTTTACTTGGCTTTAGACTTGCCCAAACGAAATTTTATTGCTTCTCGAGTACAAAGCGAGTACTAGTTACTACTACTAGTTGCTTCTACCGGTAGAGCTAGAGGCATGAGACTTTCTAGTGCACGTGCTAGTGAGGTGGGTGGATCTGCCACGGGTGCAAGCTTGGGTCTGAGTCGTTTCCCGTGCCGTACCGTTAGTTACTAGTACTTGAACTTGTAAGTAAGTTGAAGTAGTCAGTTCCCCCACGTACCCGCCATTATGATGTGCGTGCATAAACTGATAAAGTCCTTTGTGCACCAATCGACCTGGCCGTTAGTTATGGGCTTGACTGATGTGTTAGATCCGGCTCGTGGAAATGACAGGAACGAAAGACAGGAACAAAAGAATTTCCTAATTATTGAAACATTGACGCATTGCTGAACACGTGCGAGGATACTGAACAGCGAATGTCTTTAGTTTATGTTTTTGATCAGCCTTGCTTCACATGCACAGCGCCACTGACACCAGATAAAGCACAGCTCATGAAAATATTAATTTTACGTACACTAGCCACTGTGCTGTGCTGTAGTCCTTAGGCCGTCATCACACTATGTTCTCCGACTCCCGTTTACGTCTACGTCTATGGTGAAAAAAACAAAACGGGTGGTCGCGTCATCAGACAGGCACAGTTCTTGAAGCGTACATGCAGTCACGTTTTTGGAGAAATTTGAACGCACGTACATCGAAGTGCAGGGTCGCTCTGAAAAAGGCTGGGGGAGATACGCACGTTCTTACAAAAAGTCGTATACCCCCTCTCCATACCACGTCTACGTCTCCCGTTTCCTCTGCTCCCGTTTTCACCCCGTATACGGATCATCATGACAACCGACCAAAAACTCCTTACGTGGACGTAGACGCAGCGCTTTGTACCATGGTGTGATGACAGCCTTAGTGAAGCCGTGCTCGTTTATTCTAACCGGTTACGTTATCCGTCTCACGCCCAACGAGTACCCAGAAATTAATTATTGCATGACAAGGTGACGTTGCAGTCGCAAATCCAATGGAACGTACAAAAATATAATATTTTTTGAACCAGCTCTGAAACATTGAGCAAGTGATAACATGCACCCACTATACATGTTGTGGTGAGTGTTTGTGTAGTGCGTGAGGGCACGGGATATAGAACGATGGCACTTGACAGCAGGGTGTGTGCCTAAGTAGTAACATGTAGTTACATCCGTTTGGTTCAACGTTAAGATTCTTTTTACCCGGTAACCGGAAAGCTGTATCTGTTTCAGCCCCGAGTCGGATAAGCCCCGCGACATGTGCTGGAACTATAGCACCCCCCCCCCCCACACACACACACATAAATGACGGCCAGAAATGGAGACTAGAATGACTGCAGAGGCCTTACATATTGCCGATTACATTGTTAATGAACTATCGCGTGAAATCCTAGTGTTTCGATTGATGTTCAAGCTGCTGGCGAGGCAGTTACTTTACAGGAAGCCTAGCATTAACAAAACTGACTTCTGTGTTTCATGAAACCTCTTGGTTCATTGAACCTGGGTATTTTTCACTCTGCTTGCTTCTCTATGCTTGAAGAGCCTGCTTGCACTCAACCCACGCGTGGCCAAGACAGCTAGTGTCGTGTCAACAAGTGACACCAAGAAGGCACGCAAGCACTGGAAGAGAAATGGACAGACCAAGGGCTGTGCCGTGAGTTGATTTGCTCAGAGGTGCTTCCTTTCTGACTCATGTCTGACTTGAACACATGTGTATGTTTTGCACTGCTGCACATTCCAAAACTTTTCTGTGGATTGTCTGGAAGTAAACATTTAAAAGGACATACAGGAATATGAAAGGGTCAACGATAGCTTTTGGGCTTACATTACAAGGACCGTGCAAGTTGAGGGCACCGAATATGCACTGAAGTACACAGAAGCATTGGTCAGGTATGTACCAGAGGAACAAGGACACTATCTCTGTCGCGAACGGTGCAGACTTACCTTGCAATAGCTCAAGATGTCACATCCAGTGCAATTTGGAAGAACCGATGTATTGAGGCACCCGGCATTGGGTTCCTGGGTCATAGTCCACATACTGATCTGTACAAAAGCACTGCACTGGTAACATCATTGAAATGGCCTTTTTAGCAGGGAAATGTGCCCTCAAACGCTGCTCCCCCTTGTTGCAACACAGAATATCTTTTTTAGTTTGGATTTTGGCTCAGTGTGGCATGGCCACTGATGGATCTTTATCCAGTTTTGGAGTGCGTTGTCCGTAACATGAATTCCACTTCTGTTCTCTTCCTGTGACGTATAGACCTGCTTTCCGGAGCCGTTGCAGAATAACTTCGATGACGTCAAGCATACTACACTGAGCGAACGGGGTGCATTGCGTGAGTCGCAAAGGTACGTTGCAACCAGTGTGACACGTTGCACGTATACGCGTGCTTAGTAAGACGTCCAGTGTGCTAGTAGCAGGGCATGTTAGATTAGAAGATACAGTTCGCTGAGTGTCGGTCCACCTTTCTGTGTTTCTTGCCGGTGTGTCGCAGATGCTTGAAGTGTGCCGATGCACCGTGCCAGCGCAGCTGTCCAACCCAGCTGGACATCAAGTCCTTCATCACAAGTATCAGCAACAAGGTATCGATGCTACTATCCCATCCAGAGATTAACTAAGTGTGTGATGCGACATGAACACATCCCCCGTGCTTGCAGTTGTACTACATGGGTTACCGATATTTCTTTCCGTTTGTTTTGCTTTCATGTCTATCGTTTTACTTGTGACTGCAACATGTTTTCCAGTATTTCCTTTTGCTCTTTACTTCAAACGATGTTCTGCGCTGCAGAACTACTATGGAGCTGCCAAAGCAATCTTATCCGACAACCCTTTGGGCCTGACTTGTGGCATGGTGTGCCCCACGAGCGACCTGTGCGTGGGCGGCTGTAACCTCTATGCTTCCGAGGAAGGTCCCATCAACATTGGTGGACTGCAGCAGTTTGCTGTGGAGGTAGGCATATGCAAAACTGCATATCTCCGTATTCACAGTGATCTTCACTTTGTCTTTGCTTGCAGTATGGCTTGAGCTGCTTGGCTTACCCAGCACACCAGTCTTTGGGGGTTGTCCTGAAATGCTTTCAGCGTAGAATCCTCACACACGTGTGCACAATTTTATTGAGATTTACTTAAAGTAGTCGTAAATGATTCCACAATACTTGCATGATATTGCGGAGGGGTTAACGAGGGGAGGGGAGCAGCACACTGCTAGTATACTGCCCATGTTGCCTGCTCTGTATTGCAGTGTGCATATGGGTCCTGTGTTTCCCTTGATCTTCTAACACAGATGTTCAAGGACATGCACCTTGCACAGGTGCGAGACCCATCTCTGCCCAGCGTGGACAACATTGAGAGCTATCAGGCCAAGGTAGGATACCACGCAAAGCAACCTGCTTCTTATCGCTTGATAATTGCTGTGTCCTCGTGACGTGGCTGGACAGGTTTTTTGTTGTCATCAACGGCGAGTCGAGTTGTGCTACATGAGGTGAAAGATCATTTGTACTAGCACGTGTCTAGCTCTGTACTATCCAATACACGGGTAGTAGGTAATGGGTGGCTCTACATGCGGTAAGGTTGCAGAAATGATTATGTATGTGATTGTATTCAGCCTTACCACAATACGTATACTTCAAAAGTACATGATGTAATTCAATCCCTTGGTTTTGCGTCGAAATCGGATCGGTTTGGCAGCGCTGCTGGTACGCTTTCAGATCATAGACTCCGGACTACTGTGTGCCTGGATGTCTATTCCACACAGGTTGCATTGATTGGCTGTGGTCCAGCATCCATCAGCTGTGCTACATTCCTGGGAAGGCTCGGTTACAGCAATGTCACCATATTTGAGAAGGAAGACTTCGTCGGTGGCCTAAGGTAACACTTAGCAGGATTCTTTCCTTTCACCTTTAAAGCATTGTTTACTGCTGTAAATGAACCAGGAAATTGTGTGGCGTGACCCACAGAGTTGCGACTCCATGTCTTTCACCATCCATGTGCAGTGTGAACAGTACTGAATACCTGTAGAAGGGCTTTATAATGCTTATGGTTTGTTCTACAAAAAAGTGCCGCAATTAATAACAAATTTATCAACATGTGTGTGTGTGTGTGTGTGTGTGTGTGTGTGTGTGTGTGTGTGTGTGTGCGTGTGCATGCATGTGTGGTACTTTGCAGCTCATCCGAAATCCCACAGTTCCGATTACCGTACGATGTAGTCTCTTTTGAAGTGGAGTTGATGAAAGATCTTGGAGTAAAGGTTGGTGTCTATAGGTTCCTCCATAGGTACTTGAGTAGCGAATTGAATGGAAGAGCAAAGCAAGTGTGTCATGATGACAGCCGCTCATGCTTAGTTACTTGGATTTCTGATTTGAGTCTGGTCTCAGCAAACTCTTAGTCTATACAGTTGACTCCTGATATGACGAACACCATTGTGCAGGAGAATTAGTTCTTTATAGCCAAGGTTCGCTATACCAGAAATGCACTTACACTGTCTGTGGGTTCGAACCGGGACATGGACAACGGTTCGCTATATCACGAAATTCGCTATATGCGAGTTCGTTATAAGTGGAGTCGACTGTCACTCAGGGCTGGTTGGAGAAGCAGTCCTTTTGTAATAGCGAGTTGCTTCTTTCCACATGTAGGTCCACACCAAGCGATCGCTGACTGTTGGAGATTTGACGCTTGAGGGTCTGAAAGGCAGTGGATATGAAGCCGTGTTCGTTGGAATCGGTAAGGATGGTATATCCTTTCGTTTATTGGCATCTATCATGGTCGCTCCACTTGTGTCTGGTAACTTCAGAGTGGAGTTTGACTGGTTCAGATTCGCACACATGCACACACATGCGTGCACATACACACACACACGCACACACACACACACACACACACACACACACACACACACACACACACACACACAATACAACAATGCCCATCCGGAGATGATGGCAGGTCCTGAAAGGACCGACAGTGATTTAGTCACGGGGAACAGAACTTCGAGCGGCGAGTGAGGTCCTGGCGACGGCGAAAATCTCGGCCGCAGTGGCACCTGAAATCCCGAGACACAGGTTTAGGCGGCTGGATGGTGTTGCAGGCCAGACACACACACACACACACACACACACACACACACACACACACACACACACACACACACATATGTTTTTTAATACAGTACTGTTGGTCTATTTTCTGCAGGCATGCCCAATCCTAAGTGCAGCCCGGTGTTTGATGGACTGGATGCAACGCATGGATTCTTGAACTCCAAGAACTTCTTGCCAGCGGTGTCCAAAGCCAGCAAACCAGGTGACTACTTCTAGAAGTAGATGTACAATTGTTTTGTGAATCAGCACAATTTCTTTTTCCATATTGCGTACACAATACAATGTTATGTTATGGTACTGGATGCAAGGCACTTCCTCACTGGGGCACTGGCACAGCACTCATGATGCTTCCCAGCACAAGACCTGGCACTTAGGTTGGTGTGTCGAATTGTAGTACTGAGTAGAAACACAAAACCAGGGTCACGGAGCCGGTAACTATTATGCCATGTGGCGTGGCAGTCGACTGAAATTTCTGAATGTGGCACCGATTGTACCCACTACACCACCTTCGCTGCCCTCGGCGTTACAACACGATCTTCATCCTCTTCTTGTTGTCATTAGTGTTACACTGTGGAGTTGGCTTCGCCGTTTTCTTTTTGTGCTAATCCTGTCTACTTCCGAAGTACTAGTTCTTGACTGCTGTGTTGTTAATGTGCGTTGCCACCCACTACCCACTACCCACTACTCCGTCACCACCACCACCACCATATGCAGGCATGTGCTCTTGTCAAAGCAGCATGCCCGACATGCAGGGAAGCAGCGTGATTGTGCTCGGCGCCGGCGACACTGCAATGGACTGTGCCACGAGTGCACTGCGCTGCGGGGCCAAGCGCGTCTTTATCGTGTTCCGCAAGGGCTTCAACAACGTGCGTGCTGTGCCCGAAGAGGTGAGCACGGAGCCATTGGTTGTTGTGTGGCTGATTACATGACTGGTGTGTTGTATGCGTGTTGATGGGAACTTTGGAGGACCTTAGAGGTATATTTAAGACCATTAATCTACCGTATTTTACCGGTTGTAAGTCGACCCCGGTTATAGGTCGACCCCCGTATCCGGAGGTCTCAATTCTGCGTTTTAAAGTTTTCACCCAACGAAGCACTACCAACCACGCCCTGCTACTAACACATCAACAAATCATGTAAACATTCCTTGTTGGAGGGTATAAAGTCCCAATCCTTGAAAAAGGCCAATAAACTGGCAAACATGTGTACACATGGTGCACTCATGCATGCAGGGCAGGTCATTTTTTTGTAAGATTCTGATAGTTCCCGGTTATAAGTCGAATCCCGGTTGTAAGTCGACCCCCACCCTTTCTCCTTCTATTTTTAGTCGTAGAAGGTCGACTTACAACCGGAAAAATACGGTACGTATCCAGTGTCACAAGACAAAGCAGATCTTCAAGATTCTAGTGCATGGTTTGGCGGAGAGACATTGCCATCCTCTCTTGTCAGGCTGACTTCTTGCTTAGTGCGGTCGATTACAATCTTGTGTTATGTCAGCCTTACTCCGTTCTCTCTGTGATGCCATTGGTACTGGTTTTCTCTTGTGCCGCACATAGATGGAGGTAGCAAAGAACGAGCGCTGTGAATTCTTACCATTCCTGTCTCCACGTGAGGTAAGGTGAAACACAGCATTGGGTACCATGTCATTTCATCAGAGGTTGACACACTCCAACAGTATTTTTTGTTTGTTTTGTTTCTGGCTGCTTCTGCTGTGCCACTGTTCTTGTACTGAGTAGAGGGGTAGAAAGGAAGCTCATTGACTCATAGCAGTGTGGCTTGTCTTGTTGACTTCAGAATCCTGTATACTCGTATGCTTGCGAAAAGCAACAAAAGTCTGAGAAATGTTCTCGGTGTACCGGTACATGTACTTGACTCGTCCGTGTGTTGAATTGCTGCAGGTTGTTGTCAAGGGTGGCAAGATTCATTCCCTCAAGCTGTGCCGAACAGAGCAGGTAACTTGGAACGATCTAATCCGTTGTACTGTATGGGCATCCACCGCTGCGTGCTTCACATTCCCGTTTCAGCTGTCATTGAGAGTACTAGTACATCGGCAACTAGCAGTACGAGTACCCATACATCATTACTGATTCATTAGCTTACTCACAACAGTCATGTGACCTGGGAGGAAGGGACTTCCCCTATCCTTGGCAGATATTGCCTTGGCACCGCAGTAGGCATGACTGCAGTGGATCCAGAATGGATGGCTAGAACCAACATACTAGTACATGATTCCTGTTTCACCCATGTACAACCCACATTACCACTCCGTGTGCTGTGTGCAGAATGACAATGGCGAGTGGGTCGAGGACGAAGATCAGATTGTCACCCTGAAGGCAAACTATGTGATTTCTGCATTCGGTTCTGGACTGTCCGATCAGAATGGTAAGTCGACAGAAATCAACCAGAACACGGCGGATACTTTGACAAATTATTATCAAGCTTTCGAAAGCTCCTTTTCTCAATATTGAAGCTGTAAGTCACGCATGGTAGAGTGACTTTATCTGTTAATCTTCTCCCTGTGTGTGTGTGTGTGTTTGCAGTGGCCAGTGCTCTATCACCGTTGAAATTTGACAAGTGGTCATTGCCCGTGGTGGATCCCAACACTATGCAGACCAGCGAGCCGTGGGTATTCTGCGGTGGGGACTTGGCCGGCGTGACGCAGACAACAGTCGAAGCCGTCAACGATGGCAAGCAAGCAGCTTGGTTCATGCACACTTACTTGCAGGTCAGTTGACTATCATCCATGTGTTCAAAAAAGAGAGAGAGAGAGAGCATGTGTGTTGTTGTTGTTGGTGGCGGTGGCGGTGGTGGTGTTTGATGACAGTTGTGCCGGGTGGGTGGTGATGTAAAGGTTCCTGACATCCTGCAAGTACAAATATGCTATTTCAGATGGCGACTTATTTCTGATGTACATGTAGGCGTAATCAGAGACACACGTCTTTGGGGTTACTGCGTTGTGGTAAAACAGTGTACAATGGGGGGGGGGGGGTGCCTGCGGTGGCTATCTCTGGCATACTACCGTAAAATTCCGTTAATAAGCCCCGGGCGTATACTTTGCAGAGGGTCAAAAACCGGGCGTATATTTGGGCATGGGCGTTATTTCGGACGCAATCTGCAGAAGTTCAATCTATCAGCAACCCACTAGTTTCAGTGAACCACCATTCACACTGAGCGCGGTACAGGTACATCAAAGTTGAAACCACAGCTGGAAATTTGGTCGTAACCAAGAATGTAGCGATAAATTACAGATTTGATAGGTAAACCACTTGCTATGCAGTGTTCTAGCCAGGTCAAAATAGTAGGGGGGGGGGGGGGGGGCGGGCATGGGAAAAAGTTACCCCATGACCCATTTTTTCCATTGTCCAAAATTGTCTTGCCATGCGAAATGTAACATACGGGGTGAATCCCCGACTTCACCCCTCACAAATGTGCCTTTATGAACCCTCTAGTAGTGACTATCGACTGTATTTTCATTGAATGGCGTGAAAAAATACAAAAATCGGAAAATGAGTAGGGGGGCGGCACTATTTCACAGGGGGGGGGGGGCGCAAACGGAGTAGGGGGCGCTGCGCCCCCCCTACCCCCCTTTGGCTAGAACCCTGCTATGGTAAGTATAAGGCACAACAGGTACCGGCATGTACGCGAACGCACGCTCACCCGCTGGTCATTTTAAATCCACTTTACGCCCTGGGCTTATTTCGGGCATGGGCGCTAAAACGGACTTGAAGTGCACACCGCCTAAAACTGGGCTTATTATCGGACATGGGCGTTATTTAGGGTGGGCTTATTTACGGAATTTTACGGTATGTAAGTATGCTGTCAGTCATTGTAGTGTAGTCTCTCTGTCTGTCTGATGTGCATTTAGCTTTTGTGTGGCATTATTTACCGCTGTACATGCAGTCACTGCATGGCCTGGCCGTGCCCAAGGAGCCGCAGCTGCCCAAGTTCTTCACCTCAGTCGACCAGGTGGACCTGAGTGTGGTAGTGGCTGGCATTCGTTTCCCAAACCCGTTTGGCCTGGCCAGCGCCACACCGACCACAAGTGCTCCGATGATACGACGTGGATTCGAAGCCGGCTGGGGATTCGCTGTGACCAAGACCTATGGCTTGGACAAGGTACGTTGCCAATAGTAGCACTCTAGTCTAGCTGGCCCTATACCCGGGAGTTCTTTACCAATAAAGGTGATGCGGTGTTGTGTGGGAGAATGAGGTTATCCGGGCGCTGTAGAATGACAGAGCTGGCTGCCCATTGAAGTTGCACTCCTATCCTGATGATGATACGTTGTGAGCTGCATGGCCAGCTGTAACAGAATACCGTAGAATGCACGCCCAGGGAAGGCAAGAATTATTGTTTTTTCTGTACTGTGGGTTGCCTCAAACAGGACCTGGTCACCAATGTGTCACCTCGCATTGTCCGTGGAACAACATCTGGACCAGTCTTCGGCCCGGGCCAGTCATCCTTCCTCAACATTGAGTTGATCAGTGAGAAGACTGCAGCATATTGGTGCCAGAGTATCAAGGAGCTGAAGCAGGACTTCAAGGAGCAGGTACGTCACTCCAACCAATGACAAGTCCAACTCTATGGCTTTGAGCGAAAGTTTGAACCGAATTCCCCTTTTTCCACAGTATGTTTTACTTGTACTTCCACTGTGTGGATTGGTGTCATGTTGATGCTGTGTGTCGCATGTTCATGTTATAGATTGTGATTGCCAGTATCATGTGCGGCTACGACAAGGAAGATTGGACCGTGCTTGCCAAGCAGTCAGAGGTATGAATTAATCCAGGATCGGGATAGCGTTCCTTGCCTCCTGTGCTGCTTATTCTGAACGCCTGGATTTGCAAGAGGTTATGGGCTAGGGATTACAGTCCTGTCCTCGACATTGCTTTCGTTGCTGCCATTACCGAAGATTTGGTTGGTGTTGCAATCAGCGTAATGAATGTCATCAGCGTGCCAGCCCTGCATCGCCACCTTCAAGTGGATACCAACTGAGCAAATTCCAGTATGCATGCATTGCGATTTAGTTGCTAGAACTCAGGGTCTTGTGGCAACCTCACGTTGGTCTCCTGTCTTCATTCCATGCTTGGGGTTGTTTGTAGTAGTAGCTTCCCCATGCAATACTATTCATAGATGGCTTCATTAAGACCGTGTGTTTGTGTGCTGTGTAGGCTTCCGGTGCAGATGCGCTGGAGTTGAACCTGTCCTGTCCTCATGGAATGGGTGAACGCGGCATGGGCTTGGCGTGTGGACAGGTACGTGCGCGGCTTTCACAGTGTTGCCACGATTAGACTGCATAAGCAATGAGTCATGGGGCAGTGAGGTACTAGCAGTACTACCGCAAAGTACCGTTGATCCGCCCCCTCTCTAATTCCCGCCCCCTGTCGATTTTCTACCTGTGAAGCGATTTCGGCGTACACAACTATATACGATGTTGAACCGACGCTTGCACTGCTGTACACAATATGTGCCAATCCAGGATGAAAATGTGCACGATTTAGCACGTCGAGTCTGATCCTCGAAGTTGTTGTACATCGTACTGCACTTGACAGCCTTGATCTAATTCCCGCCCCCTGCCCCAAACCCGGCTGGGAAGCGACATGGCATGGGGGGGGGGATCAACGGTACTATGTACATAGTACACCATGATTGAAGTCAACTTCGAACGCATATGCATGTGGTAGAGTGGAGGAATATACACCTTTTAAAATACACCGTGTTCAAATTTCCTTGGTTACTCCCTGTTGACTTGATGGTAGGAGACATCAGTTTCTTTTGCTCTGCATGCGGTGAATATTGATCTATTGCTGCAGAATCCAGAATTGGTCCTCAACATCTGCCGCTGGGTGCGTGCCGCTGTGAAGATCCCGTTCTTTGCCAAGCTGACACCCAACGTCACCGACATTGTCATCATTGCCCGCGCTGCCCACGACGGTAAGCCTAGCCGTTAGGCTTGGTCAGGGCACACCACGTAGTTGCAACGCTCGCCTGTACGTGAAGTAGCAGTGCTTTGACTCTGGGTGCAGGTTGCTGCTGACCCGGCATAGCGCTGAACAGTACGCACGCCACTGTAGCTAGTTTACAGTAGCCTTCCCTAGCTCTGCTGAAGGGTACAGTAGTAGTAAACTCAGCAAGGGATAAATCAGCTGTGTAACAAACTTAGCAATGGGTGCGTGTAGAACTGACCCTGAGTTCGGTGTTGATAATATTGAACCTGATCCACCGCAAGAAAGATAGCACTTGCATGTGTATGTGCATGTGTGTGTGTGTGTGTGTGTGTGTGTGTGTGTGTGTGTGTATGCGTATGTGTGTGTGCGTGTGTGCGCGTGTGTGTGTGTGTGTGCGTGCGTGTGTGCGTGCGCGCGTGTGCGTGTGTGTGTGCATGCGCGTGTGTGTGTGCGCGTGTGTGTGTGTGTGTGTGTGTGTGTGTGTGTGTGTGTGTGTGTGTGTGTGTGTGTGTGTATGTGTGTATGTGTTGATAGGTGGAGCTGACGGTGTGACTGCAACCAACACCGTGTCTGGCTTGATGGGCGTACAGTCGTCGTCCAATGCATGGCCAGCAGTCGGAGAGGAGAAGCGCACAACCTACGGTGGAATGTCGGGCAACGCCATCCGCCCGATCGCCCTGCGTGCCGTGTCCGCCATTGGCCGTGCCTTGCCGGGGTATCCCATTCTGGCGACAGGTGGCATCGACTCTGCTGATGTGGGACAACAGTTTTTGCACTGCGGAGCACATCTGCTGGAGGTAAGAAGCGAGAGAGTTTGTCAGGTACCCCAGTCAGAAACTACATGCACTACTGAACTAGTAGGCAGTGTAATCCAGTGTGATGGAAAATTGTGTCACCCAGTCAGGGGGTGTACTCCTGTGTGATGGCAGAATTTGTCACCCAGTCAGTGAACGTAGCTCTGTGTCATCTTGACCTGATTTTCTGCGGCTACTACACAATACAAGTATCTCCTGGGCTCCTTGCCAAGGCGTAAGATACCAGCTTCAAACTGCTCCGTAATAACTTTGATTTCACTCCACTGACACATTGCATATCGTGTGACCGTACCCGAAACACTGATTGGCAGGTATGCAGCGCTATCCAGAACCAGGACTTCACCTTGATTGATGACTACATCACTGGCCTCAAGACGCTGCTCTATCTGCAGTCCATCAATGAGCTCAATGGCTGGGAGGGACAGAGCAAGCCGACCACGCGACATCAGCTTGGCAAGCCAGTGCCGATGATTTCTGATATTGTCGGCAAGGTATATAATTATGAATTGATCATTTCAGTCAGGGCACTACCTCAATCCATTGCTATGTACATGTCACGGTGACTGTATCACTAGTTCTGCTTGATCACTAGAAGAGGAATCTGTGTGGACTCACTATAGCCATATTAACTAGTGTACAGTGTTTGTGCAAATATGTTGCTACGGTGACACTATATGACCCTTGTTTAGCGTGTTATCTTGCATTCATGACCATTGGCTATGGTGTAGCTGCCACGTGATACAACCATCCTGTGCTAGAGCATCGAGAATTGGATTTCTCTTCGCCCGTTAGGAGTAGTGGTGAAACGAACGTCAAAACCTAGTAGTCGAATATTCTTTGGCTTAACGAACGAACGAACGAATATTCTTTTGGTAACACAGATGACATTACATTACCTCCTCTCAGTCATTTGATGGATGCTGTCATTGTTATTAGGTATGACAAACAGTAGTGCCACATAAAATGCACTGCCACATAAAATGCACTGCCACATAAGGCTACTTTGAAGTTTATACATGTGGTTTGCTACATTGGCAGTCCAGTATGCACATACATGTGCAAACATGCAGTACAAAGTCACAGGCACGCTGTACGCACTGCACTGTACTGTGTTTGGTGTGCACGTATGAACGTGCACTGCATTCGAAGTGACGTCACGAATACTCGAATGCGACTTAAAGAATATTCGAATGTGATCAATCGAACGAATGTTCGAATATTCGAATATTCGTTTCACCACTAGTTAGGAGAAATGAAATTTTAGTTTGAGTCTGACGCACACCGTGCCGCACTTGCACCATCTGTTTGTCTTCTGACTCTTGCAGTCTCTTCCCAACTTCGGCCCGTTTGCCGAGAAGCGGCGTGAAGTAGTCGCTGAAAAGAAAGCGCAGACTACACCACTGCAGCAAGCGCAAGCAGAGATTCATCGACCAGCCTACGCTCCATCCCAACCAGTGCAGTCCATCAAAGTAAGCCGCAGAAGATATAGGCCAGCTCACTGGGCCTGTTTGGTCATTCCCAGGGCATGCGAGTTTGTGTGTCATACTGGAACGACGTCATTACTGCACATCATATACCTGTCTGGCCACTGCTAGTACGAACGGCATGCAAAGGACCATGGTTGCAGTCCTCACTTTATCTGTGCGTGTGCTTGCTGCACAATGAGGAATATGATGTGCTGCACAATGAGCTTTTCAGTGTCGCTTTTACAACACACATTCCATTGCTCAAGATTATCGCATGCACGTGTGCACAATGGAACACCATTACTACAACGTTTCGCTCATCACATTCATACACCACTTTCCCACCAAGGTGCCAAGGGGTATTATATTATTCCTAGGGTATAGGGCAGTCAACCGCACACTCTGCTGAGCATGGTCTCCTGATGATTGTGTTGTGGCAAGGAACTCTGACTTGATACATACTGGGCTTTTTCCACTGGACCCCACATGGGCAATGCACAATGCTGCAGTAGGCAGTAGGCAGGTATTTTGTTGATTCATCCACACACTCTGCTGTGTTGTTATTGGTTGACTAGGAGCTGATCGGCAAGTCTCTAGACCGCATCGGAGCTTATGGTCAGTTGAATAACCAGCAGCAGGTGGTGGCATTGATTGATGAGGAGATGTGCATCAACTGTGGCAAGTGTTACATGGCATGCAATGACAGCGGCTACCAGGCCATCACGTTCGATCCGACCACCCACTTGCCCCACATCACCGAGGACTGCACGGGCTGCACCATCTGCCTGTCCGTCTGTCCCATCATCGATTGCATACGCATGGTGGAGCGACCCACGCCGTACAAGCCAATCCGTGGCTTGCAGCCGGTGTAGCCATGAAGGGTGGTGCCTGTACGTATTGTTCTGATGGTCAGTACTCTGACTGCCTATGATGTTTAGCAAATACCAACACGTCCCCTTCTCACAGCCATACATAGTACAAACATGCCCAATAGGATTTGAATTCTTTTACAAGGCGTTGTTTTCTTCTTCACAAGTCCTGACGAAGTGAAGTAGAAGAGTAGCTAGGCTTTTCAAATGAAATACGGTGCTTGCCAATGCCCCCCCCCCCCCCCCTGTTTTCCTTCAAACATTCTTTTTCTCTTTTATGTTTTGCTTCATTAAAAAGGGCTACCTAACACGTGTACTCACTTTATCGGTTAATCGATGAAAAATTATTAGAACCAATGTTGTTTCTATTGCTGGCTGCTGCTGTCGCTTATTTGCCAGGGGAAAATTAGAATGTTATACCTTATATCTTACTCTTTTTTTTCTTGGGCTAGTATTTAATGGATTTGATTTATTTCTATGAAATCTGGAGTTCAGATACCATGGTCCTGGAGTTCTACCATTATAGTCTACGTGTGTGCCAATGTATTTGTTCCTCATTTTCTCTTCAAGATCGTTGTTGGGTGGCATTCATGATGATTGCAGTGCTATTGTTGACTGGTGCACGGCGGGTCATTACGATCAGATATAACTGCAGGAGTGCCAGTAGACCATATTGTCCGGCGTGAAAAAGATGCGGACAAGTCGATGATCAACCTGCCATGCACGCATTACGATCCTACATCAGTGATGCTTCGGACCTTGGGTACACTACGCACTGCTTTACACATGATATCAGTGTTGAGATTCACACTGTTTCTCTCCCACGTTTATGCACAGGGAGACTCCGAGAGATGAAAATAATCATAAAGTAGGTGAGGTCATCACATGCAGGTGATTGGAAGGAGCGGAAATTGAAATTTTAGATGACTTTCATGATCATCTGAATAATTGAACACGCTCCAAGGTTAAAACGGCTAAGCCTAAATGGTTAAATAAGGTACGCAGATTTAAACACTCCTAGCAAATAAAAATAAATTACTAGCATTTAACTGATCGGAAGGAAGCTTACAAGTCTCAAGGTGCAAGCTACCTAGATTTCAAGTCCAATGTGTCATCAGTCCGTACGTGCCACAGCCAAGCAGACTGCCACGGTGCACAGTACGTATGACATGACATGTTTCATATGAATTGCGGCGAGCTGTCTCCAGCAAGGGCAGATGACTTTCGAGTTAGTTATGACCGGCCTCCAGGTTCTGACTAGCAATTTATCAAGGCTTCCACGATATGACTGCGGCATGACAGTGGCAGGATGGAAAGTGAGTTCCATGCCAAAGGCCGGTGGAAGAGAGAGAGTACTGGTACATTGGTAGTCAGAAGACAAAGACAAGCTGCCAAGAAGTCTTACTGCATTCCTCAGCTGCGATGCTCTTTCCAGCAATACATTGCTACGTGGTGGGGCAGAACGAGAGTTTCTCCTGATCGTTAACCAGATCGTAGCCAGAGAATTATGCCCAGAGGTGTGCATGTCCAAGCACCCGGAAGCTACACCATCAACTTTGGCAGTCGGACACATCCCGCTCAGCTACTGTCGAGTTGCCAACCTCTGCAAGGTGCACCTGAACAACAAATGGAACAAGGCAACATACATGTATCATCCGAAAAGACAATCAAAACATTTGCAAATGTGAAAGAGTCAGTGCCAGGCAATTTGGCAGGAAGTGCGAGCACCGGAATGCCAACAAAGTTTTTAGTAGAGTTACATGCCGTGCAGAGTCCCGATTTCTCTAGGGATTTCTCTAGGGACCTGTCTTAGGGCCCGGAGAGGGGTAAAATTGTCCAGGGAAATAAATCACATGTTAACAAAAGTCCTGTCTCATGTGAGTGCCTCACCAACATGCACACCTACGGCTACAGCATTATCTTCTAATTTTTTTAACCTGAGCGGCAACGGGAAAGCTTCACATTATGCAATATGGTTGGCAATGTGACTACCAGACCATCAGGCACAGAGCACTGTTGTATACACTCAAGGTAAAGCTGCTTTCCGACAGTTTACACGGGATCACGTGCCGCCTGGAGCAGCAGTTCCGTTCTTCCACACATGTCCCACAATGAAGTTAGCAATCGTCTCCCCAATGTGACAGCATCAGTCCAAGACAAGCAGCAAGAGTAAGCTAGAATGGATCAGGCAGGGGAGTCGACTCATGTCCAGTACACCATACACCACTCACTACGTATGTGTAGTACAAATTATGCATGCATGCACCTTACGATCTTATCCGCTGCTTTGCCATGCGTATCCGCGTACCCAGTGTACTGCACCACATCATCCGTGATATGCATGCACAGGTGCCTACTCTGCCACCGACTACAGTATATGAGTAGTAGCATTCCCACCTGCAGTCACATCCTGCATAACATTACTAGCTAGCTACCTAGCTACCTACCTACCTAGGTATCCACCGATGTGCCAACATCATGCTCGATGTGCCAACATCATGCTCTACCTACCTGCCTAGGTATCCACCGATGTGCCAACACCATGCTCCTTCGATGTGGCTTCGCCTCGGGGCGTGTGCTTCATGTAGGACAGGAAGACGTTCCAGCATAGTGTGGCCAAGTTGACAACGAGAACACGGTATGGCGTGGGCACGAAGTAGAAGTTGATGAGCTGGATCAGACCGAGAGAAAAGCGAAAACAAATGACACATCGCTCGTACAACATGTAGCTGCAAACAAGCCCGTGGGAGCGCACCAGTTGACAGAACAGGCGGGTATGCAGCATGCACAAAGTATGATTAGTACTGGCACATAAAGTTTACCTCGTGTAGAGAATGTATTGACAAGCCGATTCATACAAGTAGAATATAACTTCAATTTGTCTATTTCTTATTGGGCTCCTACACATGCCACAGTAGAACACGTAAAGAGAATGATTGAAACGGACTGTAGGTTTACTTCGTCTTCAATTATAAAATGTCACATTGTAAAAGAAGCAGGGAGTATGCTGTCGCTCACACCAACATCTACACATGTATTCATGTACATGTACAATCATAACTACTTGAACGTAGTAACTACAGCCAGGCAAGTTTCCTTTCAAGTAAGATCGCGCCGATATAAAGAAAACTAACCGAGCATGCATGAATGCAGTTTCACACACGCATGCACATACATACATGCACAGGCACATGCACACACACACACACACACACACACACACACACACACACACACACGCACAGATATACCGTATTTCCCCGAATATAAGTCGCACCTTTCACACTAAAACTCAAGGGTAAAAAAAGTGGTGTGACTTACAATCAAGCAAGACTTACTACTGAAGTGAATGCATCTTAACATTATATCGCTCAAACCTGAACATGGAGGTGCGTCTTATAATCGGGAATATACGGTACACCAATACTACACCAGTGTACATGATTGTGTGCCTTACCTGTACTGCTGGCCAAAACTGCCAATCAGCCTGAACAATGAACAATGAACAATGAACAATGAACGCAGACAACAATGAACAATGCACAATGAACAATGAACAATGAACAATGAACAATGAACAATGCACAATGCACAATGAACAATGAACAATGAACAATGAACAATGAACGCAGACAACAATGAACAATGAACAATGAACAATGAACAATGAACAATGAACAATGAACAATGAACAATGAACAATGCACAATGAACAATGCACACAGGGGCGTAGGAGGGGTTTTGGAAGTGATACGACCAAAGGTCGGCGCGGCCGAAGGCCGTCTCGGAGGGGGGTCCGGGGGACCTCCCCCGGGAAAATTTTGTAAAAAAGACACAAAATCCTGCGTTCTGGGAACTTCTGGCACACTTCTGGCACAGTTTATAAGTCATAGAATTATTTCACGGGCATAAGAGACGTGCATGGACATGCACAGATGCATGGCAGATCTACGAGTACGAGTCGAGAAAAAGGTCAAAGTCTGATGTGCATATGCATCGATGGATCCTGATTTTTTTATTACGGTTTTGCACGTTCCGGACGGACCACACTTTTCGAAAAGTGGTACGGCCATGGTCGTACCAGTCGTAGCGGGTGCTACGCCCCTGGCACAATGAACGCAGACAACAATGATAGCAGCGGCAACACACCCAGCAAGAACACAATCATTTCTTACATGGAATACTGCCTATTTTTTTGTAACTTCGTGACAAGCTGCCGGGGACTGACGCTAGGAAAAGGAAAACTGGAAAAAGGCAATGTGGATAGTGTGATTGTCGGATTTGTGCACGGCTACAACAATTCATGCCCGCCTGGTATACATACAGTAATTCACTAATTCTCAACCAAGGCAAAACTAACTACCACTTCAGGGTTCTAGGCAGAGGAGGGTAGGATAGTACAGCAATCTCCTAGACTAGTAGTGCGCCCTTCTGGGGGAAAAGGGGGACACTATGCTAGGAGCCACGGCCATCTTGCTAGTAGTGTGCCTCGAGAAAGGGGACAGCCTACTGGAAACAAAAACAGAACCTGGGTAGACAGCATTCCATCTAAACTGGCTTACCATGTATGTGGGTAGGAACTTCTCACGGAGCTCCGCAACGGAACTGGACAGTGATCGCTTCTCAAGGGTACCCATTCCTAGAAGACGGGCAAAGAATGAGGGCAGACACAGCGTCAGTAAAACAGACATAAAAAGAGAGAGAGAGAGAGAGAGAGAGAGAGAGAGAGAGAGAGAGAGAGAGAGAGAGAGAGAGAGAGAGAGGGGGAGGGGTAGAGATGATACACAGCAGAACAGGACTCAGTTACTATTGTATACCTCAGAGATTCACATTGAGTGCGATCCTCACACAATATCCGAGTAGCGTTTTGCCTGTTCTGTGTAAGGACACTCTGACACCAGGTGTTGAGCAGCCTGCGCATGGACACTCTGACACCAGGTGTTGAGCAGCCTGCGCATGTGACCCGTACAGTCATTGTATTGTAAGGATGGACACAAGGTACTAGTACATGTAGATAGTTTGTAAATAATTGAACCACTTGGCTGACTTTTTTCTGATTCAAGTCAGTTTTTAAAGCAAGAAAAGTGTCGTTATTCGCGACTTGTCCCTATTCCTGAGGTTAAAAGCATGCAGTCAAATGGTGACTGGTTCTGAACATTGTGTTATTTGCGAGTTGTTGTTATACCCGAGTTGTCGTTATTCACCAGGTTCACTGTAGATAGGTCCCATGGTGCAAGCAAAAGCGGTTGCTTAAAGCCAGGTGCTCTAAGGTCTCATGCATTCGCGGCATATCGGACCGTGTACATGCCTCCATGCACCCATATCGACAGATGTGGAGCAGAGAAACACTTTCGTGCACGCAAAACGCCCCTGAGTTTCACACCTCACTCAAGTGCATGCAGCACACCCTGCACTGTCACCTGTCACTTATGTTAACTGCATGCATTCGCTTCTGAGTGCACTTCAACCCTGTTGCGGTCAATCCTGCTAGCCAGGATAGCACTTTCGGGCTAGTTAGTAGTGGGTCGCTGTATGCAAGTCAGATGTGGCACTTGGTACACTAAACATCGATTGCTGGTCGCGCAACGCAGGTGGTCGCCGTTTACGGCGCAGTTTCTATGCAGAACTGCCGGTGGATGGAAAAACGGTTGTTAAGATCAGGTGGTCACTGAATCCAGGTTTTACTGCATTAGATAGGTATGAATAGATAGACTAGGTTCCCCTCGCCTCAGCTGGGTGGAGCACTGTTTATGGTTAGCACCGAGGGTGGTGCACATAACATCACAAAAGCGTGCCACATGTTAACGTCGTCATTTTCAAGTCCAATTTGTTACAGCTACGATGGACATACTGTACTACATTGTGCTGTACTGGTATGCACACACACACACACGCACACACACACACACACACACACACACACACACACACACACACACACACACACACACACACACGCACACACACACACTACTACTACTTCTATGTACAGCTACCCTATCGGGCCACGCCGCTCCCAGAAGCGGGAGACAACGACAAGAAGAGAGAAGAGAAGAGAGAGAAATCGCAAAGTCAACAATATTTGGCATGGCGTTGCAAGTCCTGTGGCCTTGAGAACCGTCTTTCGCACAAACACACCTGGTCCTGGTAAACACTGCCATTACGGTCACGTGTCCCCTTCCGGGGCCGACAATATAGAACGACGAGCGGGACCATGTTCGAGAGAGCCATCTCCAGCAGCTATGGATCTGGCTTATCATCGGAAACGATTCCTCTCACGGCTGCCGCTAGAACTGGTCCATCACTCTCCACAACAGAGCGAACATTCCATGAGCCAACGCTCAGAGTCGTTCCAAGTTGTCGTCTTCGTGCGGTAGTTTGCTCCACTCGCGGGCTTGCAAAGCCTCGCGAAGGACTCCGAGGTGGGGGCAACGAGGAGAGTGTCGGCATCGTAACTATCCGACCAAGTCTCCTGTTGGTGAATACCCCACCTCAGGCACTGTTGGCCTGGACGGCTGGGGACACCCCAGGCCGTCCACAACGGCGAGAACAAGCACGGACGGAGGCCAGAAACAAGAGCCCGAAAAAGTACAACCGTCCTCCACCAGAGCAGAGAACACACACATTGTCAAGATGTTCAACTATTTGAAAGATTTTCCTATCGTCGGAAACGATTCCTCTCACGGCGGCCGCTCGAACTGGTCCATCACTCTCCACAACAGAGCAAAGATTCCATGAGCCAATGCTCAGAGTCGTTCCAAGTTGTCGTCTTCGTGCGGTAGTTTGCTCCACTCGCGGGCTTGCAAGGCCTCGCGAAGGACTCTGAGGTGGGGGCGACGAGGAGAGTGTCGGCATCGTAACTATCCGACCAAGTCTCCTGTCGGTGAATACCCCACCTCAGGCACACACACACACACACACACACACACACACACACACACACACACACACACACACACACACACACACACATGTGCACACACACACACAAATTGACTGATATTGATAAGCTAGGGTGAGTCGCAGACACTCTGGGAGTGCACTATATCCACCAGCATTACAACAGTAGACCAGGTACATCATGTAAATGCATGATGATGACAGCATTGCAGACGACGAGCACACTGTACATGTATGGGAGGAAACAGTGTCCTCTACCTTGTGCTGTGCTGTCACCATACCTGGTAAACTATCAGGCAAGGCTTACATAATTATACCAACTGTGGACCTGTCGTGTAGTGTGTTGATGATCCTATAGACAACTAACCCACCAACCCACCAGTGACTAACCGATGTAAAACACTGTCGTGCCAACAGGGGCATACGCTATTTCGTCCAGTAGAACCTTGGTGAGAACAAGCCGATGCGTCTTTCCAGGCCACCGTCTATCCAGAAACACGTACCAGTAGTGGTTCAGCGGACCAATCAGCAGACCCATGGCTGCCATTCGTCCAGCCCTCGGCCAATCGATAGATTCCCTTTTCTCAATAACCTTTTGTTGAAGAATGTCACCGAAACCGAACAATCCAGTTGTAGTGGTTGAATTAGTCACAACTAAATAGCGGGCGCTGAACATACGTTCCCATAATCGTTTCAACATGGTCTCTTTACTTTCTCCAGCGGCGGCTGGAGATTGATCGCCCAAATTGCAAATACTGTCAGACAAACATCAAACAGACCATTGAAAAAATTAATACAATCAAGTAAATTCAAGATGTGAAAAAGTCCAGAGATGCCAGCACGCGCACACGGTACACATGGTACGGTACATGCCGTATAACATGGTGCACGCTTTGGTCGAATTCCATGGTTTCATGAGTGCCACGTGCCCAACAGTACGGTCCACGTGTCCGATTTTGGATTTTTGAACAAACACACTTTCACATTTTGCCAACAAAGCTGTACGTCAAAAATGTGTCTGCTGTGACTGGATCGAGTGAGTTGTCTATATTATTATTATCAAGTGGAGAAGATCATTATCATAACCATTCGAGAAGAGAAAGGAGGGTGTGGAGGGAAACAGCTACGTTTCTGGTGATTTATTCAGCATGGCGTCGGCTAGAGAAAGGAGACGGCGTGATGCTCCTGAGAGTCCAAGGTTTGATTTTTAGATTTGTTTCTTTTAGTGTGATAGAATTAGAGGTGTGTTATGCTGTTATAATTAAAAATCCTAATAATATTAATTTCGGACCGGACTATTACTGCTGCGTCTTCGCCCGAGTACTAGTATACTCGTAGCTTCCCGTAGTTTTGTTGTATGATAAAACATATGTGAAAAAGGGTGGAAAAACACTGACATGGCCTTTTCTTGTCACAACTCTACAGCTCTGCAGTTCCCACTGCTCCGGAATTGGCAAATCCAGATGAATGGGCACCATCATCCAGTGCAGCGTTCAAGCTCTTCTTGGTAGCATGTCTGGTGTCTGCAAAGTACAGCAACATATCGGACGCTGATGAGACGTTCAACTATTGGGAACCGGTAATGCCCTGAACTGTCATTTCAACTGCAACCACACTAAGAGACACAGACAAGCGCGTGAAGCAGACAATCTATTAGAAGTTCGCACTAACGTTGCCACACATACATGCATCATGCCCCGGCGGGTGGGCAGTGCGGTGAATGGCCCACGGGCCTATGAGACTGTCGCGTCGTCTGGTCTTCTGTTTCTCTCACCTCGTCTTCACGTCACTATGGGCAATCTATCACTATGCATGTATGTGTGGCAACGTCGTTAGTGCGAACTTCTAATAGATTGTCTGCTTCACGCGCTTGTCTAAGTTCTAGTGCCATCTGTATGCATGTCCCAGCAGCACTGTGCGTTTCGTTATCACCTTCAGAACTGTTGTCACATTCAACCTGTCGGCGCATATCAGTCACTTTGGAATTTGAAATTCTGCCTTAGTTTGTCCTCGGTGAATGAATTTGAGGCCTGAAGCAACCTTTGGCTTGTACCCTCGCTGTGTTTCATGTCCTGCAGACCCACTTCTTAATGTTCGGCTATGGATTCCAGACGTGGGAGTACTCGCCGCTGTATGCTATCCGCTCGTATGCATACAACGCCCTTCATGCCGTGCCAGCGTTCGGCTTGCATCTACTGTTTGATAAGGTAATGTAGTATAGAACACCCAGGCACTGTGATGCTCTAGAATAGTAGATTGTCTGAGTGTAACATGTTATGCTCTTGTTGTACAGTCGCTGGTGGAGTGTTGGCTCTGCAACAGGCTTGAGATATAGCGGTTCCCGTGTTTTCTCGCAGTCCTCATCTTTCAAAAGGCATGTATTAAACTGCAGTAATAATTATGTGCAAGGCCAGAAGGACTGAGACATGACCAACAAGTCCGATGTTTATAGAAAAGAAAAAGGACCAAGGAACTACAAGTTACGCTATAATGTCCACTAGCACCACCAGTTACTAAGCAATCAGCTCATGCGATAACATTGCACGGCACTGACCGACGGTAGTGACGTTCTACAACTAACTTACTAACTAACTGATTGTTTAGTAACTGGTGGTGTTAGTGGACATTATAGCGTAACTTGTAGTTCCTTGGTCCTTTTTCTTTTCTATAAATTAATCCTTGGCTCTCCATCCAAGTCTGATGTTGTTCCACTTGCTTTGCTTTGCATTGAGAAGTAGTGCTGTCTTTGCATCATGCATCATACAACTTCCCTTTGCTGGCATGTTCACTTAACTCTACTCCATTACGCTGTTCTGCAATGTGTCGTTGTGTACATGACTATTTGACAACTCTAGGTTCAGGTGTTCTACGGAGTGCGGGTGCTGCTTGGCGTGGCCTGTGCCCTAGCGGAAACTTACTTCTACCAGTAAGTACACGCAGGAATTGCTAAGCGAAATATCTGTTCGCAAGAAATCTGCTTGAATTTTGAGGAACAACTCAATAGAACAATCCTGATTGTGGGCTGTGTGTTCAGTATTGTTGAATGATTCTATTGATGACGGTTGTGTGTGGGGGGTTTTCCCGCAATTTCGTTGCAATCTCCCATGGAATGCTCTTCCAACTATGTTTCTGAAGTATATTTCTCCAAAAAGCAAGCCATAACAAGAATAAGATTTCGGCCAGGTTTTTTTCCCCAAAGCCGAGTCTCACGTGACACGTGAATTCCCCCCCCCCCCCCCCCCCCTATGGCCTAAGGCACTGAATTGGGAAAAACCATGGAAATCCAGGCCATTTCACTCCACTTGCAACAGTACATTGTGCGGTTTGAACCCCAGTTGAGGTACCTTTTTTGGGCCCTCTTTCAAGTTTCAAATTCCATGGCCGGCACTGCACCATGTACGATAAAATCATGAAAAATCACCAAATACGGGAGTTTGCCAGAGCCAGCGCTCATCTTTTTATGACTGGACTGTACACCCAGACTGTGACGAAGGAATATGTCTCAATGGCGTCATGCGTGTTTGTATGATTGTGTATGCTCCGCAGTGGTGTGCTTTTGCGATTCGGCTCGGTGGTTGCGCAGCTCTTGCTGGTGTTCCTGCTGTTTGGCAGTGGAATGTTCATCTCTTGCTGTGGTAAGTTGGTGTCCCCCATTCAGCGCAAGCTGCATCGTGGCATCATCACTGCCATACACATAGACTCATGATACTGGTAAATCAAATGTGAAATGATGAGATAATGAGATATTGAGATAATGAGAGTGGGTCATTAGAAAGTGCTACCAAGTGCAGTATTTTTTTGGAAATCAGCCTGCAAAGCCACTCCAAACGAGCACTTGTATTTTTGGCAAAGTGGAGTTCGATTGAGGAGTTGTATAAACCCCGGAGTGGACACGCCACAGATTTCCAAGGGTTCCATTTGACTCAAGTTTGCATCAACTACACCATTGTTTTGCTGAGTCCTTCTCACTCCATGATCCAGTGTGTTCACTTTAAGGTCTGTGTTGATGGGTGGCTGTAATCCATACCTTGAGCGTGGTTGCAGGTGGCGGCTGCGTGCATGCTTTTCTCTCCACCCTCTGAAACAATAATACGTCGTGCTCCGGGAGTCGTATCTTCTGAACTTGTGTAATGTCGACAGATGCTTTTCTGCCTGTTGTGTCCTTGTGCCTGTGTTCGAACGTGCGCAGCGTTTCTACCCAGCTCGTTTGCAATGATTTTCACCATGGTGGCCATGGGTGCCTGGTTCAGAAATGACAACAGGGTAAGGGTCAGAAGACCGTCTGCCTGCTGGTCAGGTGACATCGTGTCGGCAGGCATCTGCAGAGTAAAGATCTCCGACTTTCCGCCAGGAAAAGAAAAGAAGTGAGAGCCCATGAGCCCAGGCTCTCCTGTTTGTTAACAGATGTGTATGTAGGCCGGCGAGTAGAAGAATCCTGTCAAGTTTTTCAATTCACTACACCGGCCCATTGTGCTCATTTTTACTTGTTTTTATCCTGTTTGGTCTTCTTGCTCTTCATGTCCTTGTTGTGTTTGTACGCGCGTGTGTGTGTGTGTGTGTGTGTGTGTGTGCGTGCGTGCGTGCGTGTGCGTGTTTGTTTGTATTGTCAGGTAGCTGTGTTTGCCATTGCGGTGGCTAGTTGCCTTGGCTGGCCTTTTGCTGCTGCGGTTGGGTAAGTCCTTTGGTATGTGTTCTTGGAGTATGGGATACCGGTATGTTGGTATGATATTGTGCCAAAGAATAATGAGCAGAGCTATATTGAAATCCATGAGCTCAACGAAGAGCACAATCCCTGTCCTGTGCCAGGAAACACTGCCATGTTTCCTCGCCTTGTGCTTTCTCTTACTGTGCCTCTTTAAAACATTGATTCTGAGATGCTAATGCTGACCAGATTGCTCAATGGTACACTGTCTGCTGCAGCATTCCGATTGCAATCGATATCACGTATCGACTTGGCGTGAAGGAGTTTGCAATCTACGCTGGTGTCAGCGGGCTGATGGTCATGGTATGTAGCTAAGTACGGTGGAACTTCAGGATAGCATGTCTCCAGGGGTCCTAGAAATCTGCACTATAGCCGGGGTACTGTACATGTACTGTATCCAAGGTCAAATGACTGGTATCCATTTGTATCATGCGTGGTCCTCGAAAATAGTACTTTCATCCCCTAGTATGCTATATCCTGTGTGCTTTATACTGAATATGTACATGTAGCTAGAGGCTTCCAACAGTGCCATGCGATGTACTAACTAGTAGTACATCGTCTTGTATACATGTACTCAAATTGGACTTTTGGAGGCACTTTCACATAAGCGCACATGATGCATGTGTAAAATATGTACAAAGTGTATAATGCGGCTATAGGAGAACGAGCACTCCTTTTGGTGCCAGAATGCCGTATATCCATTGAACTTGCAAGCACTAAACTAGGGATCATCCGTTAGTATTGAAGAGGGCAATCACAGCGTCTAGTTATCTCTCCCCCCCCCCCCCCCCCCCCCCCCGAGCCGATTCAGGTTGTCTCTTGTTAGTTTGTGTGAGGAACAGCTGAACAGATGAGTACAATAATATAGGAACTCTGACAGTGTGGTCATTGTCCATCGAAAACAGCGCTACACCTTGTTATTGCATATTGCTGCCGGTCTCAATTGCTGATGATCTTATGTCACACTGTGTGTGCGGGTGGGTGGTGATTGTGTTGGCCGTGTGTGTGTGTGTGTGTGTGTGTGTGTGTGTGTGCGCGTATGTGTGTGCGCGCGCGCGCTCATACATTCGTGTGCATGTGTACGTGGTTTATGTGTGTGTGTGTGTGTGCAGGTACCACAAATCGCTTTGGATTCGTTCCTGTACCGCCGTCTTGTCATTGCACCACTAAACATTGTACTGTACAACGTGTTTGGACAAGGAGGTCCTGACCTCTACGGTAAGGTACCTCATGCCATTCACCGTGTCCTGTCCATATTTTGTTCTCGACTTTTTTTCCTTTTCTTGAACTTTGGAACAATTTAGCATGTTGAAATTTTTCCATTTTGATACAATAAGAATAGGCCATTTTAGCCTAAGGGTGCATCCTTGAATCCTTGAATCCTCTCGACCTTGATTACACTGCATTGTTGAGTGTTGGTAGCGGCAGACATGACAGTACCGCTTACTGGATCGGACCACACGGCAATCACCAGACACTACGGTGGTGGCTTGTAGGTGTCTTTTGTTTACCTCGACTCCCGCCGTCTTCCGACTGATAAGGAAGACGCTTGTGGAGTGCCGTGTCAGATCCTCCTCTTTGCCTGGTTCCAGTTCTTCCGCAATCGATTCCATAGTGGATGATATTGTGTGAAATTCTACCTTCTCACGGGAGTGTGCCAGGGGCCACACATGTGTACATCTAACACTACAGTAACAGCTGCAGGGGCCATGACTGTAGGTTCAGGTTGCTGGAAAACTTGGTGTCAAAAAAACGCCCCGGGTCACACCAACAGCAGAGGTGTACACTCTTGTTGATGTACTCTTGGTACAACACACCTTGCTGCGCAGGAGCAAAGGAATAGAGAGGTTCCGCATAACGTAATTACGTTAGTAAAAAACGTAGTCGATCTACGGAAAGTCTTACGTAAACTGCATGCGCATCTGCGTTCCGCCATACGGAGTTTTCAAATCACGTAGCTGCCCTTGGCAACTCCGAACGCGGCAGTGTACGACCAGATCAACCTGGGGAGAGAGTCATAAATTTGTACCCCAATCCACTTACGGACCAGCTACGTTATCAGAGCCCTATCTACGTACTCTACGTAGACAACTTTCCGTAAGTGGAGTGCAAACTCGCGAATTCACGGGTTTTCCCCGCCCACTAACGTAAAGTTGCTCAACTTTACGTAGTGCGGAACCTCTCTAATATTTGAACTTTGCCGTGCGAGCACAATAGGGTGTTTACACCAGCCATACTAGTACTCTTACACAGTTTGTTACGTCATTCATAAAACACGTATGAGTAGTTTCTTGCCTTACTCCTACTCCACATGTAACTAGGGGCAGCACAATACTTTAGCAATAGTAGACCCGTGCACAGTACAAAGTGAGTGTCAGCTTGCATGTGAGGAGTCAGGTTTCACTCTGTCTCTCGGGCTCTTCGCTGTGCTTACTATTCAGGCGTGGAGCCGTTTTCTTTCTACTTCAAGAACGCCTTTCTCAATCTGAATATAGCATTTATTCTCGCCCTGCTGGTGCTTCCCATGTGGGTAAGTGATGGTGGGTCGTTGATGGTTGCTGCGCGTGCGCACACGCACACACACGCACGCGTGCGCGCACGCACACACACACACGCACACACCATGTACCATGTATACGCCCGCCGCAAGAGTAGCACGCACATCTGCAAACGCACTGCACACACGCACACACACACACACACACACACACACACACACACACACACACACACACACACACACCTCGACCTTGACCTTGACATACAGCTGCCGTTAAACGGTTGAGCTGCCCTCATCACGAGGGGAAACAAAGGGGTAGCATGATGGCTTCGCAGCAGACCATCCGGTCCTATGCTGCTGCAGATCCTGCTGCCACCGAAATCTCTCACCGCACGCACAGCAGAACTTGAACTGGAGACGCTCCCTCGCTGTTGGTTGCTTGCCGTGTGCACATATACACATACACATATGCACACTCGCGCACACACACACACACTCTCTCTCTCTCTCTCTCTCTCTCTCTCTCTCTCTCTCTCTCTCTCTCTCTCTCTCTCTCTCTCTCTCTGTCTCTCACACACACATACCCACACCGAGTTGAGCGTATCCTACCTGTTTCTACTCTTGTTATTATTGGAAATCTTGTTCGAGAAAAGCTGTGGCGTTGATGTTAAGTGTTGTGTAGGGCCTTGCTTCCCCTTCCCCTCCGACCTAACCTGTATGTTTGTGTTGTTGTTGTAGGTTGTGCGCACAGCTGTGCTGCGACAGCGTGATGCCCTATCCTGGCGTGGCACACACAGGGCACCGCTCTGGCTGGCACTGCTGCCCATGTACGTGTGGATGCTCATCTTCTTCACGCGACCTCACAAGGCAAGCCATTGCTTGTGGCCATATTAATGCTTTGCTTGTGGTGCTGCAGTTGATGCTGCAGTTAAAATTTAGACTTGGCAGAGTGTCAGTGTCCGCTGTAGTGCACTGGCTGCTCTGAGAGACGAAGGGAGAGAGAGAGAGAGAGAAACAGAGAGACAGTTACTTCCCATTGTTGAAAAATCCACATGATCTTGCCTCACTCCCTAGCGGTGCCAGCATGTATCCAACGTAAGAAAGAATAAGTTAGTAGTTGTGCAGTCCAGGCCCCTATTCGTGTAATCCTTTTGTTAGGTATTTCCTGCCCGAGACATCTCTGGTTAGTCGCTGGTGTTATATCTCTCTTCTCTCAGAAGTTGAAACCCGTATTGCTGCTCTGTTGTGTGCTTGAAACATGATGCGTACTGCAGGAAGAACGCTTTCTTTTCCCTATCTACCCACTGATCTGCATGTCAGCAGCTGTCACACTGGCGATAGTACAGGTGAGTGACCTTGGGCTGTATGTTTGGCGGGCTTCACTTGACTTCAACAGAGTCAAAAGGATGAAGGGGGTATTTGTTATGGGCATACTTGCCAAGTACTGAGAGTCCTTTTTCTGGATCACCAGGTCAAAATTTCGACTTGCCTTGGTTTTCGGAATATGTCATATTTTTTCCAAAATTCCATTTTCAACTTTTTGAAATGATGACACCAAAATTGTGTGACACTACAATTGTCAGTGATTACCATTGTAGATATTCATCACATTATACGCAAGTTCAGGACTCAAAACGGAGCCGGTTTTTCAAGGGCTGTTCATGGAAGGAGTACTAGTAGATCCACTGGTACTACAGCTATGGCACTACAGAATCAATAGCAACACTGAACTACAAAAAACAAGTCACTTGAAGTGCTCCAAGAACGATATCAAGACTTGTTTCGTGTACAGTGATTTTCGGGATAATTGACAGGAATTTCGGGATCGCGGGAGTTCATCCAAAAACGCGGGATATTAAATCCCGAAAAACCGGGATGCTTGGCAGGTATGTAGGTACTTATTTACGGACTTTTGCGGTAGTTTCTGTTGAATTCATCCGATTATGTGCGGACTCATTGTGGACGCGTGTGTGTGTGTTCGTGCATGCACGTGTGTGTGTGTGTGTGTGCCCGTGTGTGTGTGTGTGTGTGTGTGTGTGTGTGTGTGTGTGTCTGTGTGTCTGTGTGTGTGTCTGTGTGTCTGTGTGTGTGTGTGTCTGTGTGTGTGTTATCATTGTTCATGCCCCCAGGAGCTGCTAACGGCTGTTCTGGTCAAGTACCGGCGCTTCCATCTTGGCAACTACATTGTAATTCCAGCCATTCTCCTGACCATTGTGTACACGTTCTTGGGTGTAACTCGGTCGGTAGCTTTGTACAAAGGTCAGTGCTTCAACTTGAATACCCAAGGAAATGTGGCAGAGACCTCTGTATACACGTCTAGATGAGTTTTTCACAATAGCCTAGTGCAACATGCCCGTCTATCAATGTGCTTCAGTTGGTTACCGTATTTCCCCGATTGTAAGTCGCACCCCCATTTTCAGGTCTGAGCCAAATTGTTTCAATATAGTCATATCAGTAAGAAGTCATGCTCAATTGTAAGTCACATCCCCGTCTTGAAATTCCCCGTCTTTGCTCTTGAAATTTAGTGTAAACAAGTGTGACTTATATTCGGGGAAATACGGTAGGTATTTCTGTGCCACACTGCTTTGTTTTCTCCATCTTGTTGCTCTTACTCTTGTCTGGATTCTGGCTCTTGCTGCTGCTGCCGCTGCTGCCGCCGCCGCTGCTGCTGCTGCTGCTGCTGCTGCTGCAGTGCTAGTGTTCACGGTAAATCTACAGTTGAACTCCTTTTATTTGATTCATACTGACAAGAGCTGAGAAAACGAACTCTCAGATCATACTAACATGAGATTGCAAACGAAGAACTAAAAACTGATAAACTAGCCTCGCTTGGCTGCTGAGAACTGTAACAATAATTTACATAAAAAACGAGTGAAACCAAATAATTAGACTCGGGTGGAGAGCCAAGGAAACCAAAATACATTACCATTAGCAAGTGCGGAAAATCGTGACTGGACCGTAAACAGCCCAACTAATTACTTAGTTACTCAATATACAAAAGCCGCACACGTGAATGAAAGCTAACTGGTTTCAGATGAATGGAATCTGAAGACAAAAGGTTCAGTCTTGCATGTCTGATGTCTAAAGATATGAATGCACGCAGCTAAACCAGTCAATGGTAGTGACTCTACTCCCTCACACCCAGACGCTGATTTTTTGGAAACAAGTTTTTTATACTTTCGATGGGAGAATCCGACATCGTAGTGCTTTTCGGCGTGGCCAGGTCAAATTGTAGAATATCGCATCGATTATATTGCTTTATCTGAGAGAGGAGATGTTCGTGCCCTTGAGACCCGAAGTCCCGTTTCCATAATATATTATGACAAAATTTCGCTCAGCGCTTTTTCAGGGCACAAATTTCGGGTTGTTCTGGTCGGGTCGCAGCGCCGCGGACTATTCCATCGTCTTCAGCGTCAAAAAGCTACTGGCCATGTGAAATAACAAGGCGGTGAGACGCTTTCGTCTTCCTCTATGAGCGAATTTGTTCTGCGCCAGCATACCAAAGTATGCAATATGGTACGTGCAGTTTGAGTGACGAGGCGTGTGCACAGTACACTGCACTGCACGCACTGACTGTGCAGTCGTCTTGAAACTTTCTCGATTCTCCCATCCCTCCCTTTCATGTCTGTTTCCGGCGAAAGTCCAACTTGGCGCGCTTCAAAATCAAATCACTGTAACTCAAGAATGGCTGGGCCGATTTGAATAATACTTGCAGATTGCCTATGTTACGCCCGGGAGAATTGAATGAGACCAAAATCGAAGCGATCAGAGCAAGTTTTGAAATTGGGTGTAGTCACTATCAATGGTGCAACCATGACTCACAACAACAGAAACACTGGATAGATGCAGGAAAACCACACCGACAACATGAGACTCGTGACAATCATCACTGCCTCCAGCTCATTCTCCTCCTCCTCCTCGATCATGGTACAGCAATGATCGACTCGATTACAAGGATAGATCACTGACACACAGGCAGGATACTGGATAATGCGAAAATAACACTGAACGCTGCAGAACTATTGGACTGAAAATGGATCTACTACATCACGGAGAGAATATCTCCATCTAATGCGTTCTGACATAGTATCTAAGAACTACGAAGCTGACAGTCATCTGGCAGACACATGGCTCACAATGTTACTTGACATTCTGCATCATCTCGCCCACCAACACAGCTGTCCTCTACTCTTCTTTCTTGATCTCCAATGGACACAACTTGCATATGGGACGTGTTAGCTCCTTGCCTCCAACCTTGACTCTAGCGACTCGCACAAGACCATCCTTTCCGGGAAATACCTCGAGCACTCGTGCAAGCAGCCACTGTGAGCATGGTGTCGGTGGTGTGAGCAGGAATACTAGATCTCCCACTTGAATATTAGCGTACTGCTCCGTCCACTTTCGCCTCATGCTAAGAAGTGCCAACCACTCCCGAGTCCATCGTCGCCAGAAGTGCAAGATCAATTGCTGAATATGCTGCCACCACTTGCGTAGGTTGAACTGATCATCGGCCAACTCCGTAGCAAATTTCCTGCCGATCTGGCCAATGATGAAGTGGTTGGGTGTCAAGACTGTCTCGTCTTGTGGATCTGTCGATTGCGTTGTTAACGGCCGGGAGTTGATCAATCCTTCAGCACCGACAACAGCTGTAAGAAATACTTCGTCGATGATCTCGAACCGAGGATGGCAATGATCGCTCTTTTTACTGCCTTGATCATGGCTTCAAATGGACCGCCGAAATGAGGTGCTGCTGGCGGGTTGAAACTCCACTCCACATGATGTAGCGATGTGGCTGCTTTGATCCTGTCTTGGTCGATGTTGTGCCACAGTTCATCCATCTCCCCCTTGGCACCAACGGAGTTTGTTCCGTTATCCGAGATGACCTGGGGCAGGACCCCTCATCGACTGGTAAATCGGACGAAGCAATTCAGGAAGGCATCAGTGTGCAGACCTGATGCTACTTCTAGATAAACTGCCCGTGTTGTCAGACAGGTGAATAGACACAACCACCGCTTCGCTTGCTGTCGACCGCGTCCCTGTTTCGTCATGAACGGACCTGCATAGTCGACGCCGACTCATGACAATCATCACAGCCTTCAGCTCAACTAGTCACACCCACCTATCCCAAAACTAAGGATAAACTGTGTCTATCACACTTTGTGTGTGTGTGTATGTGTGCACGCGTGCGTGTACGTGTATGTTTGTATGTGTGTGCGCGCGCGCGTGTTTGTGTGTGTATGTACGTGTGTACGTGTGTGTCCAGGCTATCATGCTCCACTGGCTGTGTACAATGAACTGCATAGTCATGCAGTTAACCACTCGTTACGCTACCCATCTGGAATGTACAATGTCTGTGTTGGCAAGGAGTGGTATCGCTTTCCTAGCAACTTCTTCCTCCCAGACAGGAGGTCAGTTTGATTGTGGAGCTAGTTGAACATGTGTTAATGTGATGGTAGATGGGCATGTTTCACAAGGACGTGGCTAGTCTGCCTCTTGGGGGAGTGCACAGGTACTGCACCGAAATATTCTTGCGGTAGTTGTCAGCTCTGGGTTGAATCATACTGATACTGCTCTGTCCAAAAATAACCAGGCTTTAATATGTGAGGTCGATACCAGAAGCCACAAGGCAGTAGGGATTGTATCTGACCATATGCATGGATAGTATTGAAAGGTGCTCTGCACTTGAGCCCAAAACCCATTGCCTCACAATGGCAAGGAGCTGAGCCAGCTTGAAACTCCTTTGGTGGAAAAGTAAACGTGCTCAAGTTGTCGAGCGGCAGATGAAGTAGTGAAGTGATAACAGCACACAGAATGTGAAGTGATAACAGCACACAGAATGTGAAGTGATAACAGCACACAGAATGTGAAGTGATAACAGCACACAGAATGTGAAGTGATAACAGCACACAGAATGGCAGCGGGTCGTATCCAAAGGGTGGGTGATACACGAATTGCCTACAGCAATGGCAAGTGGAAAGCCGCAGTGTGGGTATGCTTATTAGCGGGCCGGAGCTGGATTTCACTTGCCACGACTGTACTGACTGGAGCATAGGTGTCTATGCGCCAGCTCTGAAGTACAGGTGTGGCAAATGAAATCTACGTATTTTAGTAGGTGGATTTAAAAATTTCGGCTTTATTCGGCACAGTCCCAAACGCCTAAATTGAAGCGCTAATGAAATTTTTCACATCGGCTTTGGTGATGTACTACAATGTAGTATTGATCGTAGTATGAGGAGTACTATGACGCGTGTACGTGTCTGACAATAGTAGTAGTGCTGAAAATAAATGACTGCCGAAATGTCGACATTCTGGGCATTTCTTTTGCTTTGGTTATCGGATTTCCATAGTCTTGTGCTTGCTGGAAAGCTCTCCATGAGCATGCTACTTTGAGCCCAAATTCGACGCCACAGCGTTCACATGTCCAACGCCGCAGAGCCTCGAATAGTCCACAGAGCTGGATATACGAGCAAGCTCCTTGTTGCCAGCCATTTCATTCTCATTCATCGCAGAACGCTCAGTTGTTTTGAGCTCAGTTTAGGTTTATGCTGGCCACGTGCAGGAAGCGTGCCTGGATGAATATCAGCGAATCATTTGAGGGCAAATCCCTCACTCAAGGCCAGTCACTGAGAAAAAATTGACTTTTGCCATGACTAAAATGTCGAGCGCGGAATCTCTGCAAATCTACATTGTAGCTCTGCGGCGATTGTTGCATCAGATTACTGAGCTCTTCGGCTTCTTCCTAGATATTTTGATCATGGAATTCAGTGAAAATCGTGTGAGTTACAAACGTTTTAGTGCATGCAATTCCATCGACGGAATACTGTACCGTCGAATTTATTCTGTTTGAATTTTGAATGCATGGCCTCCAAAGGGTTAACATCGCTCAAAATATGGTGCTTAATCGCTGAGACAAAACAGCCACTGATTGCGTGTGTGATACAGTGCTATATAGGTGGCGTAGCGGATGCATTCGTAGATGACTGGTGTGATATTGTATGTACTTCAGAGTACATGGATCAATTGTATCACATTATTAGTATCATTGGCACGCTCAGTTAGCTAGCGCTAGTATGTAGTCGGTAGCGCTAATATGACTTTGTAGTCTGTAGCGCTAATATGTAGTCGGTACGTAAGGCACTTCCTTATGTGTGTTGGGTCATTCTATCCAAGTTCGTGGAAACGTAACAATGACGCCACCATATGCTAATTCTGATGTGTCCGTGAATGCACGGAGCTCAATAATTATCATCTTTTGGTGCAGCGCCTGCAATAGCCTGCAAGCAATGCAGAGTGGTATTGTACTCGGTAGTAGTAGCAGCAGCTCATGGATTCGCTGTCCGCAATGTGTGCTAAGTTCCAATGGGAGAACTTCATCTCAGGTCACACCGCTAGCCCAGATATCTGCATCAGTATATTGCCACGAACTGTCACCGGCGCCAGAAATCCAAGCGGGTCGATTATCTTAGCAATCTTCAGTCAGTCTGCTTCCTACTCCAGTCCATTACCTGCAGACGTCCGGTCACCTGGCTTGGAGTTATTAATCCGACTACGGTTGTTCGTGATCGATGATTGAGATTGGCGATGTCGAACTCCACTTCCATGTATATGAAAGTGCTCTGTCTTCCGTTCAGCATATCGATGGTCATGCCATGCTGCTCACCACTCGTGTATTGTGTGAGCATGCATCCGTGTTGTAACTGGTACTGCCTATTTGCCTGTTACGTGTAACATGTACATGATGTGCTGAAACGGATGTGGCCTGTGATGTTTTCCAGGTGGCAGTTGCAGTTTGTGCGCTCCGAGTTCCGTGGCCAGCTACCACAGCCGTACCAGCGTTCGTGGAATGCAACCTTTGTGATACCATCTCATATGAACGACATGAACCGAGAGGAGACCAGCAGATACGTGAGTTGAACTCAATACCCTGACCAGCCGACTATGGACAGTGTGTTTGTAGTTGAACTCAATACCCTGACCAGCCGACTATGGATAGTGTGTTTGTAGTTTCTCCCTGGCAAGGTGTTCATGCCAGCATTGCCTGTATACCGTAATGTCGCGTGCATTAGCCGGGGCTTATATGCCTATAAGCCGGTGATGGAGTCAGGCTTGTACACAAGACAGGCTTATACACGAGACAGGCTTATATGACAAGCACCACTCAATGACCAGGCTTGTATGCGCAAACTGCTGACTTGCTGGTGTTGATTTCCGCATCTTCCCACGTTTTCCGCGTGTGCAAGTGTACGGTACCATGCAAACATGAACATGTAAAAGGCGCGCTCACCAGTCTTGCGTAGTAGCCCGGCTTACGCACGCGACACGTGGCGCGTCTCGTGTACTGGCCCGGCTTATGCATGCGACAGGCTTGTACGCGAAAAGCTGTTGCAGATTTCATGCTTCTACACGAGACAGGCTTATGCACAAATCCGGCTTATGCACGCGACATTACGGTAGCTTGATACAGGTCGTGTGGTGATGACGACAGTCCTCCCTGCTCTGGTACTGGAGTTCATATTGTGTCTTTGCTCGCATCCTAGAAATATTATCTCAGAGGTCTTGTCACTTTCTCAGATCGAGAGCTACCAGTCGTTCCACTACTTACACATGATTCTTGCTCTGTTTTCCTCCAGGTACCTGAAGATGACTGCGATTACATTGTTGATGTTGACTCTCCGGTAGCAACGCACAGAGAGCCGCGCTACAGCGAGATAAAGTCAAAGTGGAAAGTTCTATTTTCGCAGAAGTTTCTGGATGCGTCTCGGTAAGCCTGAATGCATTTCTTCGTCTTTTATCGAGAGGCCAGCCGAATGGTTAGACATGAAGGCAGAGATGTCGACTGCGGACAGCTAGCTTTTTCAATCTTGTTAGGTCTCCTCAGCAGAGCTCAGAGAGTCACTGGCTGAACCTATTGCAATACAGTCAAGTGAACAACAATATGGGAAAGAATTTGAAGTTTATTTTGGAATTTGGAGAGATTTTCATTTTGTGTAGCCAAGGACTTAGTGCGGCTGTGGGCGGTAGAAATTAAAGTCACGAACAACAAAGCATTATTAAACCGGCTCGAAACATCAAAGTAGAGCGTTGTAACTGCGAGAAACAAGGCAAACTCTGCACGACATACAGTCAACTCTGGATATAAGCAAGAGTACATAACCCCCAAGAGTATGCAACTGCCTGCACAACATCTATGCAGTGCTGCGACGGCAGAACTTCACATCACGTGACATGGTTCAAAAAGGTTACGCTGGCAAACAGTGCAAAGTGCCCACAAGAGAGTTGTACGCAAAGCTGGGTTGGGTACAACCCTGTATTTATCATGCATAGAGTGCGAATAATGTGTACGTGTTCATCACGTGATGTGAAGTTCTGCCGGCGCAGACCCCATAGCTGGAGTTGCACATTCTTGGGGGTTATGTACTCTTGATGTAAGTCATATAAATATGTTGTTGGTTGACAGCATGGAACAAGGTGGAGGACACCGTGTTTGGAAACAGTGACCGTTCACATGGTGTCCTCCACCTTGTTTCATGCTGTCAACCAACACCAATGTGCTAGAGAATTACTGCAGGACGGCTAATTTTAGCTGTTAAAAATGTTAGCTTTTTCTGAATCTGGACGAATTCACGATAAATTATTTTAGCGATCCGAGTTTTTTTCAGAGTTAAAAAAAAGATGATGGCTAGGTGCTGTGCTGTACATTCAAAATGTCTGTCTTCATATGACAAACGTTCACCCACGCCGATGAAAGCACCAAACAAGAAGTTGAAAAGACTCGAATGTGCAGCAATGCCGGAGCATCGGGCTGACAACACTGTGTGGCTGTGAGCCATCTATTCAAAGCGTATTATCGCTTCTTGAAGAACGTTGTAGTTTGTTAAAACGCCTTTCAGGGATGAAGCACGCACTGTCCAACGGGTTGGGCAATGACTTCTGAATCCTTCTTGGGCAGGAGCAATGTCGTCCTTGAGGCGGTGAAACTCTGCCGTTCTATTGGCAGAGAACTTCAGGAGATTGGAGAGCTCAAGTGCCGTGTCCAGAGAATTCTTCAGTGGCTTAACGCGGCGAATCGTGTCTTGACAGGCAAGATTGAGTGAATGCCGTGACAGTGTGTTTAGGGCATTTGGCTGCTTGCATAATATCTGGGTCACAACTCCGTTACACACCCCTTCAAGGGGCCTCTTGTTGTCATTCACTTCCTTTTCCACGGCTTCGCAATGGTACTTCGAAACTTCTTGGAAACGAAACAACCTGGTAGCGTCTTTCTGGTTTTGAAAGCCAGTACTGACAAACGATGCCTCAGCGTTCTTAGAGGGAAACGTGAGCTTTCAAGTCCGCTGGGCTATCATGCAGTAGAAGCAAAAGTCACTCTTTATGATTGTCCCAGTCCAGGCATTTCCATTCTTTGAGCCACTTTGCATGGAAGCTGTACTCCCTGACCATACGCCACGCACCGGATCGTGCTCGTTGACTTGGGTCTGGAGGTCGCGGCAGAGCTGCAGCAGACGAGGTGGCATGGCGACATCCCAGCCGACGGATTCGCCGATCATCCGCTTCAGCCAATTCGTCGTCGGTCGCAGCCACGCACAGACGGGGTGATGGCTGACGAGCTTGCCACACCAGCTGAACACGGCGCGCTTGGTGGGCGCCTCCGGTAGCTGCAGGCAGACGTCACGGCGACGTTGCCAGTTGATCGTGCCGTCTTGAGTCGAGAGCTGGAGGCCCAGCACCCGAGCAGTAGGGAGCTTCTCGGCAGGCTTGCACTTCAGGCCGTAGCGCTCGAGCTGCTGGATCGTGGCCGCCACTTGGGAGTCCGGCACACGCAAGTCGTCGACATAGTTGTCCACGCCGTCGAGGTCTTTGGTCACCCACTTCACGACCATGTCGAGGATCTTCGGCGCGACGTTGAGGCCGAACCCCATGCGCGTCATGGCAAACAACTCTCCTTGCCACACGATCGCTTGATAGCGGTACAGACGGGGAGCCATCCGGATCTGGAGGTACGCCTTGCTCAGATCAAGGAGGGCGCTATCACCGTCCTCGAGTCGCCACTCGCGCAGCTTCTGGCCGCAAGCCGGCGCATCCAGGCCTGGGTGCGACACGAGACACTCATTCAGAGCGCGGTAGTCCAAGCACGGCCGCACGGGAGTTGACGCCTTGTGAGCCTGGTCGACAGCCATCAGTGGAAGAACACAGGCCGGTTCACCGAACGCTTCACGGTCGTACGGGACCAGCCAGCCGTGCTCGCGCCACATCTGGACCTCCTTGACGAACTGCTGCTCTTACTCTGGGTTGAGTTTCTTGCGCGGATATTCTCCAACACCAGAACCAAGAACCAAGAGGACGAGACGGCTCCGTGTCGGCTTTCCATCGCCAGGTGGCTTCCCAGAAGCCTAGGTCGTCACGCCAGGTTGCCTCAATGTCGTCCATCCGCAGCGTGACCTGACCATCGCCGTCGCTGACCGAGATATGCCGTGACAGCTTCTCCGTGGCAGCCGCCACGCCGGCCGAGGCGACGTCACGTGCGGGGCCGAACACAACGGACGATAACTGGCCTCCCGGCTGATCATGGGAGATGCTGACACCACCAACTTGGGACACGATGTCCGATCCGATCACGATATCGGTGTTGAGGGCGTCGAGGTTCGGCACGACGAGCAACGAAACCTTGATCGTCGGCAGGTAGACCGAGCCATCCTCGCGCTTCAGCGTCATGTCCACGCTGCCGGTGACGTCCAAGGGTGTGCCGTCCACCGTGATCAGCCGGTCGCTGGTCTCCTTCAGGCTGGACTGCATACCCAGCTGCTGGACAACTGGCCACTCGATCAAGGACCAAGTGCAACCCGTGTCGACAACCGACGCTTGGCGGCTCCAATGCGCATTTTCGACCTGCACCTCCACTGCAACTCGAATCAGCTGCGACGAAGGCCGGGGCATAGCCAGGCAGAAATCCGTCCGCGGGTGCGACGCTGCTGGGGCTGCTGCTGTGGCGGCCACACGTCCAGAATCTGACCTCTGAGGACAGTCTTTCCTCAGGTGGCCCACCTGATGACAGCGATAGCACGTGGGTCCACTCCTCTTGGCTGGAGCATCCGTGGTCGTCCTTGGCCAAGTCGACTGTGGGGCCCCACCACCGCCACCTCGCTGTCCACCGCCACCGTGCTGTCCACCGCCACCGCGCTGTCCACCGCCACGACGCTGCTGATTCGGGCAGCTACGGCGCATGTGACCCACTTGGCCACAGCCATAGCACATCAGCGACTGACTCTGTGGCGGGGGACCAGATCGGGCTGCAGCCACCGCCTGAGCGACCCCTGCCGCTGACTGCATCGTCCTCACCTGTCCAGTCAGCTCCGGGACGGTAAGGCTCTTCATGGCTTGGCCAGCCGGACGGTTTTCCCATACTCTTGAGGTAGACCGCTGATCAACTGCTCCACGAGCAACGGGTCTTTCCCATCCGCAGCAACCTTGTGGCCTGACAATGTCAGCAGGCGCGTCAGGTCTGCCACGTAGGCGTCGTCAGGCTCATCCAGGGCCAGCTGCCGCCCTACGAATAGATGGTAGGACTCCGCCGGGCTGGGCGCGAACGCCGCCTCCAAAGCAGCCTTCACCGCCGCGGTCTTCTTCCGATCGTCTGCGGACAACTGGTCAAACACCAGGAACGCAGAACCATCCAGCAACAATGGCAGATGCGCCATCTGTTTTTCCTCCGAGTCCCATTTGTGCAGTTCTCCAAGGACCAGGAACTTAGACCAAAACGCAGCAAGGTTATCACCTTTTCCACGAAACGGCCGAACAAGACTATCAAACTTCAACGTCGACATCGTATTGCACACTGCTACTCCACCAAACCGGGTTTCGGCACCAAGCTGGTAGATAATCACGACCGCCCCAACTCACTCCCGGACACGCACTCGCAACAACGTCCACAACGAGTTCTTTGGCGAACAGTGTTCATATAATTATTGGAGAAGAAGCAGAGAATGTGGGAGAGCGAAAAACACAAGTTTGTTCCACGGTCAACTCTAAAAAAAACTAACTGGAACTGACGTAGTTCTTCGTTGTACGCACTGTACGCATGAGAGCACGCCAGTTGCATGCCAGCGCGCAAGCGAGCAATAGATGAACATGAAACGGACACCAGAAGTAAAAGGATCTGGCGGTGACACAAAGTCAAAGGGAATGTATTACATGTCGGGAGACCATCAATGAGCCATGGTAGCCGGCGGGTGCAACAAGGAATGTAAGACAGAAGTTAGAGCAACGAATACCATGCATGCTCTCACACGGTCGTCTTTTGGAACGACTTCCTCGGAAGGGAAAATCCCCGTGACTGATGAGCACTCAACTCGGACGCCGTTCTAAACTACCATCCCGGTGACAATGGCACAAACTCCGAAATGAAGAAACCTCGTTCACGCAACTACCAAACTACGAACTGCAAGCGCTTGGAAGGAAAGGGATGGAGGGAGGGAAGATGGAGAGAGAAGTCTGTCTACAGTCGAGTCAGTGACACGACATGTACAGTCGGTGTGTCCAGTGTTCAGCTCTACGCTGTATACTGCACACACAGATCGATAATCTGTACACCATGCATGATGGTGCATTGGCGCACAATGCCAAAAGTGGCATTGTCCAAAGAAGAAGAAAGAGAAAAGATCTTACACCGGTTTTGGACATTTCAGGAGGGGGGGGGGGGGACGAAAAGTGGTCTGGCCAATAACGTAGTGACCGTAGCATATCCGACACACCATGTAGGTATTGCAAGGGTTGGAGGGTTATCACTTCTGCATCCGTCCGATCCATTGGCCTATTCATTTCTGGTGTTGTGTTGTAACGTTAACTTGTGTGGCTCTGTTCTTTCGGTCTTTCTCCAATGCACTGTTTCTGTCTTTCTGTGTTTGTAGCTCCAACGCACTGTTTCGTTCCTTCTACATCCCGTTCTATTCTGAAATGGAAACTGAGTTTCTTTCCTATAACGTCCTGCAACGAGTTGAGCGTCGCAAGCGGACCAAGAAGTAGCCATCATTCTAGTCTTGGTCTGGTTCGGTACGTTTTACCATGCACTGTTCCTCTCTGCGCTTACTTCTCCTGTTTTCCTGTTTGATTCGGTTTGAGGTAACGGACCTACTAGTGACTGTAACTCACCAGCATGACAGTGCAATGTGAATAGTAGATGCTCTGCAGAGTGGGTATGGCTGCTGCCATCTCTCGGCTCTTGAAACAAGATAGACATTCTACTGTGACTATCATGCAGGTATAATTATACGCATGCGTGCGAGACAGCTAGCCACCGGGAGATTGTGTGCCGGTATGTATACGACTCTGGCCATGCAAAGAAAGCAAAGCGAGACTTTCTTGCAACTCAAGTTTGACTTTGGCCATGTTCGATTATAACAGCCACTTCTACTGGAAGTAGCAGTATTCGTTCTCCGGTTTCCCTCTAGACCGACACACTATTTATGACATTTCTTAGCTCATACAATCACATGGTTTTTTTTTAGCATTCTAGCACGGTCTAGTCGTGCTGCATGCATCATGTCTTAACGTTAGCTTCCTGCACTTCTTTACTGCCTTGGATGCTGCTTTCTGATTTGAATTGAGCCATTTCCTATTTTTTAAATTACATGCTTGACTCATGGTACCAGTACCTGAACTGGCAGTGCAATTATCAGGCTTCTGCTTAACCATCTCCAGTGGTTTTGTGCAGTGTTTATATCTCCTTTGGTTTTGTGGAGTGCGGGTGGCATGGTTTGTACTGCGGCACCTTCTCTTACTGGTACAAATTACCAGCATCACTCCATCATATCAAAAGTGGTTCACACTTCTTGTGCCCTGTGTGAAAATATTGATAGACCCGGTTTCAGTAGCCATTAGTGTATGATCAACGTATCGATTTCTTCGACATGGAAATCCAGTAGGTCAAGCGGCCCCAGGACGCTGGCCATGCAGCCGTGAGTGCGCATACGATCAACATGACTGTGCACTGCACGCAACGTTCTGTACGCACTGAGGGCGCCGGCCCCGGTCATTCGACCGGATTTCCATGTCCAAGATAGTGGTATCCAAAGATGCACAATATAACCGGCACCATGCATTTCAATAATATCTGATGTAGATCACTTGAAGCGCATCATGCATAGTTTTCAGTTTTCACCCCGGTTTCAAAACCGATCCATATAATCACGGTAAAGCAGTACAGCCCGCAACAATGCATTGGCGTGCATAGTGCAGTGCACGTAGACATACTCATTTTTAAAATACTGGTACATGGACAGAGCTAGAGTAATACAAGAGACAGATAGATGTAGCCATTATCATGATCATCAGATTATAATAATAGTAAGTAGGGGCTTGGACAAAACTGGTCGGGTCAGATCATGCATGCATCATGCAGAATGTTGCGGACATAGCAACCAACCATGCCCTGTATCGTTGCGTTGGAAACAGTTAGGGCGACGTGACACCGCGTGAAACATGAAAAATCGAACACGAGATTCGAAACTAGCGCATACTTCTGCGTGTCTTACACTGACGTTAGATTTGAAGTAAGTAAGTAGTGTGTTAGCTCTGTCATTGTATTTTTAGAAAACATATTCCGACCACCATTCAAACAAACTGTATACGAAACGTTTACTGCAGTTGTTTGTGGTCAATACAATGGCTAGCGTCAACTATGCTCCAGGTCGAGGCTTGAGCGTGAGACCTGCCACTACAATGAGTTCGCTAGAAGCAGCCCGAGGAAGTCGGGGAAATCCGCGCAAGATCGGAGGCACTGCGGCGTTAGCAGCAGCAACCCGCTTCTCTGGCGAAGACCAGGCCCCGCCAACCAATACGACGGTGAGCTCTGACTATGCCAGCTATGGGAAACCCTGGTTGAAGGCTGCTGCTGTACCATCGCATGGACCCTACTCCAATCCCCTAGTTCCGGGTACAAATTCCATCGCACAGTATCCCAAATATACGCAGGGAAGGGAGCCGAAAGAGGCCACGTCCAGCTCCAACTTCTTCCGCTCTCCCGCAGACTCTCGGACAAGTGCTGCTGCTGCTGTAGCTACCTCCACGTGCAGTCTACCTGCGACCAGCGGCGGCTATGATCCAGAAGTGTATGTCCGTGGCATTGGCCAGGCGCCCGGTGTAGCGCGCCCCGGTCCAGTGGTTCGAGCACAGCAACCGTCTCAAGTGCACACTGCTAGTAATACCGGCAAAGCACGAGGTGCACCGCGTAACCGCACCGACAGCACAGTAACTCAGGATCAAGGCAATCACCGCAACGACGGCGGCAGCGGTAGCACTCTTACCTCCGATCATGTCCGGGATGCCGTCTTCAACAAGTGGCTGGAGAGCAAAGGCGCAGCAAAGACAAAGGCGCTGGCAGGTCATGGTACGGGCACATCAAAACACAGTCACGCTGGCAAAGGGTTGTCGAAAGGCAAGAAATCGACCGGGAAAGTCGCTCAGCGTGTTTTAACCCCCGAACAGCTATTCCAGGACTCCAACCATGTACGCCAGGCAGCTTACGAGGAATGGATGGCCAAGAAGCTCGGAGAGAGCAGAGAAAAGAAGCATGCAGAGAACGAGGCAAAGAGTCAGCTGTCTGCATCCGCTGAGCTAGAAAAGAAGCAGAAAGAGGTAGACGCACAACAGGCATTTGAGGCCTGGAAGGCCCAGAAACAGGAGAGGCAAGCGCAGAAGAATGAGAAAGCAAAGAAAGCAGAGCGTGAGGAGAAGGAGCAGAAAGAAAGAGACGCCCGGGAAAAGCAGGACAATGCCGAGAGTGCATTCCGGGCGTGGAAAGCACCTAAAGACGATAAGCTGAAGGACAGTGTGCTGCAAAAGCGCCAGAAGGAGAAGGAACTGGCTGAAAGGACGCGAGAGGAGCAAGATGACAAGCTGAAATCTTCTCAGAGTGCGTTTGATGGATGGTAAGCCCAGTTTAGGCATGAACTGAATGTGTATTTCTGAATAAGTACAGCATTGACAAGCTGTTAGTGTGTCTATCGAGCGACTATATGGGGCCATGAGTGAAGTGTCTACTGGATGTGTCGTATACATCATGGTGTACTAAAAAAACCATTTTCACTTTTCAGCACTCCCTGATATACATGCCTAGTTCAGTGATAAAGCATGTAGGGATGAAACAATCATGCCTGTCAATCATGCCTGTCACTCGTCGCTTACTGGGTGTAACGCTACTCGATACTCGCCTGCAGTTGCAAAATGTTACTTCAAGAACGCCTCTGCGCTAGTTTCGAATCTCGTGTTCGATTTTTCATGAGCATCATATTCAAGTACCGTAAAGTACCGTTGATCCGCCCCCCACGCCATGTCGCTTCCCAGCTGGGTTTTCGGCAGGGGGCGGGAATTAGATCAAGGCTGTCAAGTGCAGTACGATGTACAACAACGTAGAGGATCAGACTCGATGTGCTGGATTGTGCACATTTTCATCCTGGATTGGCACGTATTGTGTACAGCAGTGCATGCGTCGGTTCAACATCGTATTTCGTTGTATATGCCGAAGTCACTTCACAGGTAGAAAATCGACAGGGGGCGGGAATTAGAGAGGGGGCGGATCAACGGTACTTTACGGTATGTCATGTACATGCAGTAAGTGGGAAGGCTTTTCGCCAGTTTTCGGTCACCACTATGCTGTAAGAATACTGCTGTATAACACCTTTATTTCGGTGTAATTTAAATTTCGGTAACTTCGGTACTGGTCCTGGATCACCTAATTTAACATTACACCTAAATTTTCCGAAATACCAAAAAATATGTAAAAATCATGAAAATCACTGCCAAATTAACAAAATTAACTTGTATACTGGTATACCGGTAGTACATTGTACATGTACATACATAACATGTACCGGTATACATATGTGGAGCCTTTTGGCCTTGGCGGAGATATTATTAGTGCAAGAGCGTTTTTTGTTTTTTTGTTTTTTGTTTTTTGGTGCCATGCATACCGAATTTATCCTTACACCGAAAGGTCAGGGGTTGGCTTTTACCGAAATTTTACAACACCGAAAATAAGGTGATATACAGTAGGCAGGCCAAGCTACTCACAACTCTAATAATTATTATGATATCTACGGCAGAGACCTGTGATTCCAAGTGGTCTGGCACCTGTGACATTACTACTAACTGCACGAGTATTCATTAGGCAATTGTCAGTGATCGTTTCACCCCAAATGAAACTGAATATGCACTTCTCTCCCTGGGCTTGACCGCTTGTGCAGGAAATCAAAAAAAGACGCAAGACAGCAAGAGGAGACCAAGCGACAACGACAACTGGAGGCTGAGACTAGGCGACACTACGATCACATGACCAGGCTGAAGGAGGAGGAAACGGCGCGGGCACTCAGGGTTTGGGCCGAACGCAAGGATGCACCGGCATCGCGACACCAGCCTCGCACCCCATCACCAGTCATAGAAGCACGCATGATATGGAGTCCTCCGGGCATTGGTGATGGCGGTGTGTTGCGGCGCAGCATGAGTCCATCCTGAGCCAACCGAATGCAATTGCACGACGTGCGTGCTGGAACACGATGCCGGAACTTCTCAACGGCTCTGTGCTGTTCTGAAGCAAGATTATGGGGTTCTGCACGACAATACAGTCAAGTTATGACTTGATACACCTGGAGCAAAGGCAGTGGGTCTTGACCAATCAGTCTACTTGTAATAACAGTACTTCTACAGACTACAGTACATGTACTTGACCAGTATGAACGCCTTGCTTGATTGGTAACATGTTTAGTTATTATATAGAAGATTGCAGCAGGTAACAAGGCGTACAAATCAAGGAGTTTCATACCTCCCCCCCCCCCCCCCCCTGGAATACAGCGGGTCCGAACCGGGGCTTTACCCCATACAGTTCACATGGTCGCAAGACCTGGACTCTACCAACAGGTTTAGTGGTCGTGTAGTCAGGAACACTGTAAGTCTGTTCTCAACACAGTGCATCCTCCACCTTGTTACCTGCTGTTATCCTCTGAACATGTACATGGACAGTTACTGCATACTGCATAGTAACTCTGTGTCGGACAGGGTACCTAGCTGGCCTAGTTATGTACTCTTGGTAGCGGTACTGAGCAGAAAAGAGAGATGCCCGAGATGTGAGAAAAATAGGCCCACATCTAGAAGTCAGTTTGTGATAGCGGGGCTTTCGTGCATGACACGTACTCCCTGATCTGTTGTCATCCAGGTATTTCAGAGAAACACTCTCGTACACTCGTGGTGAAGTAAAATAAAGAAACAACAACACTATGAGTTGGGTTTATGAAACTCACACAATCTACAACAGACACCATTCATCTTGCACAAACAAACCCAAAAGAAATCGTGTCAGGCACAAATCAAGACAAGACAGTAGACACTGAGTGCAATGATGAACCCAACTCAACATCAACAAGAAAAGAATGAAAGAGCAACACAAGATGACACACACACACACACACACACACTCACACAATACTGGAGAAATCGTTCTAACACTACAAGGGTCTCTCCCCTGAAAAGGCCGATATCTCTGCGCATAGCAGCTAAATACGCGGTGTAATCTATAAGTTAGTTGAGAATATTCTGTTCAGGCTACAGCACAGCGGAGGAGGTTTCTATCTCTTTGTGCATGGCCAAATACACGGAGTAATCTACAATGTATAAGGGTTGTAGTTGAGAATATTCTGTTCAGGCGATAGCACAGCGAAGGAGCAGCGAATGAAAATACCGCATACATTTAGGGGGGGGGGGGACTATTAAACCGTCTCTCAATGAGCTGTAATACGAATCTACGATACGTTAAGCATACCAAGGGCTTTTATTTCTTAGGAGCTGTTTGCTTCATGGCGCTATGCAAGCCAGCTTGCAAGACAGCAGCAGCACTCCTACTACAGTGTCTGGATAAAGAAGAGCAACAGCGTGTGCAGATAAGATCACAAATCTGATGGATACCTAAAAACAATTAGTTACTACAAAAAAATCTAAAGACAATCGCCGAAATGATACAAGATACTGCAGATATTCTGCATCCACCACACGTACCCACAGCAGCTACAAGACCAGTTACGCTACCTCCACGACACACAAAACACACACACACGCGCGCGGCACAGAAAGTGTAACGTAAGCCAGTATTAATCAGATCAGTCTGATCTCAGTCTGTCTGGTTAGTTCAGTTCAGACCGGAGCACGCTCTGTCCGGCTGGCCAATAAGGAGTTCAGATAGGAACATGTACTTCAAAGGCCTTCACTCCAAACTTGACCTGGTGCAGTGCTTCCAGCTTAGGCCTCAGGCGCTGTATGGAAGAGATAGCGGGACACAATGTCAGCCACCACACATTACAGTCATGTACACTTAGAGCAGTAAGCTATACTAGTAGTACTAACCGTTAGTAAGCTAGCAAGTGCCTGTTAGTCCAGAACTACAGTTTGCCATCACAATGAACCTACAGGATGCATCCAAACACATTTTGGAAGGTCCTTGTTCTAGAACACAAGTACAGCCAGACCTCGCTTATCCCGTCCTCTTTTATGAGTTTTATCCCGATCCCTCGCCATCCGGAAGAAAATCGTTGGCTACCGATTTACAGCATATGACATGCATACAGTATGTGTGTTCGATTACCCGGTTCCCTCGATTATCCGGATATTTTTTTTGTGGAAAACGGATGCGTGCGGCTAAGAGAGGTCTGACTGTAAACAGGGGCACAGATACATGCACACATGCACTCACAGGCACACACATGCATACACACACAGGCACACACACTGTACGGACGGCCGCCACTCACCTGCATTCGATCGATGTAGCTGTCGCAGTCATAGCACCACACAGACAAGTCGGCAAAGCTGACCACCAGTGGGTGATCCGGATTAGTCCGATTATGCTCTAGCATGTGAGCCTTGACTTCACGACCACATGCAATCTACATGTACACAAAGGACACACCACAGCACAAATACACTACTGCTCGATGAAATACACTACTGCTCGATGAAATGCAAGCAAGCGAGTGAATGGCACGCCCGGTGCTGTGCAGCCCTAGGCCTGCAAACACTGGGATGTGAACTGGTGCAAGGCGCAAAGATTCACGTGATCAGATTTCATTGAGCATTATCGCCTTCTTAGTATTTGACCCCACTAATTTCCCTGATACCTAAGCGGTCAAATATATCGCGTATTTGACTGCTTAGTCAAATACACGATATATTTGACTACTTATATTTGACTCCTTAGAACTTCTTGGACTTAGGCTGTGTTTACATGAAGCGTTTCAACCCGGGTTGAGTTCGACCCGGGTCAGATTTCAACCCGCCATGTGCACAAAATGAATGGCGCGTTTACATGACGCATTGCGCTTGACCCGGGTTGAAATTTCGCCCCGGGTTGATTTCAACCCTCCCCCCAAGGGGAGGGTTGAAATCAACCCGGGTCAAGAAAATCGTACAAACGTACTTCCGTGCGTATCTCGCGCCAGGTTTGAACGGCACTGCACATGCAAATTTCGCGCGAACAGATTCACGTGACTATACGGAACTGTAGATTCGTGTAGAAGTGGACTTTTGGCGGCATATCAGTATTTGACCCGGGTCAACTGTCTTCATGTAAACGCTCACCTCTTTTGTCTATCGTACAGACTTTCAACCCGGGCTGAACTCGACCCGGGTTGAAATTTCTCATGTAAACACAGCCTTAGAAATTTTCTCTCCAACTTCTCTCCAACTTAGAAAAAGAAATTTTTGAAGAAAGCAGAAATACACAAGATGGGATTTGAACCCACAACCTTGTGAATCTCAGTCACTCTTCCTTACCACCCAGCCACTGTGCTACCGAGCTGAACCTAGTTTAAACAATGATCTTGACTTTCAATGCAGTACAATGCGGTATAGGCTATAGTATAATACTAGAATTACAAGGATATGTCGTATATGAAGAGAAACTATTGCGTGGAGAACACGATAAATAGATTATAGGCCTCATAGTTGGTTTATACAGGATATATAGACCTCGTAAAAGACCTCGGGGGACCTCGGTCTTTTACTCGGTCTATATATCCTGTATAGACCTCCTAACCGGTCTATAATCTATACGTATTGCAGTAAACCAGTGGAGCAGCATAGCCATAGCAGCATAGCCATAGCAGCAGCACAGTGGTGACCATACATAGCCAGTGCACAACGTGACACCGGCCAAGATCTGTATCAGGTGTTGCACCAGGACACCGACCAGTAGCCACTGCCAAGTATGATCAAGAGTATTATATAACCCCCCAAGAGTGTTCAACTCTGCATATGGGGTCTCCAACAGCGAAAACTCACATCACGTGTCTCAGATATGTTTGTACTACATACAAACGAAAGATAGCGTGCGCGCAATCCGAATATCTGCCATGATCATGCTGGGGATTTGTATACCCGCAGTGAGTTTCTGTCAGAGTGCTTTTTTTATTACTCCGCTGCTTGCTAAAACGGGCTGGAAATGTACAACTGCGACACTGCACCACGTGATGTGAGTTTTCGCCGGTGGCGTTCCCCATAGAAAGGGTATCAGGAGTTGCACACTCTTGGGGGGTTATATATTCTTGGTAACGATACACAACACGCATGCAACGGCCATGCAAGACCTGCCGCATGCTTTATCCAGGAAACACCTAGATCTTCAGCACTAGTCACATTCATTTGCATTCGTTTGATCAGAACACAACAGTGTTGACTTCGAAATACACGACACGCAGTGCTTACCGCATGGCAGCCAAGACACATCCAGTTCTCAAATGTCTCGTCGCACTTCTCACATGGGTGTCTGAGGTCGATGGGATCAGGAAAGTCTTCACGCAGAGACTCGACATGCGGACAGTCAGGTTTGGGGTACACGTGGAAGCCCTGCACAAGAACAGGGCAACAACAGCACAGCCAGGTAAATTGGCCGTTCCAACATACAACACTACACACCAACAGACCGGATAGGCAGTCCTTGCCATCATCGGTAGAGTCTCCAGTGTTATCGCCGTTGCCACGAGCTGAACAAGTGTCAGTTAGAAGCCGCAGCAGCAGCAGCCACACAAGATCAAGACTCGAGACAGCATAGGACAGGCCACAATGCCACGTAGGCCACAATGGCCCGTAGGCCACCTATCTCTTACATACTGTAGTACACCCATGCAAGCAGTCACATTGCCCAACTATACACACAATGTCCAATAGAACACCACTACCACCAGACGCTGGCAGTGTTGCAACATCCATGGTGTTAGAATAGGTACATGCCGATGTGTACATGTACTAGTAACATGCCGATGTGTACATGTACTAGTAACATGCCGATGTGTACATGTACTAGTAACATGCCGATGTGTACATGTACTAGTAACATGCCGATGTGTACATGTACTAGTAACATGCCGATGTGTACATGTACTAGTAACATGCCGATGTGTACATGTACTAGTAACATGCCGATGTGTACATGTACTAGTAACATGCCGATGTGTACATGTACTAGTAACATGCCGATGTGTACATGTACTAGTAACATGCCGATGTGTACATGTACTAGTAACATGCCGATGTGTACATGTACTAGTAACATGCCGATGTGTACATGTACTAGTAACATGCCGATGTGTACATGTACTAGTAACATGCCGATGTGTACATGTACTAGTAACATGCCGATGTGTACATGTACTAGTAACATGCCGATGTGTACATGTACTAGTAACATGCCGATGTGTACATGTACTAGTAACATGCCGATGTGTACATGTACTAGTAACATGCCGATGTGTACATGTACTAGTAACATGCCGATGTGTACATGTACTAGTAACATGCCGATGTGTACATGTACTAGTAACATGCCGATGTGTACATGTACTAGTAACATGCCGATGTGTACATGTACTAGTAACATGCCGATGTGTACATGTACTAGTAACATGCCGATGTGTACATGTACTAGTAACATGCCGATGTGTACATGTACTAGTAACATGCCGATGTGTACATGTACTAGTAACATGCCGATGTGTACATGTACTAGTAACATGCCGATGTGTACATGTACTAGTAACATGCCGATGTGTACATGTACTAGTAACATGCCGATGTGTACATGTACTAGTAACATGCCGATGTGTACATGTACTAGTAACATGCCGATGTGTACATGTACTAGTAACATGCCGATGTGTACATGTACTAGTAACATGCCGATGTGTACATGTACTAGTAACATGCCGATGTGTACATGTACTAGTAACATGCCGATGTGTACAATCTACTAGTAACATGCCGATGTGTACATGTACTAGTAACATGCCGATGTGTACATGTACTAGTAACATGCCGATGTGTACATGTACTAGTAACATGCCGATGTGTACATGTACTAGCAAGTTAGTTACTAGTAACTGTTATAATGTAGAACTCACCTTCTGGCCACCGGACTCCTCCAGCTGTAGCTCAGCAAGAAGAGCCATAGTCAACTCCAGTGGGCTCTTCTTAGCACGAGCAGCAGCACCCTCAGAGTCGGCGCACGCAGCGGCAGATGCAGAAGTGGCGGCGGTTGCAGCATCAACCATAGCCTTGCTGGCTAGCAGAACGGAGACCCCGGCCTCCGCCCCGCCGCCAGCTGCGCATGACGCTTGCGCTTTTTCTTGCGCTTCTTCGTCGGTCGCACCTTCAGCTTCGCCTTCACTTTCAGGGGTTCTTCGTAGCTCAGGCGTCTCATCGCTGAAAGTGGACATGAAAAACCAAGACAAAACAATGTTGCAGGTAGAATCTGGCAGTTGACGTACATCAATTATATTCAAAGTTGAAACTCAGACTGCATTTTAGGCCCTGCTACCAATGGTTGACAAAACAAACACAAACACCCACACACACACACACACCATGTACACACACACACATACATACATGTACCATGTATACGCCCGTCACAAGAGAAGCACGCAAATCTGCAAATGCACTGGATGTGCACCCACAGATTTTCTCTTTATAGCAACGATAGCGGATCTGATTCTGATTGAAACAGATCAAGACAAGCGCCAGGTAACTGTCTAATCCACACAACTGGCGAAGCCATGTGAATCGACCCTCCAATGCACACCTGGTCTACACCACACGGAGTACATCGGAATAGGACGGCCAAGACAGCCACCTATGCACCCTACACTTGCTGGGGTAACCAGTATAGACAGCACGCTGCTTTGACAAAAGCAGACACTAGATGCACTGGTACCTTGAAGTGAAATCGGAGTTATTCTACTCCGATACATACCTTTGACCTTTGACGCCCATCGCCGGAGGCGATGATAGCAATGCTACGGCAGAAGCCATAGCAACTTGTGCTGGGATTGCACCATTCAGCAGCTTGCAAGGCTGAAGAATTGACCGTCACTATTCAGCCTGGTCTACACCATACAGCTATTTGAAGTGATTTTTCTGGCCAGTGAATCCCTATTTTAGGTCTTTTCATTTTTTTGCCGCACACACATCACACCACATACTCCGGCATGCACTGGCTGTTGGTAACCACCCAGGAGGATGAAAGAAAAGTCAGGAAGAGTCTGAGAAAGAGAAGAAAGACGTGTGTGACCATAATCGTCGGGAATCGAACCCGCAACCTATACATACATACACACACACACACACACACACACACACACACACACACACACACACACACACACGTCACGCACACACACCACTCACACACGCCACTCACCCACCCACAGCCACCCACACAACAAAAGATGGGAAAACAGCACCTTGTTCACCACCACATAGATTTTTTTTATTGTGCCTGGCTCTGTGCTCGGGGTTCTTTCTTTCCTTCATTTCTTCTTCATTTTTTGAATTTTTTCACTTTCCGGCAACTTACTTGATGTATCATTTTCGCTTCTTCTTTTTTTTCAAAGGATTTCTTTTCATTTTTTATTCGGCAATACTAGTCTATTGCAGAGCAGTCCCGCCGCAATAGGCCCTGGATCCCGTTCGGCAGTGATACATGATACAGACATGCACAGTTAGAATAGAGCCTGTAGGTACCCGTTGATAGGCGATGCGGCTGGAGAATCACCCACTGGATCATCTGCAAAGTCATGTAAGCAAACACACACACATATGCACAGTTGAAAAGAAGCCGCTTGCAATAATGACCAGGTGAGTATCTATGCATGCTTAGTGGCATGGAACACACACACTCACATATCAATATTATCATTGGGCATGACTGCGGACAGGACATAACTAAGCCAATGTGGGGCAATTCCTTCACACACACACACATGCGTGCACGCACGCACACACACACACGCGTGAGCAGACATACACACCACGCACAGACACGTACACATGCCTAGTGGATTCATCACAGCACTATACTACACTAAACACAATGTCATTGCAAGAAATAGAAATAAAGCCGAAGATATTGCCTCCAAAGCCAAGCCTAACAGAACACCTCCAATTCGAACAGAGACTTGCTATCAAACCTTCACGAGTCTGAAACTAAAGCTGCAGGCCATAACAACACAGCTTGAGTCACCGTTTTACTTTATGTTAACTCAATGATGTTATTATACTGATTAGCCAATTAGAACCGATTTGCCACAATTGCTTTTGGGTAGCATGGTTCGATAAGAAAGTTTGCCAGCAGGCGGAGGTTTTCGGTAGCATGGTTCACATAGAAAGTTGGCCAGTGGGCGAAAAGAGGCAGAGACAGCAAACACACACACACACACAGCATTCAACATCATTATCATCAGCAGTGTAAATTTAGTAGAAAGAAGCTAAGGCTACGACTAGAGAGTTCGCAATGCATGCATTCATGACCAAAGCACTCACGAGTAACAATGTCAACCACAAAGAAGGCACAGCAGACACAAAAGCGGAGTCAGACTCAGCTTCTTTCGTACCTGTTGCCGGTAAGGCCGACCAGTATGCCCGCTGGTGGGCTTTCGTAGCATTGACCGACTCAATGGTACTATAGATACATAAGCACAAGCACACACACACACACACACGCACACACAAGCACCCATAAGCACCCATAAGCACACACACACACACACACACACACACACAAGCACACGCACACACACACGTCACAAGCACACACACACACACACACGTCACAAATACACACACAAACACACACACACAAGCACCTACAAAAGCACCCACAAAAGCACCCACAAAAGCACACACACACACACACACACACACACACACACACACACACACACACACACACACACACACACACACAATGCGAAATTTAAGAATGCCACAAAAGCAGATTTCGGACTGATGCTGCACATATCCGTCAAAATGTCACACCCTGATTTCCTGATGCCATCGTGTTAATGAGCATGTTACGTGCCTCTAAATAGTCTCCATGTTGCAATTTGATCATCAGTAAAACAAAGCTTGCTGACGAGCGCCGTGCGACGCCTAGTTCGAAGCAGTTTTACTTCTCTTGTGCATCATTCCTACTGAGGTTCTTCACATTTATTTCCATCATCGTTCATTATTTGCCCATCACCGGTTTCAAATATCGTTTGTGACAAATTCAACTTGTAACTGTTGGTGGTATGTGGATTCAGCTCGTTCTGTTCATTGCAATTCTCAAAAGCATGATTACCAGTAACTTACCGTCTAGTGGGTTTACGTGAGTTCCGCACAAATGAAGGAGCCTTCTTGGTGAGCAGAGTGTCCACGCAAGCTGTCATACAGTTGGCAGTGGATGTACAGTTATAACCACCCTGCAAGTAGCGCGCGTGCACACACACACACACACAAACGGCACTATCGTGGTCAAATGAATTCCAGAGCAGTGCCCATGCCAGATCAGAATCAGGGGTGAGGATAGAAGCAATGGCACGACATACAGAAGGCATTACGATACACACACCTTTCTCTTACCCCACTTTCCAGTAGTACTGTGGCATTACGATACACACACCTTTCTCTTACCCCACTTTCCAGTAGTACTGTGGCATTACGATACACACACCTTTCTCTTACCCCACTTTCTAGTAGTACTGTGGCCAGTCAAAACGTACCTCAAGAACCAAGATGACTCCAGATTGTGAAAGGTTCATCATCTCTAAGGTCATGTAGCTGTAGATCCGCGGCTTCAACTTACAGACTCCCTGGGCAAGGGCACATTGCAACATACACAACAACAGACACTGGTAGTCAATTACAACACTCACGGATGCACTGAGCCTTGCTAAACTAACATGCAAGACCCCCCCCCCCCCCGGCCAGAATGATGACAGCAGCAGCAGCAGCAGCAGGAGGGACTTCACTAGATGATCAGCAAAGCAAGATACACAGTACCGGTATCACTTCTGCGATGCGACCAGCAACAAATGGTGCGATCGGCACTTTCTCCTTTATTTTCCTGCATCCTTGGTTATTGCATCTCCATCGCAGGCTGCATTGTGGGTTTCGGTTTGGGACTGTGTAAGCAGTGCAAGGTCTCTCTGTGATGAGCCGTGCATTGTGCATCGCATTTCGTAAGAGCCAAAAAATACAAAAACGGCATTATGATATCGCTCAATACACTGCAGAAGTGGTATTGTGCATCACATTTTTAGTTATGAATTTACTGTTCACCATGCAGGCAGGGTCAGTCATACACACCGACACCACTAGCACCTCGAAGTAAGCACTGTCAGCATGAGTAACAATATTAAACCAAGAGTGCGCAACTCAACGATCCACCAGCCCACAGCGGAATTGTTTTATGACATCAGTCTTTGGCGGCTGTTTAGCTCACTGATACCATCGCGCGTATCCAGAGATCGAAGTACAAAGAATTCGTACATCACAGCTACGGTAGTCGAACAGAACAACGGACGATAGATGTTCACAGATAATTTCTTCCGAATTGGTCGAGAACTCACAAATCTAGCGCTTTTTGATAAAATACTCGAAAAATCGGATACTCGATCGAATATTATGAAGTTGAACGAGTGATCGATTGGTCAAACTAGATACTCGTTTCACCCCTAACGATAGATCAATGTGTACTGAACCTGATGAACTCTCACCGTATCTACAAAACAACCACGGGAAAGCATACACACTTGATCATACTTCTGCCAAAGAACGACGCAACAAAAAATTCCACCGTGGGTGAACCCATCACAGCTCGAGGTAGGAGTTGCACACTCTTGGTTATGTACTCTTGCTATCAGGTAGAATCACTGAGCAGAAGCCAACCACTGCAGAGTCTAGTCACATGTGTCTGAACTCTGAAGGTAAAAGAACAAACCAATCTTGTATGAATGGCTTGCAAGATCGTTGTCACTCTTCACAAGTGGCCACGTACCCATTGTGTACTGATGTCCAGCACAGAATGAAAAAGAATTTTGAATTTTCAGCACAATTTTCACCCTCAACAGGCTGTCACTTTGGCCTCCTTCACTCCATTTTCACAATCTTGGGCTCGTTGGAAAGCTGTTGGTGAAAGCAATGTGAGGATAGCAGCAGGCTCCATCAAGCAGCCGCCACATATTAGGCGCGGACATACAGCGAAGTCATCTCTCAGCCGGATATGCAAGCAAATTCGTCCCATCAATGCTATATCACTCTCCTCCAACGCAGAACACTCAAATTTTAGAGACGATTCAAAATCCAGTCCACTATGTCACTAGCTTGCTTGTGCTCAGTCGCTCAAAAGGCAAGCAAAAAGAGGATTTACCCCAAAATGGAGATGAGTATCGATCGAAAATACGAATTTGCAGAGATGAGAATATGGCACGCGATATCTCTAGAGTCGGACATCCTAGCTCTTAAGCAATTGTTGCATTGGAAAGCTTGGAGTTTCCGCTACCACATTGTTCTACACTATATTCGCTAAAAAAATCCGGCCAATGCTGCACATGGTAGTCAACTACCATGTGCAGCATTGGCCAGATTTTTTGGCAAGTACAGTATTGTACTCACGTGTACTGCGCGTAGTAGTAATATATCTACTTATGTAGCACTACTGTAGAAGTACAAATTTTCATTTACGAAATCTTTCGTTAGATCACTCCACCAGCCGGTTCGTGACGTACTAAATTTCGTTTTTGGTCGAGGTCTGTCACCCCGAACGTTCAGAAATAAAACTTGTTTGGTACAAACTTCAGTTATTTCGTGTCCCCTGACGAACAGCGAAAATTAATTCCAAACGAAACTTTGTACTTACACAGTGTCAGTAGCATGATCACACCGTGCATGCTCTTGTTCACCCCCCCCCCCCCCCCACTTACTGATGCTGGCTGGATGCTTGTGTGCATGGCGATCAGGACGCACCACACGTAAAAAGCATAATACATGGAAGGCAACACAAGACCCACTCCGGTCTAATGGTATAGTGCCAAACAGTCTCACGCAGCGTCCACCCCGACTGCAAAGATGCATAAGCCACAATAAAAATTCCACTGTGTGACTCACAAGTGGGTCTCCGTCTGCTCCGTCAAAACCAGCCGATACGAAAACTAGCTCAGGGTTGAACTGCGGATGGTAAGCAGACATACACAAGAATGGTACAAAAGCAGAGTGTGTGACACAATTTCATGCACAATCAGAATCTGGAAACGAACTTCACTCATAGCAATGAAACACTGTCAATGACAAAGAAAATAACACATCAAGGCACGGTCGCACATCACAACATACCGACTTGGCGATTGGCAAAACTACGCTCTCAAACGCATATTTGTAGTCCGCGTCATGGAGACCACTCTGCAAGGGATACACACACATGTGCACACATACACACACGTGCACACATACACACACGTGCACACATACACACACGTGCACACATACACACACGTGCATACATACACACACATAATTACATTTAATAAGACACAGCCAAAGTCGGTACCAATGAAACCCAAATTCGAAGAAAGGAGCGATTTACCAGGAGTCCAGAATCCCCCAGAGTGCGCAACTTCACTGATCATATCTGGGACGGCGAAATCCGTGCTGCACGTCATGGTGCGACATCACGAGTAGGGGAAGTGTGTCCGTGGTGGACCGCGTCGACAGAATGACGCAAGTCCAACCCAAAAAATGACGTACATCACGGATTACGCCGTCCCACAACCCCATCCCAGTTGCGCACTCTGTGGGGGGTTATGAACTCTTGGTATTACCTATTAGTATTCCAATTGTCCAACTCCATACCCCCCCCCCTGTATTCCAATTGTCCAACACCAACACTGCCACTGCCACTTGAACATTTAACTCCACACCAAAATAATGTTCAGGCTTTTTTTGGCCCATTAACAGGTTCCACCGTCAGCAGTTACGAACAGTCATAGGGGTCAAATATCCCCGTATAATACGCAATGAAGCACTGTACAAGCGCACTGGCTCCAAGCCACTCAGCAGAATCATCCAGTCTGCTAGGTGGAGAATGTTTGGCCACATGCTTCGACTAGACACCTCATCCCCGGTCCAGCAGGCTATGTCAGCATACTTTCAGCCAGGAAGCTCAGGGTTCCGAGGCCGCCCGAGAACAACACTCCCGCGATCCATCAACAACGACCTGAAAAATTCCAGATCCACAAACTCCCTCACATCACACGAGGATCTAGTTGCACTGAGGCAGCTCGCCCAGGATCGTCGAAAGTGGAAGGAACTAATGTGTGCTGTGTGTAATGGCTGAAGTTATACAATTACACTAGATACCCTTAACAATAATAACGGATACAATTACACTAGATACCCTTAACAATAATAACGGATACAATTACACTAGATACTCTAGATACTAGATTCTCGGTACTCTAGATACTAGATACTCTAACAATTTTATCAAACATTATGATAATTACCACATCAAATGCTGCGGAGACCTATCCAGAATCGGCAATATGCTGGCCCTGGCCTGGAGATCTGCAACTATAATCAGCTTCTACTTTGCAACACTAACGGATTAGTCCCCTTTGTCGATTGATGGATCAATCGGTAGATTCAGCTCTGTTTTTCTTTCCTTTCTTTCTTGTTTTGAATTGTACGTTGAACTCATTGGATTTCTTTGTATTCTGTATCTCGTTATCGTTATATTTCCCTCTAGCCCTCTCGCTTAGGATGAGCTTTCTTTTTCATGGCAGCTTAAGCGAAGGCTATATACCTGCTTTATGCAGGTTGATGCCAACGCGAACAAGCAAAATAATAATAATAATTAACAGGGTGAAGAGATAAACAATACGAAGAGTTACGAGTACAAGAATAGAATTACCTACACTGTACACCCACCCCTCCACCAGCCACAGAAAGTGTAAGCGTAGTGTTGCAGGGACGAGGTAACTAACTACTCACCTCGTTCCAACCAATATTAACTGAGTATCCTGCACCGGCATCAGTTCCAACAGATTGTGGGCCAGCATACTTGGTGTTTGGATAAAATAGTCCATTATCGTAGCGATGCAGTGATATAAAGAGTACACTGAAAAACAAAGGAGAGCATTCGAGATGCAGGCGATTATTCCACATGCAAAAGTGCACAGAGCACACTTGAGCAAGAAGCAGCATACTCTAACACTACCTAACCCTAACACACACACACACACACGCGCGCGCGCGCACACACACACACACAGACACTACTATGAGTACAACTAACTTGACTACAACCAATACTACACTCCACATACAGCAGGAGAGGCTACAACTGAAGACTATAGAACTGACTATAGAAGTGACCATGCAAAGTACGCAGAACAGCAGCAAATCCAGTAGAAACGAGCTTACTTGGGGTCATTTTCAAAAATGGACTGTGTTCCATTTCCATGGTGAATGTCCCAGTCAAGAATGAGAATCCTGTCGTTAAGAATCAAGACACAAGGAAACAACACCACGATTGTGAAAACAACTACTTCAGTAATGTTTACGACGACATCTTTGTGTGAATTTTGCTACCCGGTAGACCTTTCACCCAGAACCCTGCACATCTAGGCCTACAATAAAACCGCTAACCAAACCATCGGCAGCCCAGTCATGCATATTTTCATGTTCTTTGGAATGTAACTTCAGTTCTACTCACTCAATCCTCACAATCTTAGGCTTCCCTGAAAGGTCTCCACGGCGGTATTGTGCCTCCTAGAGACTTCGGATAACTTCGGCGTGATAGCCAAGGTTCTTCTCGAAACATAGATGCCTTGTTCAAGAAAATCGGTGAAGGAACACCAGAGATATCATTTTTTAGTGTCAGTGTATACTAATCGATCGATACTGACCGACGGGGTCACAAAGGGTCAATCTGATGCAGTCTTCCAAAAGCTTTGGGGAAAAAAACAAAACTTGTGCGGAAAAGACAACGTGCTGAGTGAAGTGCAGAACAAGACGACTTACCGCTGGACACCAGACTGCTGTGCATGGCGAACCGCGATGGCCACATTGTTGAGAAAGCAGAATCCAGACGGTTTGTCTGCCGACGCATGGTGGCCAGGGGGTCTGCCGGGAATGAAAAATCACGGAGAAAATATGATTGCTGAGCCTTACGGTAATAAAGAAAGGCGCAGCAGCCATGTTGGGCAGAACTGATGTTTAGCTTGCTAGGATTGTCAGGCTCAGTTCAGATCTGTTGCAATGCACTCATATTTCAACGGCCCCCGGCTCACAGGTATCACAGTAGCGTTACCAAAGTAGGAGAACCTCAGCATATCGAACAAAGTAGGAGAACGATAAAAATATTAAGAAGCTTACCTGACAACAGCGACGGCATGAGTGTTCTAAGAAGTAAAAGCAGAACAAGAAAAGAATAGCAAATTAACATTCCTGAAAGAGCTCCAGCCATTTAATTTTCCTCGACCGCGGAAATCCGATTTTCCACCTTGAAAAATCTTACACGTGAAACCCATGAAAAAGTGGAGTAACTCAGGGTGACGAAAAGTGGCAAAATTCTCATCACTCGAGTCGAGTAAGTGTGACTGTAGCAAGTGGCAAGGTGACAATCATTGTGTGTCATTGTGTGTCATTGTGTGTCATTGTGTGTCATTGTGTGTCATTGTGTGTCATTGGCTTGTATTATGTGGCAGTCATTCTCTTGTACATTCTGGAATGTTTATGCACAAATGTCGGATATTTCGCAAACATGCTGTGCTCGTCTGCAGTTACCGAGACCGCAGCCCAACTTCAGAGTGATTCATGACAGGAAAAGCGGATCGTAGCGCTTCACGGATAGTTCCTACAGACAGAGGAGAGTTTGGTTCACTCTTTGATATGGATATTTAGATGTTTGACTTTGAGCGAGATTAGACTCTGTTACAATCTGTTGACGCTTCTGACTTGAAGGCATTGAATTCAATGCATTCAAGTATGGGCGATATCATAAAGGGATTTCAAAAGCCCCCACAGATCTCTAAACCTACCTTCTTGGTTAAAACACGTTCTGTTGCCTCCAAAGTGCATCCAGCCGCCAAAACACTGTTAGGATAGGTGTCCTGGAATGATAGCAAAAAGCAACATCACGCTAACGAGACAATCAACAGATTCACTACATGCAGTGCAGCAAATGTGAACAGGTAGGCAGCACAAAGCACAACTCTATCTCTCTTTCACAAACACACACACACACACATACACACATATACATCACGTATGCCTAGCTCATAATTGTCACTGTCACACATGAATCGCAGGAATCTAATCATCCGGCACTGACAGCCACAGCAGCAGTCAACATTCCAGAACCCTATGCGTGATTGGCACAAGTGAACAAAACCAGCACGTAAGCTTGCAGTACGGCAAGCAGAGGGTTGAGCATTACAGCAATCAGCAGCAAGAAAAGATACAGCATTATAGTCAGTCGTGTTGTCTAGAGTGAGCAGCGGCCAGTGCCAGCATCATTACAGTTCGGCCTTGGGCTTGGCAGTCAGGCGTGGTGGGTGGCATTGTGTGTGTGTGGGGGGGGGGGGGGGGGTAGATGGGGGGGGGGGACTGAACATCATTGCGCAAGCAGCGGTAGAACATATAGATGATTTCAGATTGAACTGAAGTTTGAGGGGGGGGGGGGGGGGGGGCATTGCCTGTCCGGATATGAAGATGAGGCTACACAAAGTGCATCAATTACTTTAAACAGAACTTACTTTAAGAAGAAAGGACCAGAGGTTTACAAGTTACCCGTGGTTGTCCAACACTGGCAAATGAAACTTGTGGTGGACTAACAAACGGTAATAACAAGCAGTATCACACGACGTATGTTTCGCCGTATGGATGCTGACAGCTCATCAGGTGTGCAGAATTAAACTAGGATGCATACGGCGAAACGTACGTCGTGTGACACTACTTGTTATTGCCGTTTGTTTAATAGTCCACCACAAATTCCATTCTTATTTCTATGATTGCCAGTGTTGGACAACTATGGGTAACTTGTAAACCTTTGGTCCTTTCTTCTTAATTTCAATCCTTGACCCTTCATCCGAGTTTAGAACTTACTCTTGAAATATATATTGAGTCGTGTTTCTTCTCCTCCTCCATAATACCTTGGTCACTTAAATGTGGGAACGATTCCAGGAGATCTAAATGTGCCTCTCTGTAGAGTCAAATTGGCACAAACAAATGAAAGGAGCGAAGACAAATAATGTCATTGGACATGCCATTCACCAAAACCTGCCTACATGGCTAGATCAGGGTTACTGGACACAAATCTAGTAGTGATTCGCATAATGCAGCCTACTCACATCTCAGCCTCGGCAAAAAGAGAACAAAAAAAACTACAACTGGTTCCTCCGAGCAAGAGATGCAAGAAATAACACACCTGTTCCGATGATTTTTGTCAACATGGCTCGCCAAACTCCCCAATATTTTCTGCATACTCACTTGATACTAAAGAAAGCTTCCTTTTCTTTCTCGTTGAGTTTGAAAAAAAGGTCCCCATCATTCAAATTGCTGCATTAAATAAATCATTGTGCAATGTTTCCTCCATGTCCTCAATGTGCATAGAGATCAATTTTCCAGCAAGTAAACCCGAAGACATGGTGTCTAGTTGAGAAATGAGAAAGGAGATATGAAAAGAGAGCATGTTAGGGCGAGTTTCTGTCACTCGAGTTGAACCTTGGTGTGAAAGTTGTCGCCTGCTGGCGCGATGACCAGGTGACTGGTGTACGCAGGAGCACGTGACCGCTTGTTCAACCATGTTCGACTGGGAATAAGGGCCGAACGCTGCATTGAGGCCTTTTCGGACCAAAACCAGTCGACTCAGCGTCCAAAAGACTACAACATATGGGCCAATCGCGGTCATCCGGGCTTTTGTAAGAACGAAATGGCAATTTTAGTGACATTTTGCATACAAATCCCCATCTAGTAGGGCGCAGTCGCCCAGTTCCGGTGGAAGTACGCGAGTTCAATTGGGAATAAAGGAGGAAGGGTGCGTCTCAGCTTCCTCGGACCAAGACCATTCGACTCAGCACCCCGAAGACTACAACTGGTGAACCTTTGATTTTAGGCTTAACTTCCCCTTTAACCCTTTGGAGTCCGTAACTTTTTTGATACCGCAGAATTCGTGGCAGTCACGAAAATGCGCACTCCATTTCCAACATAACTTTGGTTCTACTTCACTGATTTTAAAGATCTTGGGCTCGTTGGAAAGCTCTTGATGAGAGAAATACAATGAGCCCAAATTCGCCAAGAGCACTTTTCATTGTCCGCCACAACGCGCCCCAAACGCGAGTCCTGCTCCAGTTCTGAGACGAAATCGGTCTCCTGTAGCCATTTCACTGAATCTAGCTCGGAACTGTTCAAAGTTTTTCGAGTAGAAGCTTACCTTGCCGTGACTTCGCGCCGCGCCGGTCCTGGCACGTGCCGCCTGTCATGAAGCTGGGAAAATCCCTTTTTTTCACGCACTGCTGACTCGCAATACGCAGCGCAGAAAATTCGAAATGTTTGATCGCTCGCCGCTCACTCACATTTCATCGGAGAGACTTCGGACCTGTTCGACGCGATAGCTGAGAGGTTTCTCTACCATCTAGACCCTTCGATTGTTGAATTTGGTCAGGATTTGGCCGAGAACCGAAAGTTTGACTGTGCCCACATGCATACAAAATGCCCATGGTTCGAAATCGAACCATGGACTCCAAAGGGTTAACAACAAGAAACACTTTTTTTCTAAAATGAATGGCAACATCCTGTCGCTTACGTGTGAACTCTGAGAAGCTCATCCCGTGTGGCATGCCGTCCCTGGTTGAAACACATATGTGTACGCACGCAAACACACACACACACACACACACACACACACGAGATCGTTTACTGATACCGTATTTCCGCGCATATAAAGCCATGGCGTTATAGGTGAAACATCGCTGTTTTGGACCAAATATTTGGAGAAAATAGCCTCGGTTTTAACGCCATGGCGCTAAAAGTGAGAGACGCTTACATGAAAAAATCGGCAGAGTATGAACTTTGAGTACTCGTATGGTGCCGTTGCACGTTCATGTCGAGCATCCATAATTATACTTTCAATTTTCCCTGAAAATTTCAAATTGTGAACCTATCGTGTACAAGGTGGCATACAAACGTGTGTGAAGGTGGCGGTATGGCATGTGACAGTGGGGATGGATACATGTAGAGAGAATCACCGCTACTGTAGGTTCACTGAAAGAATTGAACTCATCTTTAACGCCGGATGCAACTTCCTCCACATTGAATTTTGTTCACTTATAACACCATGGCTTTATAAGTGAGGGTGGGCTTATATTCGGATATAACGCCATGGCTTTATATGCGCGGAAATACGGTATGCCGACAAAAGTCGATTTCTATATTCTCTACAGTCCTGCATGGTCCTGTGACTACATTGGCAGGGAATGCCTGTGCAATAAGCATGCAGTGCTGTGCAAACCTATAGCGAAATAAGCACATAGGTATGGCAGTACGATTTCCCAATTTCAACCCTCCCCCTAGTAGAAATCAACCTGGGCCGCGCGCAATACATTATGTAAACGCTCCAGTCAATCTGTGCTCATGGCGGGTTGAAACTTGACCCAGATCAAACGTACCAGTAATCCGGGTTGAAAACTCTTATGTGAACACACCCTCAATTGTGACCGCGATTGTGACCAGCAGAACCTGGTCACCAGGTGATACAGACAGGTTTCATTTCCTACAAAACCCTATCACCATCACATGCTCTACAGCCCTCGCTGCAGCTACATAGCCTCACTACAGGCCTCACAGTTAGGCTACGCTGTATCTGCTGCTGCATCTGCCGCCGCTGGATTTACCGTGTGGTAGCGGTCGTCGTGAGTTCCCTTGGTAACGGAAACGATAATTTACCTAATATATTTAATTTTTTCACAGTGCAACTTCTTACTATCTAGGATGGGTCATCACTCCTTGGGCTGGCTGGCATATCATCTATTGCCAGCTGAGGGTCTATTTACCAACCAGGACAGGTGAGCGAAAGAGTTCATGTACACCTTCAACACCCAATGACTTACTGGCAAGAAATCACACTTGTGCAACGACGAAGAGTTATACAAGGTTTGGATGACGGTCTCCACCCGTAACGGCACCTCGGGCTGTGCTCTGCAAGGAAGCAGGTATCCAAAGAAACAGCACAGAAACAAGAGAGCACATGCTGTTTGTCTGTTCAAACTGCACACATAAACCCTTCCTTCGCCCTTGGCCGAACGAGTATTGCCTCTTGTCCACGGTCACCACCCCCAAACCTTGCGGCCAACTTACCTTCTTTCATCAAAAATACAAAAACGGCTTACGACAGAGCCACTTTTTTTAGATATCAGCAATCTCAGAAGTGCAAACCGGAGTTTGACAAGCGATGAAAACGTGACAACAAAATCATCTTGCCCTATCATCGAACTCTTACAGTTGGTGTTTAAAAAACGGTTTGTGAGCTGTCAATCCTTCATCGTAGATCACTGCCACTGGGCGTGTAGTGCTGTACACATGGGGAAATATGTTGGAGAGCAGAGAATAGCAGTCAGTATGGCAATGATAGCATAGCAGGCAAGCAAGCAGGTAAGCGTGCATATAATAAGAAAATACAGCCATGGCACACACACATGAACAGTGAGGGTGAAATGCACGATCGGGCCACCTGTATCACATTGACCAAAACTCCGCATTTTGTTAGTAAAAAAAAGTCGCAAGAGCTTTTTTCCCTAGATCATTAGTGATCGCGCACAGAGGTTGGGTTCATGACTCGGAAAATTTCCTTTTACACCCTAAATGTCACCACCGGTTGTACTTTACAAACTGGGAGTGGAAAGCCAGCTTGGGAAACAAAAAAGGAAGTTTAGAAGATGCAAAACAACACAAGGAAAAGCCCAAACGCCCCACATGCAGCCATGCAGTGCAGGCCTGGTATGAATTGGTACTTCCGTATATGTATGTGCCGGTATGAGGTGACTCGAGCTGGGAAAGTTGACACCAAGAAAACTTGCACTGTGCAGTGAACCTTCAGTATAACATACTACCCTGGCTATAACATGCTAACTTATGGAGCACAAAGTACTATTATTCAGGACCCTGCAACACACCATAACAGTCATTCACCTCGGATATAAAGTACAGGTTTTTTTTTGCGTCCCCTTGATCTTAGTTTGTACCTTTGGGGCACGTTCTAAAGAAACTTACTTGAAGTACTGTAGAACGGGTAATTTTAGCGACGTAAAAACCCTAGCGAATTTAGCGATCGACTCATTTTCCCTAAAGTTTCAAGTCGCTAATCCGTTGAGACATTAGTAGTGCACTGGTGATCCGTGAGTACATTGCAGTACTACATCATAGTACATGTAGTAGTAGTAGTACCGGTAGCAGCACAGTCTACACTAGACTACAGTCTACATGGCCTACAGTTGCACAGTGTGAACTCACAACAACATTCTCTCGTACTAGCACTCATAGTACACGGTAGTGATGGTTTGTACAGTGCTGCTCAATGAAATCCAGTCGCGAGAGTCAAGTATTAAACGCCGTGCACCTTTTCACAGCCCAGTGTTCGCAGGTCTAGGGCTGCGCAAACGCCCGGCGCGTACTTGAGAAGGCTCGACTGGATTTCATTGAGTAGTACTGTCAATACAATTTCCACATAACAATTTCTGATAATTAGAACCTCGAACTGGGTATGTCCGGTTAATTAGAAGTCCAGTGCTGCCAAACCGTCCGATTTTTGAAGGCTCTTCCGAAAACCGGTCCGAAAAGGGAAACGTCCGAAAAGCAGTCAAAATGTCGGAGATCATTCATTACTTTCCTATGCAGAAGTTCTGTACAGTCAGACCTCGCTTATCCGGTCCTCTTTTATCCGGATCCCTCGCCATCCAGAAGAAAATCGTTGGTTACAGATTTACAGCATCTGCCATGCATACATACAGTATGTGTGTTCGATTATCCGGTTCCCTCGCCTATCCGGATATTTTTGTGGAAAACGGATGTGTGCGGTTATGCGAGGTCTGACTGTACTTTCACTTTTCAGCGCAACTGAAGGCACAAATCACTGTACATTTGCTTCTAAAAAGGCTAGCGCTTGGCTGTGCAAGTGCAGAGTAACATGCCTGGATCAGGTTGGATGGCATGTACGCTGACAGTCTGTACAGAGTCAGTGTGCGACCACACTCATCATTACAAAATTCATGACAACTCCGGGGTTACCATGGCAACGAAGCGAATTTTCATGGTGTTTTAGGCGATATTTTGAATTCTCTGTAAAAAAATTGCCGAGGAGAAAAATTCGCACCATGTAGCCAGCCTTGGCGGTGAAGGGTGTCCGATTTTGGGCGAAAATTATTTGGCAGCACTGGAAGTCCCACGGAATCCACTTAAATACATAGAAAATGTGTGGGATTTGTGCTGATAATTCGAAGTTAGCAAAATATAATTAGAAGTTCACTTTATTTTCTGCAAATCAGTTTGGTTTGCATGCGCAGGCAGTTCAGTGTCCACTAAATCTGTGTCTAAGGTGCGTAGTGCAATTCTGCGTGTCAATGCGAGCATTTTGACATACATAACGTGTTGTGGGTACATGTTTGGATAATTAGAATGTCCGGATAATTAGAATATTTTCCGCGGCATTTTAGAGTTCGAATTATCAGGATTCCATCTGTAGTATAAAATCAGATCAGCAGAGCTGCCAAACTTTACTTATGCGTGCTTGCTACTGCATACATACAGTAGCCAAAAGTGCTGTCCTGGCTGGTAGGCTCGACCGCAACATGGTTGAAATGCGCTCAGAAGCAAGTGGACGCAGTCAAGGGAAGTGACAGTGCCCAGGTGCAGGGTGTGCTGCATGCACTTGAGTGACGTGTGAAACTCATGGGTGCTTCGGTTGCATGAAAGTGCTCTGCACCCAACACCTCTCAATGCGAGTAAATGGAAGTACATGTATGTGCACGATCCGGCATGGCGCCAATGTATGTGACCTTGTTCTAAAGATCACCCGGTCTTAACCCTTTGCATGCTGGCCTGTTTTCCACAGTAATCTGGCACTCCAGAGCACGGACTCTCCTGGTGGAGTTTGGGTGCACTGCTCGGGACCAAATTTATTATAATTTCAGTTCACCTGGATGGAATTTCCTCATCATGGGCTTGTTGGAAAGATCAGGACCAAGCGAATCCATCCTGGAAGCTCTCAGCTCCAGAGCTCCACCAGGGCCACTTCCATGACCTCTCCAAACTGGCCCACCATGCCTCGGAACGAAACAACAACTCAGTCACAAATTCTTTTTCGGCTCCTTGCTCAAGTTCAACCGATTTTCACGATTCAAACTGCTCTGCAAAGCTGAGATCCACGCGCTTCATTTGATGTCCATAACGCATGCGCAGGGCAAAAGGGAAATCCCCTGGCACGCTCCAAAAAACTGCGAAGTCACGAACAAAAAAATTCGCGATCACTCCAGCCCGTGATTTCCGTGTTCATTTTGTCGCCGCTCAGTGAATCTTTATCCTATCGCGAAGAACTTTATATCTCTGGAAAGCTGAGCTCAATACCTTTCCAACGGTGTGTCGTATGTGGAGATCGGATACTCTTTCACAGAGTAACGGAACTTTGTACACTGGTCTATTCACCACGTACACGACGCAAACCGAAGCGCGTGTATACACGTCCTCAGAGAACCGGCATGGGGTTCAGGCGCGTGTATACACGTCATCCGCACGCAAAGGGTTAACGACCGCTTTTGCTCGCACAGTGGTGAAGAGGTTTGCAGAAAAACATATTTTTTGAAAATGCAAGGTTTCCACTGTCCACAATGCAGTTGTTGGAAAACTAGTCTCGTCATTTTCTGAATGGAATGAAGTGCAGTATGCGCCAAGAAACACGTTATGAGAACTTATGATCAGAACACATGCAAAGAAGCAAGGCAATATTCAATATTGTTCAGAACACATACTACAGTTGCGCTCACTGAAATCCGACCCAAAGTGCATATTTGGCGCCCTCAACTAGCACGCCCTTGACGCTCTGGAAGTGGCACGAAGGCGGCGGGACGTACACATGTAAAAATACAATGATGTAATCGGAACTTGTCCAGGGCGCCAGTTTTGCACTTCGGGTCGGATTTCAGTGAGCGCAACTGTACATGTAAGTACAAAGCAACACCAAAGCATTAGCGTACTTCAATCCTTGCTCACGCATTTCTTTCTGCTTCTGTGACAAGGTGGCGAGCTGTTCTGAGAGC